TCCCCGTGGGCTTGTTCTGAGAACTGTTTCTGGCGGTGGGGGGTGAGGGGGTCGCAGTGTCAGCCCCACTCTCCCCACTCTCCCTTAGGACCAACACGCATTGGTCATCTTGTACGACGCAGGAGGGCGTCCCCACAGCCCTGGCCTCCCTCTCCATCAGATGCCGAGAGGGCCCCAGAGGAGAAGCATCCCAGCCCCACCTCTGCTGTACGGACTGTTGGCCTTGGGGCTCACCCTCTTCGAAATCAAGGCTCTCTGGCCCTGCCAGCTGCTGCCACAGATGTATCTGGGCTTCAGGGACAAGACTGATCAGAGGCCACAGTGGAGGTCGGATCTATATCCAACCCTCCGAAGCCCCACCCTAACACTCATGAAATACGGTCAAGATATCCACCGTCCTCAAAACACAGCAAAACTTACGTGACGCTTTGTGACTCTGTTGGACTAACTGATCTGTCCTCAGATGTTGTCACCTGGCCGAACTTGTCTGTTTTGTCACAGTGTCCTTGGAAGGGAAGAGACACCAACTCAAAAGGTTAATAGCTATTTGCTTGATTTACATGTGGGGTGATTTTTAAAATTCTGTAATCTCTCCAGAATTGGGAAAGGTGAACTAATTTGATAATTGGTCTGAATAATTTTGTGGTGGGATCAATTTGATGATGAGCCCATTTATCCAGATTTACTGGAGAACATGAGAGTTTTCAAATACTACTGAATAAAAGTTGCACCAAAGACAAAACACTTGTACATGCTGTAGAATTTTATGATACTTTTTAAACACTAGGGCATGCTTTTACTTAGATGCATTGGCTTTGCCGAGAAAACAGTAGGTTTAAAGTGGGGTTTGTGTGTGTGTGTTCAACATACATTTATATATATGATCATAAAATATAAAGCGATTCTATATTTCAGTACTGTATTCCTATTTAGTCCAGTGATTTTCAATTTGCAAGTGTCCACCTATGTATGGGTCAAAACTGGAATTATTTTTAAAGACTACAATAAAACAAGAAAGAAAAAAATAGGATAAGAGACGCTAAAAGGATCAGAGACCATCACATGTGTAAGAGTTGGTATAGCCTTGTGAAACTCATTTCAGTGGTGTGCGTGTGTGAACTGGACCATGAGTAAGAAGTGGTACTCTGGATTGCAGTTCAAGTATTTTGAAAACCAGTGGTTCAGGACGCAGCATTTTAACTCTTGCGGACAAGCTGTTGCATCCCTTTCACTGACACTGATTCCCCCGCAGTGTCCGAGTGATGGGCCAGAGCAAATGTCAAGGCCTCAGTGACTCATTTCAATTTCCTGTCTAAAACTCTGGGCAAAAATTCTCTGTTGAATGTGGTTGATGCTATTGTTACCCTGGAATGCTCCTTTGCTTTCAGTTGTTGATTTATCTGATCCTTGGACACTTCTGGGAGGTTGAGTCCCGTGTTCCCTAAAACATCAGGTTACCTAGCAAGCTAGCAAACTCTGTACATTGAGGCTGTTGTCCAGGGTTTTGCATTTTATATTTTTATTTTTTCTTCTTTATACTTGTGAGCACTGAGTATTGTTCTGTAGTAAAGATGGCCATTTGTTTTAAGAATCTGTGCTTCTAATGTTTCCTGAAACAATTGTAGATGGCCAATTTCCATTGCTTATATAATCAAAACTGATTCCTAATCAATTACTTCTGCTGTAATCTAAAAACAAAAGTTAAGTGTTGAAATATTAGATTCTGTTTGGTTTTTCATTTCCCCCTTTATTTATTTAAAGGAGGATTATTCCAATTTCAGTTGAGAAATAGGAATGACTCATTCATACACTACATCATTTATTGAGTGATCCCCAGTAGGAGGCGCTGAGATTCCAGCACTGGATCATGTACACAAAGCCCCGCCCCCCGGGGAATGTTCAATAAAGTGCAGAGATGATGGAGACGGCATTTTAAAAACAAACTGCAAATTAATAGCTGGCACTCCCAGTTAGTGTCCTTCTCCCAGTCAGACTCTTAATAGATGACTAGATTTCAGGTTAGGAATTATAATACTTATTAGGGAAATATTAAAGGATGATGAGACCACCTCTCAATGTCTGAAATATAAACATAAAACTGATTTTTTTTTGTTTACTCTAGTATGTATGAGCTGGGTGGCTCAGGCCCAGGTTTCTTTAGGGGAGCAGACTACTGACCTTGTGAGGGTTTTCAGGAAGCTGCACGTTCAGGAATAGGCCGACTTCGAGGGCTGGGCATGGGACGAGGTCGTCCACAGCGTGGTCTTTTGGGTGAGGATGGTCTGGAGTGGGGGCTCCTTTAAGCCAGTTTCCATGTCACACAAAGACTGGTGACGTGACCCCACTAGTCTTTGAGCATCTCCTTGTTCTCTAGCCCCAATAAGCTTTTGCCAAATTCCTTTTCTGGGGTTGGTTTCTGCTGCTTACAACTAAACACTCCGATGGGTGCAGAAATCAGTACCAAAAGTGGTTGCAGGCAACACACCTTCAAGAAAATAAGGAAGACTTTGGGACTAGTAAAGGCTGAAGGCAGGGACAATGCAACCCGTGTCCAAGGCCTGAATGTGGGAGCGCAGATACAGCCTCTGCAGTATCACAGGTCAGTCCCAGGGAGGAAGTGCCGGGCCCAGGGGTTGCTGCTACAGAATAGTGCGAAACACATGAGGATTTCAAATAGGTGAGCCGACTACAGCATTAGAGGGTTTGAAAAAGAGGAAGACAAGCTCTGCTGCTTGTATTTGCAACTCAAGATACAGACTGAAAATTGGGGGTTTGTGTGGCTGCTGTAAGTATGCCTTATCTTTTGGAGCCATGAGGCTGTCAGCTGAAGATCAAATGCGGAGTTTGATCCCAGTTTACTGGATTGTATTGTCCTTCGGGTTCACAGCCCCATCAGATCTCTAATGGGACAGTCAAGGCATTGGTCAGAGAAGTGCAGGCCCCTGAGGGTTGGGGTGGGGACACGTGGAAGGAACCGGGCCCCCACCTGTCGTGCATTTGTCTAGATAGTGGAGCAGCCCCTATGTCTCTTGCTAGAAGACCCTGAAATGCCCACATCTGTGGGGATCAGTCCTGCAAAGGGAGTTGATTCATGATTCCAAACTATCCACTGTCAGATCCCAAGTCCCAGGGAGTGAAGAACTACAGTATTTTGCTTTTTTTTTTTAATCTGAAGAAAATGTGTAGAGATAGAATATGTGTCGGGGTACTAGGCTAAGTAGGTGTTAATGTAAAAATAAAGGGCCAGCCCTGGTCGGTATAGTTCAGTGGATTGAGCACCCGCCTGCCAACCAAAGGGTTGCAGGTTGGAGTCAGGGCACATGACTGGGTTGTGGCCAGGTCCCCAGTAGGGGGTGAGCGAGAGGCAACCACACATTGATGTTTCTCTCCCTCTTTTTCTCCTTCCCATCCCCTCCCCTCTCTCTAAAAATAAATATTTAAAAAATATTAATAAAAATAAAAGGCCCAATTAAGAGGCAACGAAGTTTTATTTGAGATAAAAAAGAATGGCTGTTACGTAAGCACTGATTCAGGAGGAGACCCCACGGTGCTCTGGTTAGGAGGTGGAGGCATGGGGTGGGTGCCGACGAGAAGGGAAGGGGCACAATTACATGAATTGAAGGAAGGAGTTCTTATAGGTGCAGACAAGCTGACATAGTGATGCTAATTCTAAAGAACGTCTTTTATTTTAAGTCCACAGTCAGGATGTCTGCTTTCTTGTTACCTTAGCAAACAGTTGTTGGGGCTACAGGGCTGCTTTAGGCCCAGTCTGGAGGTTGTTTTACCCAGTTTGAACATTCCTGAGGTTTGACGCGATTACTGTGGACGGCAACTCCGACTCCATTTTAAAATGACTGTTATTTTTCACATTAGGAAAAACATAATTATTGGTCAAGCTTAATGCATCAATGTATCTAACTTACTTATGTACTTAATTTTTGATTCAGGGGCTGCATCAGCATCAGGGATGTTCTGATTCCAGGGCTGGGTGGTTGGGACTCACACCCAGTGACTCACACTGAATAAAGGTGAGATGCTAGCAACGCCCTGGTGTAATGTAAAGAAATCCACAGACTTTGTGAGATGGGCTTGTTGAGTGAATGCGCTATGTGTAACTAACTTATCACCACCCCACCCAGCTCTGTTCCCCAAGACAGTGGCGATATCAGAAAACACTCCTTCATGGCCGTAAGAAATAAATTGGTATTGCGGTGACCTGTGTGGCTCAGTTCTTTGGGCGTCGTCTCGCAAAGCGAATGGTCACATGCCCAGGTTGTGGGTTCGGGCACATGTGAGAGGCAACCAATCAATGTTTCTCTCCTTCTTTCTCCCTCCCTTCCCTACTCTCTAAAAAAATTAAACAATTAAGAAATTGGTGTGTTTGTTAGGATTAGTTTTGGCTGCAATAGGAACCCCACTCAGGTAAACAAGGGGTTTATCTGTCTGGAATGAGAGGCCTAGGAGTAGCACACCCAGGGCTAACATGCCCGCTCAGGGAATCCCGCTCCTTCTGCTTCTTGCTCTGCGATCAGTTGCCTGTGGTCTTCACCCTCGTGTCTGCGAGATGGTTGTTGCGTCTGCAGACATTGTGCCCTCATTGCATCAAGGGGGCCCCCCGAGGGACTTCACCACCCTACACTCTGGTCTGAGCTATGTCACACAGCCATGCACCGCTCACAGTGTGGCTCACAGTGAGGTGGAGTGGACATCACTCAGGATCCTGGTCTTGACGCTGGATGTGTAGGTTAGGGAAATGGGATCTTGTGTCTGGTCAATGGAATAATTAGATTTATCTGAATTTTGTATAAATGCCACATTTGCTGATATAAGAAAAAATTGGATTTGTAAATAATAGGATATTTTATTTCTAAAACAGTCAAGAAGTTGCTAAGTATAAAACTTGTCAAATGCAAGAAAGATGTTGAGTTTGCAACTGTGAGTTCTAAGAAATGTATTTAATTACATTGTTTTCTTCAAAGGAGAAAAAACTACAGTTTGGCTAGTATTATTTCATTAAGGGTTTAATATAGATTTATAGGAAATAAAATACAATCTGTTATAAATATCCCACTATACAGTATTACCCTCAAGTAATCTTGATCATTATATAACCACAGGTTTACAAACCTGTGATTTTACAGCTTAATTTATTAAATTAAAAAAAATTTACAGACACCATTTTTAATGTTACAACATAGGGACAAGTCACCGAGAAAAAAAAATCAGAAGTATATTTTATGCTAGAGTTACTTTCTGTCCAGGTCGAAACATTGTTCCACTTTGATTTTTCCTCTTCTTTGGATTTTGAAAGTTTTCATACCTAAAAAAAAAAAAAAAGTGAGAGAGATTTAATATATGTAAATGTTAAAATTACAAAAGACCATGCATTGTTTGCAAACAGAATTATGTTTAAAAAAAAAGATTTTATTTACTTTTAGAGTGAAAGGGGAGGGAGAAAGAGGGAAACATCAATGTGTGGTTGCCTCTTGTGCGCCCCCTCCTGGGGACCTGGCCTGCAACCCAGGCATGTGACCTGACTGGGAATTGAACAAGCGACCCTTTGGTTTGCAGGCAGGCACTCAACCCACTGAGCCACACCAACCAAAGCCAGAATTGTTTTAAGAAACAAAGAAAATAACAAGCTGGAAAAAAAGTGTTCGAAACAGAAATTAAAGACCGTTCTTACAAATATATTTTCAAAAGGTGAACACCTCACTAGAAAAAGGAGTAAAGGGGATGTATGGACAACTTAGAAAAGATAAAATGCAAATGGCAGTGATTAATACAAAAACATAAGCTTCATAGTTTTAATCAAGTAAGTGTACATTTTTAAACAAGATCGAGTTTTTCTCCCATCGGCCAGGGCTGGAGAGACGCTATGACACTGTGAGGGAGCGTGTGGCGGAGGCACTCGCTGCACGGCTGCTGGAACCCGCACTGGCATTTCTGGGAGGCAGGAAGGCAGGAATTCCAAGCCTCCATACAGGCGAGGGCCCTGTGATGCGACAATGCTGCCTCTATCCCAGCCAAATAAGAATATGTGCGAACATTCAGCTCCAAGAATGTGAATTATCGCATTGCTTGTAAGTGAAAAGCTGCAAACAAGTGTCCCAAAATTGGGTATGTGGGATAACCATATTAGAAAGTGTGTTAAAAACAATATAGTAGTAACTTGCTTAAAATGTGAGGGAATGTTCAAGAGGAGTGGACGGATGAAAGGGGAACGGCTCTTCAGCCCTGTGTGCGGTGTCTTACTTTAGTGAGAAAGAAACACCTGAACATGCAAATAAATAAGCTTTGGGAGGCAGGGGGGTTAAGGGGGGTTTCTGATTCATCTACAGTAAGTACATACTATACAGTAAGTACATGCACACTGGGGGAGAGCAGAATCCGCCACCCTAAAATGCGCCACTTTGGCAGGTGGATCAGTTTGGGCTGAAGGGAATCAAGACTCGGCAGACTCCGCTTTTTACCTCTCCTGTAACTGAAAGAGTTCAGACAGGGGTCTGCACCAGAAAGAGAGCTATTACCAGAGCTAACTTTCCCATCCGAGCGCCTCACTGAGTGGCAGGGCGAACGTCCAGCTGGCTGGCACACGTGTGCTCCTGTCCTCTGGCCGTGCACGGCCTCCCTCCCCTGCTCGAACCCCGGTCCCTGCCCCTCTCCTTACTTAGCTCAGAAGAGCCCAGAAGCTTTAACTGCCTGCCTACCTTTGAGTTTCATATTTTTATGGGGCTCCGCAGGTACAAGATTAAATGTTTCTCACCTGTTCATCTGTCTTTTTGTCAATTTAATTCAACAGCCAAAAAACCCGAGGAGGGAATAAGGGGAAAAGTTTCTACCTCACGGTCTGGCTGGCGCCCAACAGCAGCTCCCCAGTGGCTGCCGCAGCGAGAGACCCTGGGCCCTCGGACACGAGCTGCCGCCGAAGGGAAGAGCTGTGCCCACCAGCCTCCGGGACCTCGGCCAGCAGGGTGAGTGGTGAGGGTCCTTTCCCCTTCTCGAACTTCAGATTAGCAGGAAAAACTATCTGTGTGACCCTGTTCTCTGGGTACAGTGACTCTGGGAAAGATCTGTTACGAGCTCGTTTTCTAGGGATCCTTCCTCCCAGAGGCGGCTGTTCTCTCGTGTCATCTGTCGTGAGGAGGAGAATCAGAGGGTAGCAGGCAGACCCGGGTCCGGCAGGCCCGGGGTTCGAGCCAGCCTTACAGACCGGTGAGTTCACAGGTCTCTTCGGACAGACTTTGCTGTGGGCCCCCCATACAAAAAAACACCAAATGAGGGCTCCTCTTGCCTCACTGTGTGCCGTGAGAGCTTGGCTGTGTGACCGGTGAGAACATTCTCTCGGGTCTCCGTCAGCCAGAAGGTGCGAGTATCGGTGTGTATCTGGCGGCTGGTCAGACAGACTGACGACCTGAGGTGTGGAGTAACTAGCAGCGCCCTCTCCGTCTGATGTGCCATCTCCTCCCTAACAGGCTCCCAGCCCGTAAGCGGCCTCCGCCACCCCAGCAGGGTGTGTCCGGGGCCACGGGTCAGCGCATCGGTCACTGCAGGCGCCTCTCATTCCCGTGGGAAACCAGAGACAACGTTGTCACCACACCACCTGTGCCACCTGTGCCACCTATGCCAACGCAGGTCTTTGCTTTCTCTGGCTAGTTCTGGGAGTAGGCTTGATGGATCTGCTGAGGGCTGTATCTTTTACAACCTACTTTGGGACAGTTAAGTCCTAAAAAGATTTATGTTAATCTTAACAGGGATTCAAACCAATAAATTTCTACTTGTCAATGGCCAAACAGATCCTTTGACTGGAAAAACTTCTAAATTTGCAAATGTTTTAGAGACCTCTCATCCTTCCTGCGCCTGCGGAAAGGCCGAATTAGAACGAGGACACGAAGGAGGGCGGTGCTGGCTTCGGGGGTGCCCTTAGCCAGACGGGAGAGCAGAGAGCACATCCGATGTCAGTTCTCCTTCTCAAAGTCCGGTCCTGTCTGCCGTGTACTCTTCAGCTGACAGCCACTAATTTGTGTGAGCTTCAGCTGTGCAGCACGGTGGTTACAGCCGTACGTTTACAAAGTGTTTCCCCCACCATTTCCAGTACCCACCTGGCACCACACGTAACCGTCCGTTACTGACTATATTCCCTGTGCTGTCACCCGAGACTAGTCTGTAACAACCAATCTGCACTTCTCAATCCCTTCACCTTTTTCACCCAGTTTCCCAACCCCTTCCCATCTGGCAACCATCAGTCTGTTCTCTGTATCTATGGGTCTGTTTCTGGGTTTTGTTCTTTTATTTCGTTCTTTAGATTCCACATATACGTGAACTCATATGGTATTTGTTTTTCTGTCTCACTTAACATAATACCCTCTAGGTCCATCCATGCTATCACAAGTGGTGAGATTTCACTCTTTTTATGGCCAAGTAATATTCCATTGTATATATGCACCACTGTCTGCCTGTTTTACCTTCCCTTTTCCTACAAGATTTATAGCTAGCACTCAGGCCTGGGGGTTGTACAGGTCACCCATGTAAATGCTGAAAGCCAGGAAGTGAATTTAGAAGAATCATGCCCTTTGTGGATGTCTTTACCTCCATGTTCAGAACATCCCGCCAAATTTAGAGATAAGTCAGAAGGATTACTGTCCATTGGAACCCTGCTCCTGGGGGCCTTCACTGCCTGCTGAGGGGTGTTCTTCCCCACGTCGATTCTACTGGAGTTATCAGACAAGACAGGTGGCCCCGTGGGGAAGCAACTGCAGGGGCTAAAAGAAGCAATTGCAGAGCCTTTCCTGATAAGGTGAGCTGATCCAAGGCTGAATTGTACAATCAGGGGCAGGGAGAGGGAGGGAGGAGGAAAATATTCAGAGGCCTCTGCTAAACATTTTATACAGGTTTTTAAAAAAATTCTCATGGGCGGGGGGGCAGGGAGAGAGAGACACAGATCGGCTGTATGCACCCCAACCAGGGATCGAGCCCACAACCTGGGTATGTGCCCTGACCAGAAATCAAACCTGCAACCTTTCAGTTACAGGACGATGCTCCAACCAACTGAGCCACGCTGGCCAGGGCTACATGGGCCTTTTAAAGGCACATGGCATTAAACCCTGATGCTTTAGAATACAGGCCCCTTTTGATTTCTGCCTTAATTGTCTGCAGGTGGTTGGATGGACAGTCGGCCCCTTGACTGCATTCAGGCTGCAACCAGTTCTCTGAGGAAGTCAGACGGTCATTTTACAGCCTGGGGTCTTTGCCAAACCAGAAGTGTGGCTCTAGAGACATTTCATAGTCCTCCCATCTTTCCCAACCCCCAAACTACCCTATTCCTCTCAAAATGCTTACAGATATTTAGAAAAGAATTGTCCCCAAAAGAAGGAAAATTTTAAATAGTAATTAACTATTTAATACTAGAGAAATAAACCTCATAACGCCTAGGAGAAAACTTGCGTTCTCTCTCCCGAAGATGGAAATCTTACCATGTCTCTGAAACATGAACATCTCGGGAGACAACTACGACACTGCCCACAGCCACCTGAGGCAGCAGTGAAAGGGGAAAGGACTTTCTAAAGCACAGGCTGCAATAAAAGCTCCCCTGCCCAAAATCTAGTCCACAGCCTCCGTAAGATTACTTATCAAGGGCCAAATACAAATCTTAGACGTCTTCTCCATGAATATTAGCAGAAAGCTTTAGCCATCTGACCAAGTACTCTTAACTTGTTCTATCAGAGACACAATTTGGATTCAACTGTTATTAAACTAATGAGTTTTGTATTGTTGTACCTGATTTGTGGTTCAAATTTTGGAACAGGAGCTACAGGGTATCTGTGTCTCTGTTTATGTATGTCTATGGATATATGTTACGAATATGTGGAATTTTCCTCTGTCCAGATGGTGCTGCCAAAATTAATTTCTCAAAAAGCTCTATTTATTGGATTGGCCAAAAAGTATTTAGTTTTTTTTCCATAAAATAGGACATTTTTTTATTTTCACAAATAACTTTATTGATTTGGATAGTTTGAGTATGTCAGCTATCTTCCACTGTTGGCTTCTAGTGGGTAGAGGCCAGGGGTGCTGCTAAACATCTTCCAATGCATTAAAACAGCCCCACAGCAAAGAATTCTTGGGCCAAAATGTCAATAGCACAAGAAACTTCACGAACCACTTTTGACAGGTTCGATCAGTCACAGCACCTTCTTCATAATTTTTTTTTTACATTTCCATTTCCTGAATCCCTGAAAACTGAATGTAAACAACCTGATAAAAACTTTCCACAAATCACAACAGCTCATGCGTGGACAATCTTTGTGCCTGCACTGTGTGGGCCACTCAGAGAGTTTACCTGAACATCCAATAACATCACTGGAGACAGTCAACCTGCAGAAGATGCTGTCATCTGACATCTAGAAACCTCGACTGGCAGCCCTGGGAACTCAAGACTGTGGTTGTGGCCTGCTCTAGTCATTAACCTTTGTTTTTCTTTCGTTTCCACAGAGATCTGATCGCCTGTACAATACAGGCTCATCGGGACGATGCTCCAACCAACTGCGCCACCTGGCCAGGGCCCAGAGGTAACTCATTTTTGTCTGAAAGACACCCGCACGGGTGGCACAAACATCTGATTGCCACACAGCCGTTCTTCTCACCTCACTTTCCTTACCCCTCTCCTCAGGATAGCGCTGCTACACAAGCCTCAACTGTCTAACTGCCTTGGAGTCTCTTATTTTTATGGGGCCCCAGTAACTGTGCAATTAAATTTTTCTGTTAATCTGTGTTATGGTAATTTAATTATTAGATCAGCCAAAGAATCAAGAAGAAAAGAAAATTGTCCTGCCCTGAAAATGTACATGCACATGCATACCCCCCCAAAAGAGTTGTAACTTCTAAAGAACAGGAAAAATCATTTCTTGGTTGGTCCCTAGTCTGTGGGTCTCAGACTAAGTCACTGCAGACACAGTTGCAAGAAGCCTGTAAATCCAAAAGTGTACAAGTGAGTAAGCCTGAATGTACTGGAATGTCCTTGAGGTTAATAAAATACAAATTATACTGAAAGTAAAGCCCTGGCTGGTGTGGCTCAGTGGACTGAGGCTGGCCTGCAAACCAAAGAGCCTCCTGTTTGATTCCCAGTCAGGGCACTTGTCTGGGTTGCAGGCCAGGTCCCCAGTAGAGGGCGCAAGAGGCAACCACACACTGACAGTTCTTTCCCTCTCTTTTTCCCTCCTTTCCCCTCTCTAAAAATAAATAAAATCTTAAAAAAATTAAAGAAGTGAAACAGGTATATTTTCCCTAACATTTTCGCAAACTTTATATTGGAATCATTTTGAACTTTTAATTTTCCTTTCATTTCTTCAAAGCTTATAAAATTAAATCATTCATTAATTCAAATCAAATGAATTGGCTAATGAAAATTCATGTTTGACTTCTATACTCCTGGAGTTTTTGGGTGTTTAAATGCATAGCTACTAAACAAACTCCTGAATTGGTTTTTAAATATTCAAAATATAATTTTAAATAAGAGTTTTAAAAGTTCAAGTGAATAACTGCTGACTCTAATGATACATACTTATGAAGCAGAATCTGTTACTTACAGCTCAGCAAAATTCTTCCAATCGTCTTCGCTAATGGACGGCCTTGTGTGACTGAGAGCAGTCATTAAATGAGACTGACTAATGGCCAGACTGGCTTTGACTGGTCCTGGTCGGGTAAGGGAGTCATCCTCCTTTAATAAAGAAAATGACAGAAAGTTAACTTTGGGACGTGATTAAAAAGCAGCAGTCCAAGTGTTCTTTCTTTTTGTCAGTCTTCTCAGGGGACCATGAATTCCCTTTCTGGTTAAGATTACTAAAACTTGCTTGGAAGCAAGAAGCACATAACAATTTGATCAACATGTTTCAGTCCCTTGTTTATAAATATAGCTCATTTATAAATCAAATAAATAGGCATACATTAAAAAAGGAAACAACTTTTAGAAAGTTGTTACGATTATAATGGTGGGGGGAGAGAAAAGCCATACTCCACTTTGGCTCTGGTATCTGCCCTTGATAATGCTGATATCGGCTCTCAGCTGATCTCTCTGTTCCTGTGTGAGTTCTTGGTAGCCTTCCTGGGAAGCTGTTCTAAACATGGGAGGCTGTGAGAGCAACTGCTCTTTCGTAGGAACTGCAGGGAAATCCTGAGTCATGGAGCTTGGTGCAGACAGGCACTGCGAGCTCTGCAGGGTCAGGTGTCATGATGAGAGAAAGAAAGGAAAAAGAAAGAGACAAGAAAAGTATGTGTTTATCAAAGACACAATTAAAAATTTTAAGCACTAAAACCTTAATATGGGTAAGCTTACATTTTAATTAACTGAAATTAAGCAAACTGTTCGTATTCTATAAAGGTCATTTGTATCTATGTTGAACCACCATTGGGTGGAAACTGCCACAGCGCAAGGTCCTGCCAATGCTCTGTTACTAAATCCACAGCACTTAAGCCCCAGGGATGGGTTCCAAATGAGCCTTAGTCCTAGTTTTCAACAAGTATAAGGTTCTGGGACATTTCCACATAGAAGTTAAGAAATGGAAGCCCTAGCTGGCGTAGCTCAGTGGATTGAGCGCGGGCTGTGAACCAAAGTGTCCCAGGTTTGATTCCCAGCCAGGGTACATGCCTGGGTTGCAGCCCATAACCCCCAGCAACCGCACATTGATGTTTCTCTCTCTTTCTCTATCTCCCTCCCTTCCCTCTCTAAAAATAAATAAATAAAATCTCAAAAAAAAAAAAAGAAATGGAAAACAGAATTAAAGACTCAAAACAATAGCTTACTACTCTTGGGAATAAAAAGTGGTCACTTATATTTTTTTAAAACCTGAATAGGGCAAATTTACAAAAACCAAGAAAAATATACATAAAAGTGTTATGTGTGCCAAAAAAAGTAACAATGAACTACTTGTAATATTGGGGGATATGTGTTGAATGCTACTTTAATTAAAAGAAAATGATGCCCCAGCTGTGTTGGTCAGTGGATTGAGCACCGGCCTGTCAACCAAAAGGCCACCGGTTTGATTCCCAGTCAGGGCACATGCCTGGGTTGGGGGCTAGGTTCCCTAGTTGGGGGCATATGGGAGGCAAATGATTGTGTCTCTTGCACATTGATGTTTCTCTCCCTCCCTTCACATCTCTCTAAAAAGTAAATAAAATGTTTTTAAAAAACTGATATTGCCTATATTTAATCTAAACATTTTCCCTGTTAAAACATTATTACTACTTACACTATTTTTACTGGGTTTGTACTTTCCACCAAAAGTTTAACAGATAGATACCATTTGGTTATCAACAATTTCTGACATTATTTTACCAAATTCCTTATTATCCTCAAATGTCCTAATAACAGAATTTAAATTTAATATAAAATGGATCTGCTACTAAAGATGTATGAGAACCACTGATGGAGATAAATCTGAAAGAAACCATCTGGCTACTTTGGCTCCCCCTAGCTGCCAGCTCTGTCTTATAGTTCTGACCAAGAAATGAAAAAGGCTAATTAGTGTAAAGAAAACAAGACTATTTTACTGAAGAACCAACCAATCAGAAAGAACACATGGGGCTGGCGAGGAGACAAATCACTGTTCAACTTTATATCAATATATGGCTTCATATCTCAGAACTGTCCAATGACGACTGAACACCATACCAAATCAGAAGAGGTTCCATTTCCAAGTTCCGATTCATAAGAGCTTCCAAAGTAGAGCCGGTACATGTTGAACTTGGACTCATCGGGAAGCATCTCAGACATCTCTAGAGAAACAAGTGACTGATCTAAGCCACACTCTCCATCTCCAGCTGAGTCATCAGAGCCACTGCTGTGGTTAAGAAAAACCATTGAAGACAGACTCAGATCACTGTCGGAACTGGAGCTTCCGTCCTAAAACACACAGAGGGCAACCAGTTGTAAGGATCTAAATAATCCGCAACTCAGAAATAACACAAAACATTCTAACAGACCAGTACAAGGCAACTTGTGGCATTTAAAAAAAAACAAAACTTATTCTCCAATGGTTTTGAAGACATAATAGAAATTTAACTATTACAATTTTTTAAAAGACAATATGGAATGTGTAGATAAGGTGCTAACCAGCTGTCCCAAAATTCTGTAACAAACCTAGGAGTCAGACTTCTGTACTTTCCAGATACAAACCTTTTCTGATAATGAAAGAGGAAAAGAAAGAACTTCAATATCTAACCAAAATTAACAACAAAAAGTTAGTAGTATCTGATTTAGGGACATTGGGCCTTGCAAGACTCCCCCCGCAAAAAAACGTAGGAAAGAGTACATAGGAAACCTCTTCCTAGAAAGTGTATTGTACAGTCCATAATGTAGCAGAGTTCAAATTACCTGCTATAAAAATTAAAATCAAACTACTATGCTTAGAGAAAAGGCTGATTCTAAGGCTTACAGAAAGTGGTACAAGATGAACCTAGAAGAACTTGTTCTGCCAGGAGGGTAAGTGACCAAAGAATGAGCAAAGGACACAAAAGCCACCCAAAAGCAGCTCCTATTGACCAGACTGGGGACAATGTGAGCTTCAAAATAGTTATTTTTTAAAATTAAAGTATCTTTCTGTCTGTATTATCTAATTCATGATATCCCAATTTAAATATCCTTCTGCACACGAACACACTTCGCCAACAGTAGGTAACGTTAAAAAGACACCAAACTCTTCTCGATTACAAATTCTCTGCAAAGTCAATATTTCAACTAGGGAACATTTGACTAAAGGTAAATGTCTATACAGTTTACCAAAGTTGCTAAAAAGCAGGATTTTTTCTCCAAGGTTGAGATTTTGGCACTGAACTTTCCTTATTGTTCATGAAACACCGTAGTAACCAACCATGTCCTCATGTAACTTACGGGGAGCCCACAGGACAGCAGCCTTCCGTGTAGGGCCTCCAGCTGGGCGTTGTAAAGCAAAGCTTTCAGGTCGGCTCCCGTGAAGGAGTCGGTTACTGAGGCCACGTGCTGAAGGTCCACGTCATCCGCCAGAGGGAGAGAGTCACTGAGAACGTTCAGAATTTCAAGGCGTGACACCTAAAGGGAGAAAAACTAACTCAGTTAACCAATAAGACATAAAATTAAATACTACTTTAAACTGTGTATCTGAAGATTTTTTAGAAATTAACTTTACATATTAAGTAAGTTTTATAAGTCAAAAAAAATGTACCACCAGTCTACTGTCTGTCCTCCTTGGGACTTTTTTCCTAACAGAAGGTGCACAGGGAAGAAAATGAATGAAAATCAATATTCTTAAGTATTCAGTGTTAAGTCATTTCTTATGCAGATGCTGCTTATTTTCTAGATTTGGACAAATGTGCTGAGAGTATTTAAAAAATTAAAATAATTTAAAGAATAGCTACATGTGACATATATTTAGATATTTTATACCTTTGACTAATTCTTTTGCTTCTAAATTTAGGGACAAGAGTTGGAACAACACAGGACTAAGAACAATTAAAATTCATGTCTCTATGTAACCTGCTTATGTGCTTATGAGTCATATGCTTGACTCTGTATCAGAGTCTTTTTTGCTGGGCTAATGAAGTGTGGGATCTTTAAACACAGGGAATGCGGACATGCACTACTTGGGGTTTCCTTCCTTTTTTTCCCAGCTGGCCAACACTGAAAGATCATGAAGTTTTTAGATTTGCATGGACATGGCTGGGCCAAAGACAGGCTCTGTACCTAAATCAGAATCTTTTTATGCTGTGAGCAGTGGCTAAGACCTTTGCCTAAAGCTGGTCTTCTGAGGACAGCTGCTATCACCTGGCAGAAGTCAAGTTCACAAGGAAAGAGTGCAGCATTTGTTGGGCTTTGGACTCTGAATATGGAACCGTCACCTGATCAGGAGGAGGACAGTATATGCATTTGTCCAGGCGTCCAGGCCTAAGCAGGGCAGGGTCAATCAAGTCAGGGCGACTAGTAGCAGCCAGCACGTAAACACCTGGGGGAAGAAAACACAAACTGTTCATGAAATCTTGGTGAGGCTTTGTTACAATGAAATATTTCGGTGTTTACAATGATTACCCTGTAAGCCTTCTACTCCGTCCAGCTGGGTCAGCAACTGATTAACGACCCGGTCTGAGACTCCTGTGTTATCGTGACCTCGGCGAGGAGCAATGGATTCAAACTCATCGAAGAACAGAATGCAGGGCTTTGCAGCCTGTGCTCTGGGAAAAACAAACAATATTTCATAGTTGAACAGGGCTTCTGAGTTTGCAAAGTAATTTTATATACATATGTATACACGTTATGTGTTTAAATCTTCACAATGAATTCCTGAAAAAAGGCAGGCATATGTAATTATCCTAGTTTTCAGTAAATTGGGTCTTAGAGAGGTCAAGGTGTCTGCCTAAGACTGAGGCCTTCTGGACAGGGACTAAAACAAAACCAGAGTCTTATATAATCAGTTAAATACTTCTTTGATTCTTAATATAAGTAAACATTTTTTATATGCCTATTGGTCACCTTTATTTCTTTTGTGAAATGCCTATTCACTCTTCTTGTGCATTTAAAATTTGGCAAGCTCATTGTTTTCATAGTTTCCCAAGAACTCTCTATAAAATATATTTTCGTTATGTATATTACCTTTTATCTAATTTGAACTTTGACTTTTAACTAATTTTGTTTTAATTAAACAGAAAAAAACAAATTCCATTTCTGGGAACAGGCTGGACTAGATGTCTGAAGAATTGCCCATAATACAAAACAGCTGTCATGCTGCTGATAAAAAAAGGACCAATAAACATCTCATTAACCCTGCGACGGTCGCGTGTATTCCAAAGAGATGCATTCATTACTAGTATGGACTGAAATGCAAGAAATAGAAATACTACAAATTTGCATTTATTATATTTATAGAAAATACATAATTCTTATTTATTTTTAGTTACAATGTAAAAATCATAAAGCAAAGAATAAAAAAATTTTCAAGTGATGGAAACGTGGATATAGCTGAAAATGCAATCAAGAAAATGTCTTTAACATTAATTAATCAGAATCTTCAATAACTGGCTTTGCAAAACGTTCATGGCAGTCATTGCAGACAGTATCGCTGTGCTCAAGGCACAAATGCTTCTCACAACACTTGCAAAAATATTTTGATAAGCAACTCAAGTAGCACTCACTGAAGTTCTTCAACATATTTTGGATTACTGAATCAGTATATTTTCTAGCCATTTTCAGTGGTAAATTAAAAAAAAAACAAAAAACCCAAACACAACACTGACTTCGAAGATCACGAAAAAAAACTACACCAACACTGACTTAAGAGTTCTCAGTATCTCTGAGATATAATTTACTATGGAATATCACACACTCTTACGAAACGTGTTATAACCAAACTTACGGCTTAAATGTTAATGGCTTAATATTAGTCACATACAAACATGCAGCTAGTCATGACCTTGAACCTATGTACCCGATATATGTAACAATACTTAAGGGTTTGCATCTCTCAGATCAGTCGTGACCTCTGCAGGGTTAAATGAATGACAAGACAAATCTTCTGAGGCCAACAAGAGACTAGAATGATCTGCTCATTGAATGACTGTCAAAACTCTCCTAGAAACCACTGGGTCTGATATTTGATTTGGGTAAAGATTTTTAACAAGTGACTCATTTTTTCCCTACAGTTACAGGACTATCCAGATTTTGTTTCTTCTTTCTGTGATTTTGGTCATTATCTTTTCATCTATGTCACCCAAGTTTCAAAGATACTGACATAAAGTTCATAATATTATTTCATAATTTTCCTTTCTTTTATGTTTCTGGGTATCTTTAGTCATGTCCCTCCTATAGCCCTAATACATACTGTTTATTCATACTCTTTATTTTTATCAAACTTCCTGGAGATCTATCAATTATACCAGGCTTTCAAAAAATATTTGGGTTTGTGAACTTCTCTATTGTTTTCTATTTCACTCATTTTTGCTCTTTATTATTTCCTCTTATTTTTAGTTTATATCTATACTTCCCTAATTTCTTTTTTTATATTTAGAACAATATTTTAATATATTTTATTGATTATGCTATTACAGTTGTCCCATTTCCCCCTTCACTCCCCTCTACCCTCACACCCTCTCCCACCCACTTCCCCTGCCTTTGGTTCATATCCATGTGTCATACTTATAAGTTCTTCAGTTTCTACATTTCCCATACTATTCTTACCCTCCCCCTATTTCCTACTTATAATCCGTGCTACTTATTCTCTGCACCTTTTCCCCCTCTCTCCTCCTCCCACTCCCCCGTTGCTAACCCTCCATGTGATCTCCATTTCTGTGGTTCTGTTCCTGTTCTAGTTGTTTGCTTAGTTTCTTTTGGTTTTGCTTTAGGTGTGGTTGTTAATAATTGTGAGTTTGCTGTCCTTTTACTACACATGTTTTTTTTTTAATCTTCTTTTCTTAGATAAGTCCCTTTAACATTTCATAAAATAAGGGCTTGGTGATGATGAACTCCTTTAACTTGACCTTATCTGAGAAACACTTTATCTTTCCTTCCATTCTAAATGAAAGCTTTGCTGAATAGAGTAGCCTGGGATATAGGTCCTTGTCTTTCATGACTTGGAATACTTCTTTCCAGCCCCTTCTTGCCTGTAAGGTCTCTTTTGAGAAATCAGCTGAGTCTGATGGGAACTCCTTTGTATGTGACTGTCCCCTTATCTCTTGCTGCTTCTAGGATTCTGTCCTTTATTTTTACCTTGGGTAATGTAATTATGATGTGCCTTGGTGTGTTCCTCCTTGGGTCCAACTTCTTTGGGACTCTCTGAGCTTCCTGGACTTTCTAGAAGTCTATTTCCTTTGCCAGAATGGGGAAGTTCTCCTTTATTATTTGTTCAAATACGTTTTCAACCTGTTGCTCTACTTCTTCCCCTTCTGGTACCCCTATAATTCTGACGTTGGAACGTTTGAAGATGTCCTGGAGGTTCTTAAGCTTCTCATTTTTTTGAATTCTTATTTCTCCATTCTTTTCTGTTTGGCTATTTATTTCTTCCTTCTGGTCCACTCTACTGTTTTGAGTCCCAGTTTCCTTCCCATCACTATTGGTTCCCTGTGCATTTATCTTCATTTCTTTTACGGTAACCTGCATTTTTTCACCTAATTTGCAACCAAAATCAACCAATTCTGTGAGCTTCCTGATCACCAGTCGTTTGAACTGTGCATCTGATAGGTTAGCTATCTCTTGGTTGCTGAAAAGGATGAGTTCTGGGGCACTGATTTGTTCTTCTGTTTGAGCCATCTCTCTCTCTTTTTTTTTTTTTTTGGTCTGGTCGCTCCTGTTATGGTGAGGGGCGGAGCCTTAGGTGTTCACCAGGGCTGGGCATCCCAGTCTCTAGATTGTGATGATGTAAGTGAGGGTGGGGTCAAGAGGAAACAATGGCGGTAGCTCCGCTCTCCCTGGGACCCCAGTCCCTTCTCTGGGATCCTGGGTTGCTCGCTCTGCCCTGGTCCACAATCGCTGCCTCACTGGGTCCGCCAGCTGTGGCTTGCGTACTCAGGGTCCACCTGCTGTGATCTTGCACGCCCCAGATGCCTTATGAGCCCAATTCTCCCTGTTCTCTGCTCCGCGCCCTGGTCTGGATGAACGGGTCTATTTCAACTTCTTGGCTGCCCGACTTCCATTCAGATAAATTTTCTGTCAGTTCTGGGTGTTATTCTGCCTCCAAATCATTGTTGTTCCAATTTTGGTTGTGCGTGGAGGTACGGTGCGTCCACCTATGCCTCCATCTTGCTGGAAGTCCCCTATACTTCCCTAATTTCATGAGATGGATACCTACTCATCAACTTTCAGTAATTTTTTTAAAATGAGCATTTAAGGCTATAAGTTTTTCTTGAAATAAGTTGTGCAGCATCTGATAATTTTAATAGAATTTTCATTATTATTTAATAGTGCTGAGTATCTTACATTTCCTCTTCAACCCATAAATTTAGAAGAGTGTTTATTTTTTAAATATCTAAATGAATGGGAGGGGATTATCCTTTTATTTTAACTTGTGTTTTCAGAAAATAGAATCTGTAATGATACTGTTTCTTTGAAACTTACTGCTATTGCTATTTATGGACTGGCATATGGCCAGTTTTCGAGTATGTTCCAGGTGTGCTTGAAAAGAATAAATATTCTCTAGTTGCTGGGTACATGTTCTAAACATGCTTAGATCAATCTTGTAGAATATACTGTTTCAATCTTCTAAATTTTTACTTTTAAAACTCTCAACCAAACTACTGAGATCTGTGTTAAAATCCTACTATGAAGGTGGATTTGTGAATTTCTCTTGCAGTTTTGTCAATTTTTGCCTTAAATATTTTGAAGCTATCGTATTAGACAGAAACAATTTTAGAATTGTACTATCTTCCTGGTAAACTGACCCTTTTGTCAGTATGTGGACTGTCTATCTATTAAATAATAATGCATTCCTGATAATGTTCATTTCTTAAATTGGGTGGTGGATATACAAGAGTTCATGATTTTTCTTCAAAATATATATGTATATTACATATATTCTTCTAATGGCTTATTTTATAATAAAATTTTAGAATAAAGTAGCTTTAATTTGAAAACTCCCTATAATCTGATATTTAAATAATTATCTTGATTCTTAAATATCAGTTTCTTATTCATATGTATTTTATATAAATGCAGCAATAGCTATACTCTATTTTAATTAAGTTGGCCATGTGGAATCTTAGTTTAAAAAAGATAAACTAGAGTGATTATGTGCTTCATACTAGGATCTACTTGGAGAGTCTTTTGAATGACCACTTATGATTCCACTTTGAACACTTCAGGAATATTTCTATTGTAAACATAAAACCAAACAATTTCCAAAACTCAATACTGAAAATGTTTTATATTTAAGTGGTATTCAGTGAAACAGAATCTTTGTTCTCCACATAAATCACAGGTCTAAAATATTAGTTCTAAAACAAAACAAAACAAAAAAACCCACAAACAAAAACAAATGAAGACCTAACAACATTGATTGATAGATAATAGAGTCAGCGGCTTAAAAAACACTCATAGGTAACCAACCTAATAAAAATATCCCGAACAGCTTGTTCACTTGCTCCAATATATTTGCTGAGTAACTCCGGCCCCTATTAGATAAAATAAAATTAAATAAGAGTAAGATAAAATTTTTTAAAAATGAAATATAATTTTTGTTTAAGACTAAGTCTAAATGCAGTCATGAAAAAATTTTAATGATTAAATAAATGTCTCAAACACATTTAAAATTATGTGGCTGGAATAAATATCACACCACAAGTCCCACCCTGGTCTCCTCTGCCTATAACATCTGCCCCCAGACAGTCTCATGGCCCACTGGTTTGTTCCACGTAGATCTCCGACCCAACGCCAGGTCCTCAGAAAGGCCTCACGGACGACCCCCTCTGTGACCCAGCCCAGGGAAGTGACTGTGCACCTCCTGACCCTGCTCGCCTTCCTCATCAGCATCCACCACCAGCCGACGGTGTATCACACACTGACTGTGTAAGTGCTGAGTAATTACTTGTTTAGTAAAGCAGTGAATGGTTTACAAAGGGAAAACATTCCATCTTTCTCAAATCTTTGGAAATTCCAAAAAATATGTAATAAGATGAATTACTTTAATCAGCATCTTCAATTACTGAGGCCAGTTTATTTGTACAGAAGTTGAAGAATATGCAATCTAAAACAAACTTTACTACATATAACAAAATCAATAATAAGGACAGTATTTTAAATTGGGATCTTAAAATTTAAAACAAAAAACTGAATAGGCCCTAAAGTGATCTCCAGTGAAAAATTATTACCTCAAAAAGACCAAATACTGATCAGTATATGTGACCCAAATCAAGAATATCTAATACACAGCCATCTACATATCTATTAATATACCAGCATTTAATTAGATTTCCTTAACACAATCAGAGAACTACAGAGGATGGAACAAGAAACAACTAAGGCCAAACATGGGGGACTAGGCAGCAGCACACTGGTGTCAGTGCAAGGACCCTGTCCTGGGAGCACACCTCCGGGGACTGGCCCTGCCCCAGCCCCGGAGCTGGAGCTTGCTACTGAAACCTTTCCACGGAGAACTCACCCCGAATCATGATTTGGGGATTTACTAAAGGGGTAAGATGTCCTCCCTGATGGAACAATCTAAAATACAACAATTATCACAAGTTTTAATCTCGAAAATTATGTCTTTTTAAAAATAGTGGAACTATATTCTAATGACAAGCAAAAAGAAGAACATGGTCACAGTTATTCCAGAATCCAGAAAAAAGAAGACAGGAAATTGTAAACATTATAGTGTTTCTCCATTATTGCCATGAAACCAGCTCACAACAATTCACATGATGAAAGAAGGGTAGGCGTTAACTGGATCGTGAATTTACTGCACGGGCTTTCAGGTTATATATGAATCACGTCACAATATATGCCTGCAATGTAACCACACTTTGGTATACTAACCTTGCTGGACCCTGAACCCACACAACAAAGAAATCATACCCCAGACTAGTGGGCTATGAGGCCTACCCATGGCCTATGAGACATGCTAGCATGTCCCTTAATTACCACACTCACCTGGTATCTGAAAACACTTAGACCTAGTGTGACACAAGTGAAGGAGAAACACGGCCAACAAATGACAGAACCGTAAAAACCCAGCCTCCCGCCTCAGTGTGCTCTCCAGCCCCTAATCTTCTAGGTTTTCTTCTCCCTTCAAGTACAGTGTGCTCTTCGCTCTCTGATTATTTATGTGTAATTCTATGTATAATGCATGAAGATTTGCCTTGAGCAGAAACACAGTGAGCCCTACAAGAGAGGTGGCTCATTATTCAATGTGCCTCACAGCTTTAATAAATGGGTCACTGTTCCTACTAGTTTTCCAAATATAAAACCCACAATCAAGAGACATAAATGGTGTTGGCGGGAATGTGGAGAGAGACCCTCAGGCATGCTGGTGAGAACAAAATGGTGCAGTCACGGTGAAAAACAGTCTCGGGTTTCTCAAAAAGCTACACATAGAATCACCCTATCACTCAGCAGTTACACTCCAAGGTATAGATATTCAAGAGAAATGAAAACATGTCTACACACAAATTTGTACACAATTTAGAGCAGCATTATTTGTAACAGTCAAAAGGTGAAAACAACCTAAATGTTTAGCAATGATGACACATACACATATTGTGCCACACCCATACAAAGGAATATTGTTCAGGCGTAAAAGGACTACAGTACGCGCTACAACTTGGATGAACATTGAACATATTATGTTAAGGGACAGAAGCCTGTTGCGTGACATATAATTCCTTCTATATGACATGTCCAGAACAGGCAAATCCATGAGACAGAAAGCAAATCAGTGGTTGCTGGGGGAAGGAGGGAATGGGGAATGGGATGGAGAGTTTAGAAACTAGAAAGAAGGAACAGTCACACAGTATTGTGACGGCATTCAATGCTTTGAATTGCTCAATGGTTAATTAATGTCACATAAACACTATATCAGTAAAAAAAGAAAAAAGAGAAATGCACAACATACCTTGACGCTGATAAAATTCATCCCACTCTCTCGTGCAATGACTCCAGCGAGCAGGGTTTTCCCTGTCCCAGGAGGCCCGTACAGCAGCACTCCTGTTCTCTGTCGTATGGGCAAGTTCGCAAATAACTCTGGGTACTGGAAAACACGAAAGTGTGACCAAGAGCTCAGGTCCGAAATGAATGACTAAGCAGCAGCCAAATATCAATGTACAGAAGAAAGTATTCAGATGGCAGTAACTGCCACCTCTATTACAGAGCAATGATGGAAAATGGACTCAAGCGAACTACCTCAGATTTTTCTCAGCTGGACCATAGCACACATTCTACATAAAATCTATGTAGCCGCATCAAATTTTTTCCATTTTTTCCTGTTTAATTAACATTATAAAAGTATTGCATTAAGAAAATTAAAACCAATCTTTTCACAAGGACACTGCCCTCTATTCATATGACAGCTATGTATATTCAAAGAAAGAAAATGGTAGAAAAGCTTGGGTAATAACAGTGAAATCTCCCATCTAATTCTGCTAAGGTCCTTCCCCATCTCTCTCCTCTGTGCAGGTCCCTGACCTCAGGCAGTGATCCTTCTCTCAGGTTTCCGATTCAAGCACACTAACCCCTAGACTCGACCTTCTGATTTAAAGAGCGACCTACACTCGCTCCCTGTGTCCTGCCATCTGCTGGGTCTGTGCTGCCTGATAACCCCGCCTTCAGGACTGCCACCCAGAGTATGGAAATCGGGCTTATCCATCTGTTCTGTGACCGAGATGACTCTTGCACTTCCCGGCTGATTCCCATCTATTTCTGTTCAAATCCCAGCTGACAGCTTGTTCTGCTTTGGTACACGCCCAGCAAAATATAAGAGTTACGAAATCTACATCAAAATGTATTTACTGTAACTATCACCCCAGTTTTCCTTATAGGATTCTTATGGGCAAGGAGTATAACAAATACTTTAAAAACCTGTTAGTGTACTAAAAGCAGTGCGAGACTCTTCTCTGGTAACTAAGTAAATACCTGTTAGATCGAACTGAGACTGGGGAAGCCAACACAGGGAGCCAAAGCCAACGACTCTGCGGTTCGTCTGGGAGTACTGGATTTTTTTAAGTACCTTGGCTGGTAACTGGATAGTGTCCATGAGTATCTGCCGCACTTCGTGTAACCCACCGATCTTGTCCCAGCCCAGGTCCTGAGGTTTATGCAGGTTGACGTTTCGCAGAGATGCAGGAATAAATCCTTGGAGAGCCTTTTGGAAGTCCAGTGTTGTTAAAACTAATTCTGTTTAAAAATGAACAAAACTACTTTTGGTCGTCCTATCTGTATATGAATTTTCAAAATATGTCAATTAACTTAGCTAGTAATGTCAATCTTCTACTGAAATAACTATGTATTTGAATACTTTAATGGAATATATTTAATGCTCGCTTTATTACAATTACATTTCTACATCACGGAATAAAGATTCCAAATTTTGGTTTTAATAGTAAAACATACCTTCCCTGGTGGATATACTTTGATAAGAGAGACAAGAATGTATGGCTCGATCCACAAGCACCGTAAAATCTCTAGCCACAAACCCTTCAGTTTCTTTAGCTATACGTTGCAGGTCAAGATCAGTGAACTTGTTTATGTCACAGTCCAGTTTATTTTTTATTACATTATGCAGAATTTCATGTCTTTGTTCCTGAAGAAAAAAAAATCAAATTTCTAATTTTGCTCGGCTGTATATTTAGTGCATATACTTTGAGAACTACCAGGCCAGCATCACCTACAGTGGCGGGAAGCACTCTGGTGGTTATCCCTGCGCAGAGTGGGGGAGGGAGGGGCGGCAAAGGGGCACCAGGAAACATCCGGGAGTGAGGGAGGTGTTTGCTGCCCTAACTGTGGTGATGGTGTCATGGTACATACACATGTTAAAAGTGAGCAAACTGTACATTTTATAATAAATAATTTTTCTTCAGTTATATCTAGTAAGTTATAAAAATAAATACTGATAAATGATTGCTATTTCTTCCTCCAGTAAGAAGCCTTTTTAGTAAAATCTGGTTACTGTGTTTTTTTTTTGTTCCTATAAAACTTACTTCTAAAAACATGTTCAATGACCAATACCACTATACTACTATCATTCCATTGTGTTTAATAATAGGTATAATACTTTATTCTTCAGTAACAGTCAATTAGCACAGGGTCTGAGTATTCAGGGTAGATGCTAGGTAAGAATTTTAAGTAAGAAGTTAAAATGTGCTTGCCAGTCCCAGATGTGCCACTGCCACTAAAACCATCATGAACTTGAGTGCCTAAAGGAGACAACATGCCATATGTACTTGTGATTCTGTGATTTATAATATGAAATATATATTTGGTCTTTGTCTCTTTTTCTGGCACAGATTCCCTACAGCCCTTAGAATTTCCTAAGTGATAAGAATGATAAAGGTGTCTCTTTTTTTTAACATTCTGTTGTTGCCTTCATTGTACTCTTCTTTTAAAAAATTTTTTTAAAGATTTTATTTATTTATTTTGAGAGAGGGAAGGGCGGGAGAAAGAGAGAGAGAGAAACATCAATGTGCAGTTGCTGGGGGCCGTGGCCTGCAACCCAGGCATGTACCCTGACTGGGAATCAAACCTGAGATGCTTTGGTTCGCCGCTGCACTCAATCCACTGAGCTACGCCAGCCAGGAGGTGTCTTGATATTATAATAAAAAATCCCTTTTAATCACACCTGAATTTATGTTAACAAGGTGATTTTGGAAAGCACCTAAAGATAGGGGCTGGTTGCCAGGGGAAGCAACCATAAACAGAGGTTGAAATTTTCAGACCCATCTCCTGACTCCCCAGAGGGGAAGAGAAGCTGGAGGCTGAATCAACTGCCAATGGTCAATGATTTAATCAATCACATCAATGTAATGAAGCCTCCAAAACAGTCCAAAGGAGGGGGTTCAGAGAGCCTCTGAGTTGGTGAATCAGATACTTCCATGTGCCAAGGTGCTGGGCCCCAAAATCCATAGGGCAGAAGCTCTTTTAGGAGGACAGGACCTCACCCTATGTGTCTCTTCATCTGGCTGTTGACTCATACCCTTTAACATCCTCTGTAACACACCGGTATAGTGAGTAAACCAGTGTCTTGAATTGTGTGAGCTGCCCCAGCACATTAATCGAGGAGGGGTCCCCAAGGAGGGGGCTGTGGGAACCTCTGTTTTACCCAGTTAGAAGTGCAGGTAACAGCCCAGACTTGAAATTGTGTCTGAAGTGGAGGGCTGTCTGGGGGGACTGAGCCCTTAACCTGTGGGGTCTGACCCATCTCCAGGTAAACAGTATTAGAGTGTGGTGACTGCTGGAGGGAGGGGGTAAAAGGAGTCTAAAAGGTAAAGCAAAATAAATAAATAAAGAAAGAAAGAAAGAAAGAAAGAAAGAAAGAAAGAAAGACTAAATAAAATACAAAAAATAAATAAAAGAATTGAGTTGAATTGTGTAGGGCACCCAGCTTGTGTCCAAGAATTGCTTAGTGGTGTGAGGGAAAGAGTAACATGTTGGAACTGGATGTGGAATTGTAGTGGGTACAGAATATCCGTGCTGGTAAAAAAATAAAATCAGTTAATTGAATTTTTAAAGTAGATCTATTTGCAATCTCACTGCTCTTTCTCATTAAGAAAAAATGCTTAAAAAAGATAATTACTGCCCCAGACAGTGTGGCTCAGTTGGTTGGAGCATCATCCCGAGAACCGAAAGGTCGCCAGTTTGATTCCCAGTCAGGGCCATGGCTGGGTTGCAGCCTCGGTTGCCTGAGGCGCATAAAGAAGGCAACCAATTGATGTTTCTCTCACGCGTCGATGTTTCTTATCCACTCTCTCCCTCCCTTCCCTCTCTCTAAAATAAAAAATAAAATATTTAAAAAGAAAAGCAATTATGTGAGGTGGTGTGTTAATTAAGATATTGTAGTAAATATTTCACAATGTGTATCAAATCATCATGTTGTATACTTTAAATACGTGCAGTTTTGTCATCTATACCTCAATGAGGCTGAAAAAATTCTAATTTCTATGGTGTATTTACTGATTTCACCAATGAAAAACTGAAACAATTCAGAATTCTTAGGGTTTTTGTTCCTTTTTAAATGGAATTGGAAAAAAGAAAACTTTAGTTTAAAAAAAGAAGAAATGCTGTTTTCAAAAAAGCCATTTCCTTGGAAAGTACAAAGTAACATTTCAGACAGTTATGAATGGAAATTGTATCTAAACATAATATGCATCAAATGCCACCTTTTAAAATATTAACATAAGCATTAAGTTTAAAGCCACAAATAATTAATAAAACTCAAAAATAGTTCACATAAAGGATACATTTCAACAACCTTCCAAAGCAGCATGTTACCTGATCAGGAGGTTGAATATGGTGGACACACTGAAATGTGTGAATTCCTTGAGCAGAAACAAGTGAAGGATGGAGAGAATGCTGAGACTGGCTTGTGGCAATCAGCGCAACCAAACTTCCCATGGAAATAAACTCTTTCAAAATATCGTTCAAAGCTAGAATTAAACAATATAGTGTTAAAAGCTTAGTCAATATAAACATAAGAAGTTTAAATTATACATTCATTAAAAATAATAACCTAAAGTCGTGCTTTAAGTCAGAGTATGAATGGTTAGGCTCCTTCATACCTTTTAAAAATTCATTCATTCATTTATTCATTCATTCATCTACTAAGGACCTAAAATTTTTGGCCAGGCTCTAACCAATCTAATAGAGGGGGCACAGGAGGCACTGTATGCTCAGAACAATGCCTAGTAAGGTTTCTGACTACTGGATCTTGTCAAGTAAATGAAAAGGAGTCTCTGAAATAAGTATTATGGAAGGATGATAAATGTCCACATTGTGTTCTGTTAATAAAGCAAAATGTAGCTCATATTCCTGACCTCTTGAACAATCTCTTTCCACCCCAAGCCTTGTAAGTTTGGTTGGCATGAGGTCAAACCAGAACCAGGCATTAGGAGCATATGTCTGAGTCCTGAGGCAGACACAGGCAGCATGCCCTTCGACACCACACTAACAGGCCTTGAAAGTGCTATAGGCTTGGAAATGTGAGACTAACACCAGTTTATATAACCGAGCCACTGAGGTTGCATTTTGTATCTATTTTCACTCTCAAGAACTTTGAGGCAGCTAAATGCTGCCAAAGCTTCCAGTGCCCCTGACCCAGTCCTCTTCTTGAATTCTCAGCCCCAGTCATGAGTTATTCTGTAACAGCATGATTCTTGTACCTGTGCCTTTGCCTGCAGACACTTCCTTTGGTTCCTCATTAGCATGAAGCTGCTTCACACTAATTTCTACTCCTCCATCAAAACTCATCTCAGGCCCTGGCTGGGGTGGCTCAGTGATTGAGCACTGGCCTGCAAACCAAAGAGTCACTGGTTCGATTCCCAGTCAGGGCACATGTCTGGGTTGCAGGCCAGGTCCCCAATTGGGGGCACACAAGAGGCAATCACACACTGATGTCTCTCTCCCTCTTTCTCAAAATAAATAAAAATCTTTTTTAAAAAATTAAAAAATAACTCACCTCAGTTATCAACTCTTCCAAGAAGCCTTCCCTGATAACTCTTCAACCCCCATACCACACCCAGTTTTGGGTATGTGCTCCCCTAGTATCCTGTAATACTCCAGAGGATACCAGACCACCTCCTAGTTATGTCACCCTGGTCAAAATGACCTATTCTTTCATTTCTATTTACCCACCTGAAAAACTAGGAGAACTTCTGTGTGTACAGTACAAAGCCAGTCCCTAGCCCAGAAAGGGCACTGAACACATGGCAGCTATCATTATTATTAATATTCCGAACTACAAACCTTCTGTTTACTTTTCTCTCTTCTCCTGGACTTTGAAAACACAGACTGTGCACAAGCTTTAGACAAATATTTGTCAAATGAACAAAGCTAGAGTAAATCTGTACAATTAAGCAATTTCTAATCAGTACAGGAGAGTGAACAGGCCCCAAAGACTGGCACGAAGTTGCAGACTCTTCACACTGCCCTTCTTCCACCAATGTTGCTAACACAAAACAAGTGTAGAATGCTACCAGAAGCTCAAAAGCAACACATAGCATAGATATAGTCTATTCTCTGAAGAGAGCGGATTCACCACTAAGACCAGAAACGCTGTAAGAGAGAAAGGCCTGAAGCCAGAGAGAGGGTGCGCTGCCATTACCATGTGCCAGCCGCTGGCTCTGCACCGCCTCAGGGCCGTGCTCCTGCTCCGGCGGGGCCGGCCTGCCGGCCAGGAGATCCAGGTCATCCAGCAGAACAACTGCAGGCTGCCGCCACACTGCCTCCGAGAAAGCTGCCTCTAAGGTTTTTTGTATGTTTTCAAGCCTTTTTCCTTAAGACAGAAGATTTTAAGTGGTTTAATGTTATTTCAGGATTAGGGAAGTTCAGACCGACCTTTTGAAAGCATTAGAAAAGCTCAATATTGACTCAACTATGAAGATTCGATACACAGTTTGTTAAATGCCAATCGTTAAAATTTGTTAATCATGTATATGGTTTCATTAATACCACATTGAAGGACTAAGTACTGAATTTTATAAAAAAGGAATATGTTACTGCAATTTCTGTATGTATGTATCTATACCTAGCCTCATGCTATACAGAATTTCAGATGGCTTAAAACAAAATAGTAAAATGGAAGCGGGTTGTGGGAAAACGTAAATGAGAATAGGAGATCAAGCTTCAGATAACATTAAAACAAATGACCCTAGAGTTGCTATATTTGAATCATAAATTTGGTTTTAAACTTCCCACTGAATTACAAAGTTTTAATTTTCAGATGAGATCGGGTGCATTCAGGGTGGTATGGCCATAGACCAAAGTTTTAATTTTCAAAGAACAGAAAATATACCAACTCATAAGCCAATGTAAAGAGTTCCTGTTATTTAGCTCTAAAACAAAATTTTCGCATGAAGCCTCAAACAGGACTGAGAGATGGGCAATCTCTCCAAAACCACCTTAACAGCATACGAGATAGTGGGTTTTCCAAGGTTGTTTCGTAGTTTCTTATCATATACTAGACTAAAAAAATACCTGAAAGTAAAATGGCGAGTTGGGATGATAGGGCAGTGGTAACCAAGGGAAGAAAAATAACTACTCAGGGTAAAATATTTCTAGTCATTTTCTCTGTTGAACAGATGACAACGTCGAAGACTTTTAAAAGCACAGACGTGCATGCGGCCAACTGTAATTCTCCGTTCTGCCGCCCAGACCCACTCACCGCCCCCCGCCTGGCACCACTCTGCCAGTCTCCCACAGCAATGCAGGGACAGGTCATACCCATCAGTGTACATTCTAAACTCAAACTTTCTCGGGGTGGCATTTCCAGGAAAATATTCTAAGAGTTTTGGCTAGAAAAAAATAGGCTTCCATTAACTATGGAGAGTTTTCAAAAATTTATTAAAACATTAGAAAGCTGGACAAAGATTTAAAATTTCTAAGGAGTTTCAAATTAGATAGTTGTAATTTATTAAGTTCACAGCATTAAGTAATAACATTTCTGTCTTTCTACCCAAAAAGGGAGTTACGTACAGTGTTCATACCTCGCAAAGCTTCACAGTCAACTATCTCCACATGGGCATCCAGTATGTCAAATGCTTCTCTACAGACTGCCTTGGCTAAAGTTGATTTTCCACTTCCCTACAAAATAGTTAATTCATAAGAACTCTCAATATATTCAGTCACAGAAAAAGGTCTTGTCACTGTGGCAACCACAAAAATTAAGCCTCATCAATCAAATATGCATGACATAATGTTGTATGACAACTACAGCTCAATAAAGCTGAGGGAACCCACATCACTGGAACCCTAGCATCACATCATGGTGAGTCACATTTAACATCAAGTAAATTAATGGGAAGGAGTGAAAATGTGGGTTCAGGACGTTGTAAAAGGGCAAATCCCACTGCTGTATAAGTAGGAAAAAACTGTTTTCTAAGTACTCAAGTCTAGCCAAGAAAACACATAATATTCTACAAAAAACCAGGAGGTTCCATCTTCTTAGCATTAACAGCAAGATTCAAATGTTATATAACCATAAGGTTAACACAATGATTGCACAGCGCACAGACTTACACAGACTCACTCCCTCTGGTCTCCAGCACCGGGGCAGCAGCTTGAAGGGCACCAGCAGTATGGGCGGGGGGGAGGGAACTGAAGTGTATGGCATTATGGTGACAGCTGGGGGACAGCTTCCTCCCAGACAGAACTGCAGAGACTGGCTATCTTACATTTTCTGAGCCCTCTCCACCAAAGCCACAGTGAGGTGGCACCATATCTGAATGTCTTTCAACCTGACTCACAAGGTAAGCCCCACCCTGACAATTACCTAAGGGTCTGCCCCATCCAACTTACCGGCCCACCCAAGCAACCCTCCCACCCTGGTAACAGTGGCTTTCCCATATGAAGGGCTGGGGTAGGTGCAGGCTTCAGATCTTTATCTGCTCAAACAAGCAACAGCTGAGCCCAGCCTCCCCACCCCTCACCACTCAGAGTGGCCCCAGGCTTGGCACTAGCAGCAGCCATCTGCAGATTGCTTACAGCTTACACCACAGGGCCCCAGACAGAACACAGGTGGAGGCTCAACTTGGCCTACATCATCCGGGAAAACCCAGGGCCTGCGCACCCAGCAGACAGTTACAGACCACGTCGACCACGTGGGAGGACCACTTCATCACTTCCACAAGCCACAGAGGGAGGCAGTGGCTGGCCAGGGGTCACAGCCAGTCCTACCAGCTGTCTCCCATTCATCCCAGTCCTCCCACTGACCTGCTGACAGCAATCAAGACTCATCTACAAGATGAGGGAGTAACTCAGCCAATACGGAGGGAGCGTCTCGAGTATACAGCTTGGCATATAGGAGAGGCTGTGTCACTGGACCCTACAGGACACCTACTACATTAGGCCATGCTACCAAAGAAAACAAAGTCAGAGCCTTTTGCTATTGTGGCACCATTTGCTGAGCAGGCCTGTGACCTTGTTAAATAAGACAGACATTTTATTCTTCTAAGATAACATCCTCAGGACTGGAAATTACTGGAAAGCAAGAACAGAACATGTAACCATCCCCCACGACAAAGGCAGAAGATAACAGTGGTGCAAACTGCAGCTTATGCAAAACCACCCGAAACCTCCTGTGCTGCAACAACCCTAACAGCCCAGGGGGGCACATAACAGCAACCCCCTCACCCTTTTATAATCCAATGAAAGCTCAAAGTTCCCACCCCTCAGTGCTGGTGCATGTCTCTGTACCAGCCCCTTCCCTCTCTTGGGAAAGTAAAATAAAACTTTGCTCGCTGCAGTTTCTTTCTTGGTGAATTATTTCACAGCCTGCATCACCGACCACTCTAGCAATCAAGACACAGAGTCAAAGCAGCTCTACCTAATACACAGAAACAAACACAGGGAGGCTGCCAAAATAAGGAGACAAAGAAACATGACCCAAATGAAAGAACAGATCAAAACTCCAGAAAAAGAGCTAAACAAAATGTTGATAAGCAATCTATCAGATGCAGAGTTGAAAACACTGGTTATTAGGATGCCCAAGGAACTCAGTGGGGACTTCGACAGTATAGAAAAGACCCATGCAGAAATTAAGGATATACTAACTGAAATAAAGAGCAATTTACAGAATAAAAACAGCACAGTGAAGGAAGCCAAGAATCAAATAACTAATTTGGAACATAAGGAATAAAAAGACATCCAATCAGTGTAGCAAGAAGAAAAAAGATTCCAAAAAATTGAGGATAGTGTAAGGAGGCTCTGGAACAACTTCAAGTGATTTGCATCATGGGGGTGCCAGACGGGGAAGAGAAAAAGAAATTGGAAACCTGTTTTAAAAAAATGAAAGAAAATTTCCCTAATTCGGCGATGGAAATAGACATTCAAGTCCAGGAAGCACAGACAGTCCCAAACAAGATGGAATACAAAGAGTACCACAACAAGACATATCACAATTAAAATGCCAAAGGTTAAAGATAAAGAGAGGATCTTAAAAACAGCAAGAGAAAAGCAGGTAATTACCTACAAAGGAGTTCCCATAAGACTGTCAGCTGATTTCTCAAAAGAAACTTTGCAGACTAGAAGGTACTGGCAAGAAATATTCAAAGTGATGAAAAGCAAGGACCTACAACAGAGATTATTCTACCCAGCAAAGTTATCATTTAGAATGGAAGGGCAGATAAAGTGCTTCCCAGACAAGGTGAAGTTAAAGGAATTTATTATTGCCAAATCATTATTATATGGAATGTTAAAGGGACTTACTTTAGGAAAAAAGATCAAAGCTATAAATATTAAAATGGCAATAAATACATAATGATCAACAATTGAATCTAAAAAACAAATTAAGCAAACAAGCAGAACAGAGATGGAATCACAGATGTGGAGACCATTGGGATGGTGGCCAGTGGGAAGTGGGTCTGAGGGAATGGGGGAAAAGGTGAAGGGATTAAGAAATACAAATTGATAGGTACAGAGTAGGCAGGGAGACGTTAACAGCAAGTATAGGAAATGGAGTTGCCAAAGAACTCATATGCAAGCCCCATGGACATGAACAAAGGAGGGGGTATTGCTGGATGGAGTGAGGGATGCTGGGTAGAAGGGGGTTGAGGGGAAAAAACTGGAACAACTGTAATAGCGTGATCAATTAAAAATACATAATAATTATAAATACTTAGTAGAGAAAGGTAAAAGTCTTCTGTAATCATCCCACTGCACAGAAGTAACCTCTGTCAATTGTTTTGATGTATCATCCTTACAGGCATTCCACATACATCTTATGAGCATTTAGGAAGATGGGATTACAGTATTTATGGGAGTTTACAGTAAACCACTGTCCTCTTTATCAACAAATACGCAGTGAGTCCACTCCCTAGTGCAATGCCACTGTGGGATGCACTGGACCACAACATTCAAAAAGCCTTCTTAACTGTATATCCACTCTGCTTCCAATGTCTAAATACTGCAAGTAAAGCTAAAATAAATATACACCTACATCTGAGTTTACTTATTTGGCAGGTTATATGTTTAGAATAATATCTAGAAGTGCAATTACATCAAAACCTTTGTTTGTTTTACATATTTAAAATTTTGCTATGAATTGCTATAGTGCCCTATAGAAAGGCTACACATTGGTAGGTTTTTATAGTTTTTTAATATACATTGGTTTTCTCCCTCTTTCAGATATTAGTAATCCATATTCACAGGGGGTTACTTTTAACAATCCATTTGGTTTATAATTTGTACACTTTGCTGAGTGCTCTATTTCCACTTAAAATTAAAAATATGTAAAAGTAAAATAATGCAAATTCTATCATGGCCTCGTATGATAAATTCAAAATTCCTTTATTCTTTTTCCCCAGCTTAACTGGGCTATCATTGTGAAATAAGGACTTTGGGTGAGTTTAAGGTACACAACACAACGATCTGACACACTTAAGACACTGCGAACTGACGACCAGGACAGAGGTAATTAACACCGTCACCCCTCCCTCACGCAATTACCCTTTCTTTTCGTGGTGGGAACATTTAAGACCTGCTCTCTCAGCAACCTCAGGTGTATAATACCGTTACCTATAACCACCATGCTGCACATCAGATCCTCTCTTTCTTTTCTTAGCTTGGCTAGAAGCTTATCAATTTCCTCAATCTTTTCAGAGAAGCAGATTTTAGTTCCATGTATTTTCTCCATTGATTACATTTTCAATTCATTGATTTCTGCTCTAATTATTATTGGTTTGACCAAAAAGTCTGGTTTTTTTTCCATAAAATAAAAGACACATTTTTCATTTTCACTAATAACTTCATTGATTTGAATATTTTGAGTATGTCAGCTGTCTCCCACTATTGGCTTCTAGTGGGTAGAGGCCAGGGTGCTGCTACACACCTTCCAATGCATAAAACAGCCCCACAGCAAAGAATCATTTGGCCAAAATGTCAATAGTACCAAGAAACTCTGCAAACCACTTTTGACATGTTCAATCAGTCACAGCACCTTCTTCTATACACTGCACCAACTTTTTTGCGTTTCAGTTGTGTTTTCACCTTTCTTGAAATGACAAACCACAATATACCGAAAATGTTGCTTATTTCCTTCTTCATTATTAAAATGGCTACACAAAAATGCACCAAATTTGTTTTTTTTTTAAATGCATGCTGATATGACAGCTGTCACAATATAATCTAACAAATTTGTTTCAAATGAAGTTAAGGCAAGGAAGCACTAATAGAACCATCGAACAGGAAAAAAAAACTAAACAAACTTTTTGGCCAAGCCAATATTTCTCTTCTGCTTACACTGGGTTTAATTTGTTCGTTCTTTTCTAGTTTCTCAGTGTGGAGACTCATGAAACTTATTGGAGTAGTTTCTACATATCTTTTTTACAATAAAAATTGGAAGAAAGCAACTGGACTAGTAGCAGGAAAATTAAGTTATGTTGGAGTTAAAAGTGAACAGAAATTTTAAAAGCCTAAAATTTTTGTAAAGATAATTTATTAATTTTACACAAATGGAGCATCTTTTTTTTTTAAGACTTTATTTATTTATTTTTAGAGGGAGGGGAAGGGAAGGAGAAAGGGGAAGGAAAACATCAATGTGTGGTTGCCTCTCACACACCCACTACTGGGGACCTGGCCTGCAACCCAGGAATGTGCCCCATCTGAGAATCAAACCTGTAGCTCTTTGGTTTGCAGCCTGTGCTCAATCTACTAAGCTACCCTAACCAGGGCAAAGCCTTAAAATTTTGAACTGGAAAAAAAAAAGCACAAAGAATCCCTGGCCAGCTAGCTCAATTGGTTAGAGCATCGTCCCCATTCGCCAAGGTTGTGGGTGTATTCACCTGTCAGGGCACAAACAAGATACAAGATACAACCAATAGATGCACAAATAATTGGAACAACGAAGTGATCTCTCAATCTCCCCCCACCCCACTCCTCCTCTCTCCGTTTCTCTAAAAATCAATAAACAAAAATTTAAAGAGCCCAAAGACTCATAAACACTATACTATACCCTGGCAACAACACTGTTACTAGATAATAAAACTGCAGGCCTTGTGAAAGGTCAGGAAATCTCTAAAAGGACTGACAGTTTAAAAAGAGAGAGACACATTAAAAAAAAAAATCTGTATGTTAAAGTCTTAACCCCCAGTACAGTGGAATATGACCACATTTGGAGATAGGATCTTTACAGAGGAAATCAAGTTAAAAGGAAGTCATTAGGTGGGCCCTAATCCAATACTGGTATCCTTATAAGAAGAGGAAATTTGGACACAGAGACATATAGAAAGGAGATAAGGTGGAGACTCAGGGAGATGACCACTTACAAGTCAATGAGAGAGATCTGGAACAGATCGTCTCTGCAGAAGGAACCAATCTTGCTGACACTCTCCTCTCAGACTTCTAGCTTCCAGAACTATGAGAAAATAAATTTCTGTTTTTAAGCCACCCAGTCTGTGGTACTTTATGATGGCAGCCCAAGCAAATACACGTAACCCTGGACCCACATATTTTGGATTTGAGTGAAACAGCACCGTATATTAACTTCTATATGACAAACTTTACAAGAAAAGTCCAAATTCCCAGCTAATTTTATGACTCTTCATTTGGCAATTTCACTTTCAATAAAGTCAACTGTGATGGAGAGTGTCCTAAGGAAAAAAAAAAAAAAAGAAAAAAAGAGAGAGAGACACAAATCACCAATATCAGGAAACGACTTCACAACAGATTCCATAGTCACTAAAAGGATAATAAGAAAACACTACAAACAATTTTATGCACATAAACTTGACAATTTAGAAGAAATAGAACAATTCCTCAAAAACTACAAACTACCAAATGTCTGCCAAGATAAAACTGACAAACAAGGACACTGAATTTATAATTAAGTTAATGATAAAAACATCTCCAGGCCCAGATGGTTTCACTTTTATCGTTTAAGGAAGAATGAACACCAATTTTGTATAATCTCTTTCAGAAAACAGGACAGTAGGTAACACCTCTCAACTCTTTATTACCCTGACAGCAAAACCAGACAAAGAGGGTACGGAAACAGAAAACTATGGGCTAATATCTCTCATGAACTTAGGCGTAAAAGTCCACAACAGAATATTAGCAAAAAGAGCTCTGCAATGTATAAAAAGAATAAATCTGGTTCAATATTTAAAAAATCAATCAACCCTATCACAAACCCGATCAATATCCTAAAAAACAAAAACCATACAATTGTATCAACTGATACAGAAAAATGACAGGGGGAGCATCACCTGAGTCATCACCACTTCCCCAATATCTACACCAGGCACTCGAAAATATTAGTGAAAAGTTTTCCATATCTTGTATTAATAACTATATATAACATGATCAAAACCCAGAGAGGAAAGAAAAGTTGCTAGTTAATGAAAATGAGCACATTTCCACCTCGTACCTTTCCTCCCGTGAGTAAAAGGGCTCCATTCCGCAGTCCTGCCACAAGAGACATCAGCTGCCGAGACAGGGGGCGACCCAGGAGGCTGTGAGTGATGTGCTCCACGGAGGACAGGCCTAAGGAGGCCACTCCGCTGCAAAACATGGACATTGTTGTGTGATAAAACACTGAAGCAGAGTAAGATCTGGCTGCAAAAATTTATGAAACTTTCCTTCCCAGATTAATGGTTTTTTAGAGTAAAATCTTAGAATCTCTTCCTTACTTGAAAGTATGCTGAATCAATTGCCAAATTTGAGTCACAGCTTTACAATTTACTTTCAAACCTGTGCAATAACTGCAAGTTTCGTCCAACTAGGACTCCTTAAGGAATCTGTCTTAACATATACAAATGATTTGTATGTTACTCCCTCAAAATGATTTCAGTTTGGTAATCAACATAATCATAAAAGGGTGCTTTTAAAATGATAGGATAATTGAAGACTAATTTTCTCTTAAAAATCACCTTCAAAATCCAGTTGCAATCTGTAGATAATATGAACATGAACTTCAACCTACTTCCTGGCTCTGACTGACAACTTACTTTTCTTAATATCAGAAATTCCTAAAATTAGAGTTTGAACTAAAGAGATTTTACTTTATACATACATGAATATTATGCTATGTTTAAACACTGTTACCTTATGGTTAATTCTTTTAATAAAAACTTATAGACTATACTATAACAGGAAATCAAATCACTACTACTACCTCTAAAACCTTCCGTGAAGAATTCTAAGAGGTAATGTTACATGACATTTCATAGTGCATGAGAGAGAGAAAAAAATTGAGGTTCTTTCAGATTTGTTTGTCTATAGGTTGGAGAAAACACAAATAATCCCAATTAAAACATTAATAAGATACTGAAGGAATAACTTAATTTGAAATATTTTTAAACATTCAAGTAATGTTTTTAGATTTAACTTTCAGAATAAATTTACTAGCTCTAAGAATTACTGTTTTATTGAGGCGCATTTGATCCAGTTCATATCTAGTTGCTTTCTTCTCACGAATCAAATCTCAAAGTAAAATTTCTAATAAGCTTCAGACTTTGTTATCTAGGACAAGGCAAATTACTAAGCTAGGCGTGAAACTGAAATGAGCCTTGAAATAGTATCTACTAACACACTAGTAAGAGTATTCAATGACATTAACATCTACTTTAATATTTACACATAAAAACCCTGCCAGAGATAATGTCGAACACGAACACGTCTCTAAACATGCCAGTTTGGCCATAACTTCTTACCCCAAGCAGTTCAGCTTTAAAAAAGGAAGAATAAAGTCAATTTCCTCACTGTTTTCTTCTTTTAGCATAGGATCTAGAAGGACCTATAGTAGCAAGGAAAAATCAGGTTTACATTTCAAAGTTGTATCTTCTGCCTGTTTTTCTTGGGTCCCAGGAAACTGAATTGCTGATTGTTATACCGCAGAAAAAGGATACAGTATGCATGCAAGATGACTACATAAAACAGCCCTGACAAGAATAATTTACACATCCGAGGAGCACAAATATTTATGATCAACAAGCAGTAAAGAATATCATCTCCTTAATGCATGTTATACATCTATCTTTATTTGCAATTTGGATTTGCATTACATGTTCTTTTCGTAAGTCTTACATTTGAATTTTCTCTGAATGGTACTCTTTCCATTAAATTTTAAAAGTAGAAAAACAGTGTCTAGTTCCAAATCACTGCTATTCTAAATGACTAGAGCATCTTCAATTTTATAATGACAAGAATAAATAGCCTAACTAAAACATTATAGTCTAAAATAGCCACTTTTGGCCCTGGCCAGGTAGCTCAGTTGGTTAGAGCGTCCTCCTGATACGCCAAGACTGCAGGTTCAATCCAGGTCAGGGCACATACAAGAGTCAACCAATGAATGCATAAATAAGTGGGACAACAAATTGATGTTTCTCTGTCTTTAAAATCAATTTAAAAACCCCCTAAAATAACCACTTTTAAAATACTTCTGGAATAAAAGTGATTTAATATTTGTAAAGAGTTGAGAATTTAAGAGTTGACAAAATAATACAAGTTGTGCAGCAAAACTGCAAGTAAAAATCTGAACTTTAAAACTCAGACCTCTACAGCAATGTTCTGTTTTGTTTCAATACAGGAAGAATTTTAAGTCATGCTCCATTTCCCAGTTAACACCACCAACTCCTGAAACTTAACTGTGCTAAGGCACTGACTTTAAATTTAGAGTAAATCAACAATTTGTTTGGGTAAATTAAAGAGATTAAAGAATAAAATATTTTAAATCAAGTTATTCCTTACTCTTATGATTTAAGTTTCTAATATACTTTAGGATTCAAGGTATTACAGGTAAATTCATACTTTATTATCAATCACATCTGACAAATATTATTTCACTGAATATTCAATAACATGTAATTACTTGTATTGTGATCTTCTGCAGCAGATTGGTACTCAACAGAAAAATATCTTCTTTTCCTTTTTCCCAAGAATGAACTATATTCAGAGAAAACTCCTTCAACCCTATTGAAAAGAAAGTAATAAATGAATGGTACTGAAACTGAGATAAAATTGTAAGATTTTAAATATCAAATTTATTTAAATTTAAATAAAGGCATTCTTCAGTACATAAAATCTGTTTAATTATCACTGTTATGTCTCCTGTTCTTACATGTCACAGTTGGAAAAACAATGACTTCATCAAAAAATTTTTACTTCTTCAGTAGAAAAAATTTCTAAGTAAATAAAATTTACACACCATCTTTAATTTCCAGCTTAATATTTTCCTCCTCTGATATTATCAAAGGAAGCGTGGTTGTAGAAGACTGCTGAAGCCATGAATAGAACACAGTTTTTATGTTTTCTTCAGTTATGTCTTTAGGCTGCCAAAGAAAATGAAAGAACAGCAACAAGTTATCCTAATACCTGATCTTAACCTTAACGTCCCTATTTTAACATTTTACCCTGCTAATCAAATGTAAACCTCACTGAACAAAACAGGAAGATAAGCCCATTCTGGAGGCACAGCCTTAGGATTTGACATTACGGTCAGTACAGTTTTGAGTACAATGTAGCCTGAAGAAACATTACAAAGTGGCAGTTTTAGACTTTTTCTCTATGCCCAACAATATATATGCCATAATTCGGCTTACTGGATAACCATTCCAACTTCATTCTCTCTTGCCTCTCTCTACTGCACAGGTGGGAAAGCAAACTCTTAGTGTGGATTTCTAGCCTGAAGGTGGGGCTGGCGTGTGTGGGGGTGTGCTCATGCGTGTGCGTGTGGCTGGACTCCGGCCAACAGCATGCAATCAGCAATCCTTGGTAAGGGCTTCTCCTCCTCATGGAATGGTAGAGAAACCTAGTAAGGAAAAGGCTTTTGCCTTGTGCCTTTCCTTCTGCTGCCTGCAGTGCAGATGTGATACCTACCAGTACAGCAAGTATCTTGCATCTAGGAGGAAGAAAGTCACAGGCTGAGGACGGCAAAAGGGAAAGGCCAAAGGAGCCTAGATGCTTAAGGACACGGTTTAACAATCCAGAGCTCCCCTAAACCTCTCCATACAGGAGAAAAATAAACTCTTTATATGTTCAAGTCACTTCTTTTCTTTTTTTCCATTAAAAATGCTGGCTGCAATGCTGATATGCTCAACACATAAAGTGTTCAAAAGGTATGAAGAAACTGAGGAAATCATTGCTAATTTTAAGTTTAATTAAAATTATTAAGTTTTAAAAACCTATTTGAAATTAAAAACAGGAAAAACAAAACTCACATAGGAAAGATGACTGGTATCTGCCTAGGAAATAAGACCTCTCTTCTACATTCCTCCACTGGTATACTATCTCTCTTCATCCAAAGTAAAGCATTTGCCTGTAGATTAAGTTCAATTCAAAACCTGAGCACCACCAAAAACAGTCTAAACTAAGATATCACTTCCCCATTCTTATGCATCACATAAATAGTTACTTCTTTGGATGTTATTGGGCAATGGGGTTAAAGAACTAAACAAAACCATAAAATAAAAAAGAGAACTATTTAAAAGCAAGACTTTTAGAATCAGACAATAATACAGAGTTCCTCTAGAATCAAACATCTTTATGTCCCAGGTGATACAATCAAAGTCCAGAGAGACCGGCCAAGGTCATAAAGCTTCCACTAAAATATGCAACTTAGGGTAAGAAAAGCATCTTGTAGTAATATCCTGTCACTAAGCCAAAAAAATTAAAAAAATCTCACTCAGTGGCTAATGATCTTCATACATAAGAGATCTAACTTGAAAAATGCCAAGGTCAATCACCAAAAAGTTAAAACAGAACTGCAAATCACTGCACTGTTGAGCCAACGTGTTAAACGCCCAGTTACACACTGTTATGGAAACAGCATTCATTTTATTTGCTTTCCTCTTCTCCAGTCATATAATATGTGCTATCTTATCTGGCCTTTCAGCAACCAGGAAGCGTTTCTGTTAAATTCATTCTTTCCTGACACAATGACCATCGTGATCCTGAGGATCCCAAAGTACCGTCTGAATTATCAGGGGAGGAATTTTTTAAATGTATTGGGCCAAAAAGTTCATTTGGCTTTTTCCATAAGATGGCTCTAGAAGCATTTAATTGTCTTTAGCTTCATTCCAAACAATTTTTTTGGATTGTATTGTGACAGCTGTCACATTTGCGTGCAGTCAAAAAAAAAACTTATCAAGATTGGTGAATTTTTTTGTGTAGCCATTTTAATATTGATGATGCAAGAAAATACATAACATTTTCGGCATATTATGCTTTATTTTTTCAACATCCGAAACACACAAAAAAGATTTGTGCAGCGTGTGGAGAAGGGGACTTATCGAACATGTCAAGAGTAGTTTGCAATGTTTTGTCTGGAAATGTGTCGCTGGACGATGCTCCACAGCTGGGCAGGCCAGCTGAGCAGAGAGCAGTCAGCGTCACACCCCACAGGAGGCAGCCTAGACACCCGAAATATCCAAATCCATAAAGTCACTAGTGGAAATGGAAAATGTGTCTTTTATTTCGTGGAAAAAACCATGTGGACTTTTTGGTCAACCCAATATAATACAATAATTTTCTTGCATTATAATTATCTGAGAACTGGTAAGCCAAACTGGTACAGATGACAATACTCTATTAAAAATATTTTACGATTAAGTTCAGTACCTCATTTTCTGACCACACCAGTTTCTAAAGAATTAACAGAGTAGCAACATAAAATAGTCTGGCACCCTTTTAGCCTGCAATATTAATACTAAAACAACATGGGAGAAAATTTTAAAAATTAGATTAACTGTGGCAAAAATACCAACTTTTTAAAAGCAAAAACTCTCCATATTTGTATTGGCACGTGCACATGCGTACACGTTCTCTGTATATATAAAGATATATATGTATATAAAGTGTATTGCTTAAAGACTTCTTGTTTTCTCAAAAACGTACACACAAAATTACCACGTGTCTACCCATTCAATTCCTAGGCATCTACCAAAGAGTGGAAAGCAGGGACTCAAGATACTCGTATGCCAACATTCATGGCAGCATTACTCACAACAGCCAAAAAAGTGGAAACAACCCAAGTGTCCATCAACTGATGAATGGATAAAACAAATGCAATATATTTAAAACAATATTGTTCAGCCATTAAAAAGGGATGAAGTTCTGCTATGTGCTACCACATGGATGAACCTTGAAAACATATTAAGGGAAATAAGCCAGACACAAAGGACAAATATTGTATGATTCAATTTATATGATACATCTGAAATATGCAAAATCAGAGAGATTAATATAAATTATCAGTTACCAGGATCTGGGGGAGTTGAGGGTAGGGCACTGCTGCTTAATGAACACAGAATCTCTGTTGGAGTAATGGAAAAGTTTCGGAAATAGATAACGACGATAGTTGTACATTATGAATGGAATTAATGCCAATTAATTGTACATTTAAAATAGGTTACAAAAGCATTTTTATGTTACACATATTTTACTAAAGAAAAAAATACTTCTTTGCCCTTCTAACAAAAAGGAGTACTACATTATTATGACTTAGCTAAAGCAACCAGAAATTTTATAGCACTTGTAAAATAACTGTGACATAACATATAAATTTGAACTTACTAAGTTTTCTCTAGGTTGTAATTTTAGAGATCTTGGAATTTTAGGGGTAATTTCCAGTGGAGTTATTCTGACTACTGCATGCATTTCTATATTCAATCTCTTTCTCAGGTCATCTGGAATCTGAAATTTAAAAATAAATAAATGAAAATATAATTATGCTCAATGGTTAATTAAAAAATATTCCATAGCATAGTTGTAGTAACTTCTATGAATTCAGATGAAATTATGTAAGTTACCAAGATTCACAGTAAAAACAGATGGATGTTCTAGTATTGTTATATCACAAACATTTCAATTTCTCCCCTGTATTTCTTTAACACCTCTTTAGACTGTGATCAACGTCCATCTACCCAGTCCAGACTTCTTGGGTACCTGACGGCAACTACTGCCACTCCTCAGGGGCCATGACACCCAACCTTCAGAGTGGAGTGGGAAGTGCAGACTCCTCACTGCTATCTTATGTGGTCCCCGAGACTTTACCATCATCACTTCTTCACCCTGTCCTCACCACACAATTTCAAGGAAATGAAAGGGTATTCATACCTAATGGAGAACCATTAATAAAGGAGGTGAGTCATAAGAAGTTCACGTTAGACACCGCAGTGGGATGTCCTAAACTGAGTTTGGAGCTACAGAAAATAATGAGGCCATGGTCCAAAGCTTTAGAAAATGATGTAGGTCAAAGAGATTAAAACTTTGAAGTCACCTGCATGAAAGGCATAGGTTAAACTATGAGAGGAAAAGAAATCTACAAAGAAAGTCCCCATCCCTTCCTATTTTTCTTCACTATCTTAACAATTTCTTCCCCTTCTTATCATCAAGCTTCACTTTACAATGGTTCCAAACTAGGCTCAAGTAAATGGGGCTGGTGAGTCGTTTCACATAAGTGTAGCATTTATATTTGAGGCCAGGATGAGAGGGTAAAACATCAGTTGTTCTACTTCCTCTCCAAGTCACATACAAGCTAAAGAGGTGACACCAGCAAAGCAAGCAGTTTACGGGTGCCATCAGAGGGAGCTGTGGGTCTCTCCCTATTCTGGGCATTTTCCCAATACACAGTAAGTCCTTCCTGTGCTTTCAAGAACTTGGAAACAAACCTTACACAGGTAATGAAGATGTGAGGCTTCGTAGGGCACCCCAAGCTAAGCACGAACTCGAGTCACCCTGCCTGGGTTTGACTCCTAGTTCTTGCTAGCTATTTAATCCCTGGCAAGGAATTTTCACTTCTCTAGGCCTGTGCCCAAGATTTTACTGTCCAAGTTTACTTAGGCAGAAAATGCACAATTTTTACCCAAACAAGGACTTTACCCTACAGAAATGTGTCCTAGAAGGGATTTTTTTAGATACGATTTCTTATTCTATTGGTCTTTCAATTTATATATATTATTTTAATTCATAATTTGGGGTAGTTCAAACAACATAAAATTATTTCATTCCCAATTACAAAATTTATACTAACCCAGACTTTCCCGAGATGGAGAGCTTCCACATTTTTGGTGTATTTTATGGCATTCTTCAATTCCTCAAGTCCATTCCAGACCACCTTCAGCACACAGGCCTTACTGGCGTCTTGATTATGGTCTAGACTAATTTGTTTTTGATCTAATGGTTGTGACATCTGCTTCTCTTTTTCAGGTGGCAGGACACTTTGCTTTGTTTTACTTTGCTGTTGCTTTGGAGAAAGTAGATGAACCAGCTTTCCATAGGTCACAGTAAAGCTGGGCTCCACATCAAAATATTCTTGGTCCCATGGAAATACATGAATGGCATGGTGTTTGTGAAATATAGAAGTTGCTGAGGCACTGCATATGCTGGGAGGCTGAGATTTACATACTCGGAAAATATTGTCCACAGGAACAACTGCTGACTGCATATTTTTGAATGCACTGATTTCAGTCACACCCCAGGATGTCTCTTGTTTCCTTTCAGACCCAAAAGAGAAAATGCGTCCTATCATAGTCCAGAAGCTTGGTACTGATGGTAAGTCAACTGTATCCTCCGAATCTGTTTCATCAGACCCAGTAACTCGTATAATATTTGACTGATGTTGCTTGGTTTGGAGTTCTGCCAATCCTTTTTGGTCTCTTCCGAAATTATGAGATGTTCCACGTGCATTATCTGCTTCAGAAAATGTATTTTCTTTGGCTTGGCGGGTCTTTGGCTGAATAAGGAGTCTGGTGTCAGTCTCCAACCTCCCATAAGAGGCCGCTGGTAATAGTGCAACTGTGTACAAAATAAAGCTCATTAATGCACATCTGCCTCTGCTTTGGACTCAGTGCTGTGTCAGACAGTATGATGGCAAACATTACAATGGCACCTACCAATCTGGATAAATATGTAAGTGTGCTGATCAACCCAGACAGGAAAAATGGCTTGTGGGAAAACTATTCGAATTTGATCTAGAAGATGCCGTTCCAGGGAAGCAGCATGCAGTTCCTAGAATCAAAAACAAAAAAAACAACTGATTTTACACTTTGTCCATTCCATGTCTGTTAGGAAAATCTCAAGTCATCCTTGTAACTCAAACCAACTCAGAATATATATGGTGAAGCTCAGAGACAGACATCTAACGATGCTGCTATTTTGAAGTATTTTAATCTTAAACAAGGCTATTTCACTATCTTTACCAGTATCTCCCAGTCGTCTGCGGACAGGGGTTCCACCTCAACTTGCTGACAAGACACCACATGGGAACACGGCTTGAGGAACACCTGAAAGACATTTTAAAAATGTAAAACTACTTTTTCTTTTACTTTTTAGAGAGAGGGGAAGGGATTTATCTCTTGCCTCTTGCACACGCCTGGACAGGAGACCAAACCCGCAACATAGGCATGTGCCCCGAGTGGGAATCAAACCAGCAGCCCTTCCCTTCACTTTGCGGGATGATGCCCAGCCAGCTGAGCCACACCGGTCAGGGCTAGCACTGCTTTCAAAAGACTTTTGTACCCCTGAAAAATAACTTCTCCTTAGGTATATAACTAAGTGTGAGTGTGTGTGTATGTAGTCCTACTTGATAGATATTCCTATTTTTAGCTAGAGCTTGATATACACAGCATTTTAGGAGAAAATATTTCATAATAAATTATAGCAAAAAGGAAAATACATCCTAGCACAACACATTTCAAAATAAAATATAAAATAAAAATAACCCCTTAAAATTTATGTAACTTAAAAAAAATGTAAGAAGAAACAACACTGTCATCAAGTCATGACTTGGTCCAGTATAGAAATACCATTATTTCTAGTTTTGCAACTGTTAGTTTTATAACTAAGTTCAAGCCATGCTGCTTCTATTTCTACAGAACTAAAAACCACAGTGAAACTGAGATAACGGCCAATTATTTAAATTTAGAAGTATCATCATCCACCACTAAAAGCACAGTAAAACAAATACCCCTCATTCCAGTCTACAGAGCTACATGAAATGCTCGTGTGCCACAAGAAGCTGGACTCTACCATCTCACTGTCTTTCCTCTCCTGTTAGCATTTCTAGAGATTGGAGGACTAAAATCCAAAGCCACCAACTAACTATTAAATGCTCCAGGTGACCAGGCCTTCCTTCTCTGCTTCTGTGGACTGGAGCAGGATTTCCCCACAGGCCTTACCCGACTCCTCGGTGAACTTCCCTTTGGTACCTCCCATGTGCCCTGTTAGAAGGGGGTGATTCTGAGGAAGCACAGAGCAGCTCCCGCCCACCAAAAAGTCAGAGTCCTGAGCAAGCTAGTCCATTTCCTGTTCCTATCAATGATTCTTTGGGAGACATCACCTTAATGGTATTGCTACAATATAGGGTATCTACAAAAGATCAGGTAAAAGTTCACTTTGAAGCCAGCGGGACATAAAAACAAGCAGGACTGTTCAGAATGCTGATGAGACATCAAGATCAGCAACGGGAAGCTGATGTTCTGCACAGGGAAGTGGCACACACTCAGAGAGCAGAACTGTGACTTATCATGAAATCCTGGGCAAAATATCCCATCTCCCTAGGTTTGTAGGGCAGGGTACCAAAGTTAGTCATTTCTAAGGTCACTCTGGTGCTAGAGACGTAAGATTCTAGGGGAAATGTAGGATAAGCAAAGGACTAGTGCTAGGCCTGTGATTTCTTATCAGTGGTCTATTCTCATTATCAAGAACATGTATGTGTTCAAAACAAGTTAAAAAGATATGACACTTTTGTGTACTGTTAACAGTACTGATAATGGAAACTGGTAATAGAAAGCAAGTTAGCGCCATCTGTCGATGTTTAAATGTGCAGCTCTCTGGACGTGGCAATTCAATTTTCACTATTCCATTCCATATATGCAGAGATGTTCAATGCATATAGTTTGTAATTCATGGAAAAGGGTCCCTGATATACTTTGTAGGAAAAATTGCAGAAAATATGTAAGACCTCATTCTTTAAGTCCTAAAGGTCTACTGAGATCCCAACGTACAGTACACATTTATTCTGAGGCTGGGAATAGAGAAAAGGAAACATTTTTTACTTTCAATTGTAAAGTATTTGTAATAAATAATGTATTACTTCTGTAGCCTAAAATATTTTTAAAAGAATAAATTGATGAAAATAATAAAACAATAAAATAGATATGAGTAGTCCTCAAGCTTTGGAGTTTACAATCTAAGTACATTAAATTCATTGCAAGACAAAAATGGAAAAATAATAACCCTCTTTTTTAGGATAGATTTTTATTTTTTTTAAAGTACAATTCTTTTTTTTAAAGATTTTATTGATTTACCTTGAGGGAGAGGAGAAGAGAGGGAGAAAGAGAAGGAGAGAAATGGCAATGTGCAAGAGATCAGTTGCCTCAAGCACGCACCCAACCGGGAACCTGGCCCAAAACCCAGGCACGTGCCCTGACTGGTAATCAAATTGGAGACCTTTTGGTTGGCAGGCCAGTGCTCAAGCCATTGAGCCACACCAGACAGGGCTGTAGGACAGATTTTTAAAAATCAAGTACAACCCTGGAAGGTTAGAAAATTTGTCAGAAACAAATAAAATGAAGTTCAATAATTAAAGTGAAATAATTTATAGAGCAAAAATTGCACAAAAACAAAATTATGGAACCTGGAAAATGAGTAAAATAGAATACAAAAATCAACTAGAGCATGGTAGACTACAAGATAATGACTTAATAATGGTATATAGGGTCAACTTGAATATCCTGGACTAATTAGAGTAACATACAGGTTAGGTGTCATCTCTCCTTCTTTAAAAAGAAAACTGAACTTTAAATTTTATTTCCATCTCTGTACTACGTGACATTAGGAGAAAGTCACTGTCATCACCTTTGGTGCTTACCTGTTCCCCATTCGAGAGTCCAAGTTTCTGACCGACGTGTCTGTTAATTTCAGCCACATTTTCACCTTGATCACAAAAATGCCTGCCTTCCACCCAGCTCAAGAATGCAGGCTGGTGACCCCAGGCTACTTCTATAGCTTGATTCTATTTGTTCAAGAAATAAAAAAATGGGGGAGAGAGGTTTTGAAAGTTTTTACATGCTTTTCTGGATTCACATAAATGATAAAACTATTACTGTAATCCACAAACACAAAAACAGTTCTACAATTTGTTGACTACTGTTATCCACCACTGCTACAGAGTTTAAAAAGCTACAATAATTTCCAACACCCAACATTGGCGATACTTCAGGTGAAACCAGCACACATTTCTATGATGGCATTATAAATTGACTCAACCATTCCAGATTTCAACATGGCAACAGGTGGCCAATGAACTTATATAGGCTGGAGGTGAATTAATGGAGATGAATCAATGAATTAATAGCCTGGAAGTGAATTAATGATGAGAAAAAAAAAAACTACAGCAGAACACATCTCTGCAGTGTTCTCTGTCACAATGAAAACTTAGGACTGGTGTAAGTGTCTATCAATAGGGAAATTATTAAATAAGCTATAAATTTACTATTTTAGTAAAGTATGAGTCAGTAACTAGCAGCATACCATGATCATTAAAGATACAACAGTAGTTACTTATTAGAAGAGTAACAAATGCACACAGTGAAAGTACAAAAGCATAAAACGTGAGAGCAGGCCCCTTTCCACATAGGTAATTACTGTTAATAGTTTCTTATGTATGCTTCCAGAAATTTCATATTATACAGCTTCCTAAATAAAATTTTAAAGTTTTATAACTATGAAAACATATTTGTTAAAAAATAGTAAAATAACATTTATTCTCATTAAGGGCATTCATATAAAATATGTAAGTTTGTGGCTAAGAATTAAAACAATGTTTTCTATGACTAAAGAATTACAAACTCATTATAGAAAGCATAGAAAATATATAATGTTGGAAGGAAAAACAAGAATTATTATTTCCTCCACAAAAAGACAACCATGTGAACAATTTGATTGATTTCTGACTAATCTTTTTATGTACAATTTTTAAAATTAATTAATTTCTAAAATTAAAAACATTACTTTAGCCAATAACATTACATACATTTCAGGTGTACCATAACTTTATAATTCAACTTCTGGAGGCTTGTTTTGTGCTCACCACCTGAAGTCTAGTTTCCTTCGGTCACCATGTATTGACCCCCCCCTTTACCCTCTTCGTCCTCCCCCACACTCCTTCCCCTCTGGTAGAAAGTTAATTTTTTACATAGTTGTATAATATAGTCATGATTTAGTACCTTTTTCCCCCCCACTTAACACTGTATCACAAGCATTTTCACACACATTTTTTAATAAAAAGTAAGAATTTCATTCATGGCCACTGAGACTTAACATATTAGGAAGTTTTAGTATTATCAAATTCATTTATTAGTATCAAAATAAATTATTTAATAAATCCACTCATATCCACCATATTTCACTACCTCAAAATTGGTTATTGTCTGTTTACTGTGTTTATTTAAACAGAAATTTCCAAGGATATTAGAGCTACTTCTGAGGTAATATAGTTTAAATTGACCATGTTATTAAAGCTGTATAAAGAAAATCACCCTGGCTGGTGTTGCTCAGTGGATTGAGTGCCAGCCTGCAAGCCAAAGGGTTGCCGGTTTGATTCCCAGTCAGGGCACATGCCAGGATTACAGGCCAGGTGCCCCAGATGGGGGCATGCGAGTTATTTCTCTCCCTTTTTCCCCTCCCTTACCCTCTCTCTAAAAATAAACAAATAAAATCTTAAAAAAAAAAGAAAAAAAAGAATATCATCATATATCACTTAGTCATACATTTTTCTCACAATTCTTCACAGGACAGCCCAAGTGCTCTGGCTGGCAAAAGTCTTTCCACTGAGCACAGTGTGACCAAGTAGAAAGAGCCCTAGATGTGCAGCCAAAAGTCCTCAGTTGCTACGTCAGCTGGAACTGTGGGAGCTGACGGGTAACAAGAGTAAAGCTGACCGAAACCCCAGAGGCTTTCTGTGGAGTTTCATCCAAGGCAGTGACATATAACTGTGATCAATTCCCCTACTTCACATGAAGTAACTTTTAAAACCAGAGATGTTAAATGAGGAAATATAAAGTATGCCCTAAAACATCAAAAAGGAGAATTCCACTAACTCACGGGAAAAGGGGAAAATCAACTTTATTAAAATGGAAAAATACTTCAATTACTTGTTTGGTCAAACTGTAGTAACCAGCTCCTAAAGTCATACTCTGTTCAGCTGAATTTAGTCAACTTTGCAGACTAATGTTCTGAGTTCATTTTCATGTCAAAGGTTTTTCACTAGGACCACAGGGCCCCTGGGCACTTGGAGAGAATGAAAGGACAGACTGGAGAGGGGCCCTTTGCCACTTTAGTCTAATCAACGAATGACTGACTGCCTGCTTTTGCCCAAACCTCCTGCAGCACACCAAAAAAAATTTTTTTTGATGATCTGACAAAAAAAAATAGGTAAATTTTTGATTCATTCATAACTGATGGCTACTGTTGTGTTGGTTGTGGTCATTCTTTAAAAATTTATTTTTTTATTGATTTTAGCTTTTCAAGAGGAAGAGGTGGTGGGGAGAGTGGAAGGGAGAAGGAGAAACAGAGACAGAGGCATCAATTTGTTTTTCCACTCATTTATGCATTAATTGGTTGCTTTTTGTATGTGCCCTGATTGGAGATTGAACCTGCAACTTTGGTACATAGAACGCTCTAGCCAAATGAACTACCCAGCCAGGGCACACACTCATTTTTTCATTTGACAATCGAAGGGAAAAGAGGTCAATGCACCTGACTAAATAAACAGTCACGTACTGCATGTTTTAAAAATTGTTGTGGTGCACCAGTATAAAATCGCTGATCCAGAAAAACATAACAAAAGTAGCTAAAGTGGAAAGGTGGGATACCTGAAATTATTGCAAACTCTTAAATATTTCCCGCATGGATTATGTAGTGGTGGCTGCCACATCCAGGATTTTCAAGGATTTCAAATAAAGGTGTATCTCCTTCTGTTGGGCTTCGCTTTATTGCGCTTCACAGATGTTGGTAGTTTTTACAAATTAAAGGCAAGACACTCCACTGGCTTTATTGCCACACTTGTTAGATCCCAGTGGTCTGGAACCGAACCAGTAAGGTACAGCTGTGATCAAGAAACGACTTCTCAAGAGTGTTCCAACCTGAAGTAATATTTGAATGCAAAAGTAGACTATAAAGATGTTTGAAAGCCTAGTTTCATCGAGTGAAGGGCCCTGGAATAAGGCCAGTTCACTTAAAGGCCCGGGCTGTATTAGACGTGGTGGGGGCTGCAGACACGGCCGCCGACTGGCTGCCCTCGAGGCGCCCTCAGTCTGGCCTCCGCTCTGCTCCGGGACGCCAGAAAAGAGCCCGTGCCCACCACCGGGAGAGGTCTCTGCGGCCGCCACGTCCCAGGAAAGCCTCTGCTAGCCTGATTCGACTACCGACCAGGTGTCCCGCCTCCAGGATTGGAGCCCAGTCCCGGGCCGGTGCGTTACCTGCAGCAGGTGCAGCTGAGACACGAGGCGCCGAGGCAAACGGAGGAAGCAGTCGCGAGCGTTGGTGAAAGCCACAGTTACGACAGCCCCACTTTCCCCGGCACCCACCAGTCGTTCGCTGCCCCACATCGTCGGCCGACGCGGACGTCCCGGCCACCCACCCTAGCCGACCCGGGCTAAGCTCTCAGGCCCAAGGCGTCGGAGCTGGATAACATCGATTGGCCCCGCCCCACAGCCCCGCCCCCTTCCCGGACGCCTCTCACAGCCAGTAGCGGGAGGGGCAAGCAGACTTTTTTTCTCCTGGCCTCTCCGCCGCGCCGCTAGGGGGCGGCACCTCCTTCACAGAATTCTCGTCTACAGGAAACGATGGCCGACCCTGTCGATTCTCCAGCCAATCTGGGCACATCTTGACCCACCCTTCTATCTTATTGGGTAAACAGGAGGGCAGCCCAGCGGATGTTGTCGTTTCAGCGACGGCCAAAGCCGGCAACATGGCGTCGAGTGGTGGGGAACTCGGCGGCTTCTTCGACCACCACATTCAAAAGGCTGTATGCGACACACGGGCCAAGTATCGGGAGGGGCGACGGCCCCGTGCAGTCAGGGTAAAGTGCTTCTGGTTCTCATTTTTACCCTCGGTAGCTTTGTGTGAGTTGTAGTTCCACACGCCAAGCCTTTGTAAATAAAGCCTTGAAAGGCTGTTGTCAAATCCTTTATTCGTTGAAGATAGGTATGAGGAACCGTGGTAATCAGGTACCAAAGATTCTCGCGACTCCTTTGATCAACTAGGAAGACGTCAGCCCTACGAAAACGGGCCTTTGTTTTAATCATTGTATCTTCCCGTATTTATGGTGTTGCTTGCGACGTGGTAAGCACTCATTGAATACTTGACTCTTTCCAATAACTTCTATCGAGCCATCTTCCGGGAAAACACGTCAATTTAAGGTAGTCTATTTTATGCTTTAGTTGGGTGAATTCACGTGGGGTGAATTATCCTTTATTAGAAGGGCAGTTTTTCTGTTTTCCGCAGGCTGGTTGAAGAATATTTATTGTTTTCTAAGCTTTTCGGTTTTTTATAAAGCTGCTTGTCTAGGCTTATTGATGACATACATTTACCTTGTTTGCATTTCTTTTAGGTATATACCATTAATTTGGAATCTCGGTACTTGTTAATACAAGGAGTTCCTGCAGTGGGAGCAATGAAGGAATTAGTTGAGCGATTTGCTCTATATGGTGCAATTGAACAGTATAATGCTCTAGATGAATACCCAGCAGAAGACTTTACAGAAGTTTATCTTATTAAATTTATGAACCTACAAAGTGCAAGGTAATGTGCAAGTTAGGTACTGTCTTATCTGCCTCCATTCCCATTGCTATTATTTTGGCCCCAGGTTTCCCCCATTCATACCTGAATTACCCAACAACCTAACACAGCCCTATGTTATTGTTTTCTTCCTCCAGTCTTTTTAAATGTTAGCCTTACCAGAATACTGTCCATCACATCATTCCCATGCTGTCATTCCCATGATAGTTTTGTCATGTAGTTTAAAAATTGGGTTGGGAGTGGGTTTTCCAGTTCCACTGCTTATTGACATCATGACCTTGGACAAGTTATTTATTGCTATTAAGCCTATTTTTCCTATTCTGTAAAATCTGTACAGTAAGAGGACAGCTTATTGAGGTTGTATGAGGATGAAATGATGTAATCTGTGTAAAGGGCTTAGAATAGCACCTCCTGTTCAGAATGCAGCAAACTTTAGCTATTGAGATTCCTACTGTTATGCACCTGTGTGAATTGACCCCCCATGTACTTCATGCCTTTTGTATCACATAACTTCTGCTCCAAAAGGCTGTAATGTAAAATGCCTTATCTATTTTAATGTGACCCCTACTAATTTGTTCTCAGACTCATCTTTCCCTGGCTATTAACATTTCATATTTTCTGTGTCACGAATAGCACTGGCTGTCTACCATAAAGCACTTATTTTATGGGGTCAGATGTTGTTCTCAGGTTGCACTTATATGTAATCTCACTTCCCTAACTAACTTGCCAGCTCCTCGTGATTAGAGAAGGATATTTTCTAGAGTTTTTGCATTTTCAACAGGCCTTGGAGTTTGACCTCTGGATTTGAATCCTAGCTCCACTAACCAGTGTGAGCATGGCCAAGTGATGCATCTCCCCCGGCCTCACTCTCGTCATAGGGTTGTTGTAAAGTGTTAATTCAAGTGAAGCTCTTAGGATACTGCCTGGCACGTGGTAAAATCTCAGTCAGTATTTTGTATTACCCCTGGGCAGAGAAGTACTTAAATATTTATTGTAGTAATGTTTGACCAGTTATAGATGTTTAATAAGTATTTGATAAATGATACCATCCTCTTGTTCTTTAGATCAGTGCATTGCATACTAGTCAAGCTTTTATCCTAAGTAAACCTAGATTCATAAATCATTCTATCATGTATTTCTGTTTAGGATAGCCAAGAGAAAAATGGATGAGCAGAGTTTCTTTGGTGGATTGCTACATGTGTGCTATGCTCCAGAATTTGAAACAGTTGAAGAAACTAGAAAAAAACTACAAGAGAGAAAAGCTTATATAGCAAGAGCTACTAAAAATAAAGGTATGGAGAGCCTGTTACTAAAATCTGTGTGTCAGGAATTCTGATAGGTATAGCATTATGGAGCTGTCAGCCTAGTGGGCAGAGAGGTAAATAAATGATAATATTCAATAACTGTAGCAAGGTTCTTCATAGCACCCAACATAATCTGGGCTGGGAAGACAGAGATGTTCGTTCGTGGAAGACTTCCTGTAGGATGAGAGAGATGGCTGAGTTTTGAAGGATAAGTAGACATTACTCAGGAAGGGAGAAGAAATGGGAAGATGGGCCAGGTAACACGTTTAAAGACCCAAAGGAATAAGTGAGCATCGTGAATCTTAAGGCACTGTGTGTTATATGAGATAACCACACACAGGGGCTTCAGTGAGATGACAAAAGCAGATAGGAAGTGAATGGTGAGAGGCCTTGTGTCCTGTGCAAGGAATTAAAATTTTAACCTAAAGTCGGTGAGAAACAATTAGGATCTGCAGAGCTACTGCTAATGTAAAACTGCCAGAAGTGGAAAAGTCTCACTGTTGGCCAGGAGCTGGCCAGATGCCCCATATGCCCAACTGAGTTTCCCTAGACACATGTTCCAGGTGCCTGGAGTGGAGTCACGGCTCTGGGATGCAGACTATAGGACTAGAGCCGTCAGGACTGGATTAAGATAGTGTGTGCATTTTGGAATCTGAGTGCTGCTAGAGGCTCTGATTACCGGACTTCCACCCTTTGGTTGAAAGAAAGAGTCAGTGTCCCTGCAGCTGTTGAATATGGTGAGGTCAGGGCTGATTGGGGAGTGGGCATGTGGCAGTGGTGAAGAGAGAAATAAAGGAAGACTCTTGGAAAACTTACCTGAAAATTTGTCGAGAGAGCTTTGAGAGTCCCTGGTCATTTGTAGACACTGAATTTTAACCTGTGGGATATGTAAATTAGTAGCTACACACAAACTTGTATATGTGTATGAGTGGCAAAGGAAATTACTAAATATGGGCCCACTATATTGCCTCCTTTAAAAAAACTAGCACAAAATCAGCAGCATATACACTTATATAGTAGAATACCCTAAACTGTAAAGAAAAAAAAGCAGCTTTGTATGTAACAACATGGAAAAACTCTCCAAGATCTACAGTTAACTGTAAAAGGCAAGGTGCAGAGAAATGGGTATTACAGAGGAGAAAGAGGTAGGTGGAAGGAAGAAAAGTAAGACATATGGGACAGATAAATAAGATAAAAATTGTGATTACTTATGGGGACAGAAACCAGGCATACAGGGAGCAAAGAAAGAATGTAGCTTGACACTACTATCCTATCCTTTTTAGCTTTTAAACCACGTGAATATGCTACCTGCTCAAGAAATAAAAATTTTAGGGTAGCGTTTGTTAGCATTTTAAAGTAATGCTTGTTTTTGAAATAACTCTTTTCTGAATGATGAATGTAAATGAACCATTTCTGTTTCCCTTTCTCTCACCTTTTAAATGGTAATACAAAGATCATTTCGTGGCAAAGAAGAAACTGGTCACGGAGCATAAAGACATGAAAGGTTTTAGACAAGACTTCCACTCAAAGAAATCTGGATTTTGTGAAGCTGCTTTGAACACTTCTGCTGGGAACTCAGATGCTTGTCTCCCTTATTCTTGTGAATTACCTTTATGTTATTTCTCCTCACAATGTATGTACTCATCAGGAGAGTATGTGGACAGAGCGTCACACTCCTCTCAGGATGGCAGGAACCATGATGAAACAGTGGGGCATTGCAACCACAACACTTCTTTGCAGAAAATGCCGGTGAAAACTTTAAAAAAATCAGTGGCCTGCCCTGGTGCTCAGAAGGCTATTACTCCTTCAGAGGCAGTGGACAGATTTATGCCTAGGACAACACAGCTACAGGAGCGGAAAAGACGAAGAGAAGATGATCGTAAACTTGGAACTTTTCTTGAAACAAGCAGGAGCAGTAATGAGGTTCTCATTGGGCCTTTGCTCCCAGACACACCTAAAGTGGATATGCATGATGACTCATTGAATACAACAGCAGACTTAATTCGGAATAAACTTAAAGAGGTAAGATCACTTGAAACTTCTCTGACATGATTTGGTTATAGACTAACACTAAATGGAGAATTATTTATGAGAACAACAGTATTGCCATTAATATTTGTAATTTTTTGATGTGTTTTCCTGGAATTCTCTATTAAATTAACTGAATTTGACTAACAGATTTATATGCCTTGATACCATTAATCCTTATCTTAAACATTAAACAGAATACACGGTGGGCAAAAGGAGGTTTACAGTTGTGAGTACACGAAACACGGAGTTTATTCTTGTATTATTATTTATTAACTACTGTATTATTTTCCATATAAACAACTGTAAACCTACCTTCGCCCCGCCCTGTATACTGTATATCCCTCTCGCTATAAAGCAGAAAAGCAGTGGTGTCAGTCAGTGAGATCAATCCGCGAGAGCAGAGCCCTGGCCCTTTCCTGTTTTTTAAAGTGCCCCTCACACCCATGGTTCTGATACTAGCCAAAGGAGAGAACTACGGTATTGAAGTAAAATTATTACAATTTATTTTTCTCAAATTCAGAGTTATTTCAGATTACATTAAATTCAAAATGCTTATTGGTTTCTTTGATGGAGGTGACCATAGAAGAAGGTGAGGCTTCTAAAGATTAATTCTTAAGGTTTGCATTTCAAATGTAAACTTCTTGAATAGATTAGAACTAGATTTTTCTACTTAATAATTTTTTAACATTACATAATCAGTTTTCAATTTCTGAGCACAAATAAAAGAAAGTTAACATTTGAATTTGCTTTTAAAATGACTTAGTTTATGACTAAGTTTAGACTTGAGTTTATGACTTAGAAATCATAAACTAAGGGAGAAAGGCCATTCTCTTAGGTTCAGAAAGTGCTTTTCACACTATTGTACATGTTTTATAATGTGATTAAGCAGGGGACTGAGGTAGCTTAATTAACTTTATATTTTTTTTTTACCTGAAAATCATCTGATTAAGGATAAGGGTTTTTTTTTAATAATAATAAAAATCCATCCATGCAGCCCTGGCTGGCATGGCTCAGTTGGTTGAAGTGTCGTCCTGTAGCCAAAGGGGTTGTGGGTTTGATTCCCAGTCAGGGCACATACCTAGGTGGCAGTTCAAACCCTGGTCCAGGCACAGGCACGTAAGGGGGGAACCAATTCATGCTTCTCTCCCCCTTCATCTCTCTCTAAAATAAAAAAAAGCAATGAAAAGTATGTCCTCAGATGACGATTTAAAAAACAAATCCATGGACACAATTTCTATGTCTAAGCCTCTTTTTAAATTTTTTAGTTTGTGCTGGTGCCCTTCCTTCTTCACAAACAGCTGAACTGGGGCACAGGTGCAGATACATGGCTGTCTGAGCCAGAGCTGACTGTGTTTTCGAGAAAACTGTGTTAGGTCCAAAGCCCACGTATGGAAATAGAACGACACCCCCCCACCCCGCCACTCCTGACACCCCCAACCCCACCTTCTCTTTATTTAACCGAAGTGCTCATCAATTTCTAGTAATAATATAACTTACTCCTTTTTTACTGCCAGTCTTCAATCTCCCAGAATTTAATTTTCATGAAAGCAAAGATTTTTTTTTTGGCCTGATAGATCCCAAACTCCTAACATACCATTGGCACTTAATATTTAGTGAATGAATAACTAAACAAATCATGTACTCACTATGTTTACTGCTGTGTTAAAAATTTTATCCAGCCCAGGCTGGTGTGGCTCAGTGGTTGAGTGCTGGCCCATGAATCTAAGGGTCGCTGGTTCGATTCCCAGTATAGGGTGCATGCCTGGGTTGCAGGCCAGGTCCCCATTGTGGGGTGCCAAGAGGCAGCCACACATTGTTGTTTCTCTCCCTCTTTCTCCCGCCCTTCCCCTCTGTCTGAAAATAAATAAAATCTAAAAGAAAAAAAAGAAATTTATCCACATATTGTCAAGGCTTCAAAAGAATCATGGAAAATTAAAACATTTGATTTGTGAAGAAATGCTATACTTTACTTGGTGTTTTATTCTAAAATATTATATAGTAATATAATATTTGTATAATAATAAATATATTTGTATAGTAAGAAGTTAAGAGAAAAATATTTGTATAATAAGAAATAGAGAGAAAAAATCATAGAGCAACAAAAAGGAGAAATACTAAATTTAATTTACCAGGTTCTAATAATTTTCTATTTTAAGTGAAGACCAATTTACTCTGCTTTAACTTACTGTCTACTCATTTTTTCGGGATGTTTGATTTCATTTTCCCTAAGAAATTAAGGCCATTTCTGATTATTTCTTCAAAATTTTCATCCCCTCCCCGCAAGCATCCATGTCCCTAAATACATGACATTATCACTCCTTCAGGGTATATGCAACCAGGCTACGTATCTGTATCCAGAAACAACAGGTGACTCCAGATCTATGAAGGAATGTGAAAGTAGAGCATATGTGTACTTGTTTCCCCTCAATTCCTTTTCCCTGTTAAATTTCTTTTGAAATTTTACTTCCATCAATGTTTGGACAGAAAACTTTGCTCTGTGCTTAGATTGTAGGCTGAACCTTGAACTTGAGCTAGCTCTGCTTCAAACATGATAGCAAGGATTGAACTACTGGATATCTATCCTACCTCTTCTGATAGTTAATTTACTCTTGTACTATAAAAATTAAAATTTGTTGGTTCTCTTCTTTTTTTAAACTAGGTGGCTTCACCTGTGCCAAAGCCTCCAGAGGACAAGTTGGAAGAAGTGCATACAAGCCATCCATTAAAACAAAGAAGAAGAATATAAATGACTAGTAGCAAATTAATATTTTCTAAAGGAGTAATTTATTTTTTATTTTTAGCCTGTCATTTTAATTCTTGAAGAGATTTGACTATTGGTATTTTTTTCAATGCATTCTTCTTTGTAATTTTGTTCAAGCTACTTGTCTAATTTACTTTCATCTTTTAAAATTAGTTTATTGTGGACAAAATACATGCCAGCCAACTGTTTCCCTTAATAAAACTTTCCCAGTAACTCCACCCAGTGCCTTTGCTTATATCTTATTGGCTAGAACTGGGCCCATGACTATTCCAAACTGAGAAGTCTGGGATAGTGAATGTTTTAGGTTCCGCCTCCTGTGGTTGAGGAAGCAAGAGAAAGAGGGTTGGGAGTGCCAATACTGATTCACAGTATTTGCTACAAGACCCAAGGTTGCTAGCTAACTTAAGTAAATAAAATAGCTTATCATTACCTGTTATAGATGCTATTTTGATCCATACTTAATATTACAGAAACAGTTCTTACAACATTACCTCTCACACTGCAGTAACTATATGTGAATTAATTGAAGGAAATAAGTATAGCAACCAAAATGTTTATTTTAATACAAGTATTGAGTGATTCACATGCAAAAACTAGAAGTCAGGATGTGTCTAGGTGTCTGAATGCCAGGGCTTCAAAATCAAGACAAATCTGTAAAGTAAAAAAGTTAATAAACTGTTAGAACAAAGATGAAATTAGAAACTTACATACTTTACTTAACTTGTAAGAAGAATTTACTTGATCCAAGGCAGAAACAAATTAGAATTTGTAAATACTAGACTTCTACCAGTACTTTTAGTACACATTTTCTTTTCTGTTAGTTCACCACACAATGGAAATCCAAGTATATCCAGGCTGTTTCCATATTTTCACTGGTAAAAATAACTGAAGAAGGCACCAAAAAAAGATTCCGACTCAACTGGCTTGGGGTGGGGTCTGAGATTCTGTTCTTCCCGAAGTTCTTAGGTGATCCCGTTGCGCTGGTGCAGACTACACTGAGTAGCAAGGCTCTAGAAAAGGGCTACAGTCCCTGAGAGCAACTGAAGAACTGCTGGTGCTCCGTCCAGACCTAAATAGTTACTCCAACCAAGTCCACTATACTATAGTGTTTCACCCATCAGTCTCATAAAATGAGAAGTCTGCCTTTCACACATTACTTTTTAAATTAAAAGCAAAATTAAAATGTGGGAATAGCCCTGGCTAGGTAGCTCAGTTGGCTGGAGTGTCGTCCCATACATCAAAAGGTTGTGGGTTTGATTCCCAGTCAGGGCACATACCTAGGTTACAGGTTTGATCCCCAGTTGGAGTATGTACAGAAGGCAGCAAGCAATTGGTTTTTCTTTTTCAAATCAATAAATGTCCTCTGGTGAGGATTTTTTTTTTAAATGTGAGAATAAAATACGGTGGAACAAATGAAGAGCAAGAGCTGAGATGGCTAAGGATAGTTTAACATCATTCAAGTTCATTCACAAAAATCTAAGTTAGCAGAGAATAAAAAATTTCCTTAGGAAAAAAAAGTGTATATATATCACATTTGCAAAGCATGGTTGATCAAAGGTAAAATTAAAGGAAATGTTAATGAGTCAAATTATTAGGCTGGCTCCTAGAGCTCAGAAAACTGGTCAAATTCAAACAAAATGTTATGGCCACAAAACACTAAAAAGTACTAAGTATGTGCCCAAATTTTTTAAAACATTTTTTTTCATTGGCAACATTTGGGTTGAAAAGTCAAGTTTTCTCCTAGCAGTTCTTGCTGCATCTGCTGTATTCACTGTTCTGTCCCTTAAGCAAGCTCAATACGCCCTGGTTTTCTTTGGGAAAATACTAACATACAGGAAATCAGGATGAGTAGAGCTGAAGTTACAGGCTTAAAAAAAAAGTGTTGAATTTCTTTGGGAAAATATCAACATACTTGAGTATATTAGGAAATCAGGACTTGAGTATAGCTGAGGTTACAAGCTAAAAAAGTGTCTATTGAATATGATTACTTAAATTTTCACTACTGTTTTGGTTCCCAAACAACTAGGATGGGGCTGAACCCTTCATGGTTGCCCAGACTTAGCAGGGAGATGAAGCCCTACAAAGGTGAGTGTCTAGCAAGTGTTGTTTTCAGAATCTTTAACATGTTCCCTCAACCAACTTGGGTTGTACCTTTGCTTCCGGTAAACATTGTCCAAACACCTCCAACAGAAGTCTCTCTTCCTTCACTGCTTTCTCAAAGTCTGCAAACGATATCTTGCCATCATTGTCATAATCCTAGAAAGGAAGATGATTTCTTGACAAATGATTGAGTAGTTTTTACTTTTGCATGGAAAAGAACTGTCTAGAATGAAAGGTTACACCAAATAAAACTAGGTTCACATTCCTTAGGCACTGCCTATATAAGTCAAAAAGTACTCATTGGCCCTGGCCAGGTGGCTCAGTTGGTGAGAGTGTCATCCCAATACATCAAGGTTGTGGGTTTGATCCCTGGTCAGGGCACATACAAGAATCAACTAATGAATGCATAAATAAATGGAACAACAAATCTATATTTCTCTCAAATCAATAAATTTTTTAAAAAAGTATTTAAGGAGGCCACTTACTTTATTCCTATTAATTGAATAAGCATTCCTGGTATTATGGACTGAATGGGCATCCCCAAATTCTTATGTCTTAACCCCCAATGTTATATTTAGAGGTGGGGTTTTTACAAGGTAATTAGGTTTAGATGCTTTCATGATGTAATTAGTATTCTTTTAAGTAGAGAAAGAGACCCCCTCTCTGCCATGTCAGGACATACTGAAGAGGTGGCTGTCTGCAACCCAGGAAGGGAGCCCTCACGGGGAAGTGAATCAGCTGGCACCTTGACCTTGGACTTCCCAGTCTCCAGAACTGTGAGAAATAAATTCCTGTTGTTTAAACCACCCAGTGGATGGTAATTTTTTTTATAGCAGCCCAAGCAGATGAACACCTGAGTTACATTATATCAAATGTAGCCCCATACTCTAAATAGACAAGACAAAAAAAATCAGAAGAAGCCCAATACCACTATATTGCTATTTTTTTGTGATAAAACAAGTGCCATAGGGCAAAAATTCTCAAGCTTGATTTTTAGTAGAACTTGTTCCTCAAAGGATCTCTTACTTGGAAGCCCATTATGCATTCAATAAAAAGGATGAAAGAGCAGCTGCTCAGTTCAGGAGCAAGGTACTGGGAGGCAGAGCACTGATGGTTCCAGATGGACTAGAGCCATGCAGGCCACTGCAAGGCCTTCAAGGACAGCTGGGATGGACACAGGTGGAGAGGTCTGGGGAGGGAGTGCAGAACAGCCCGACCTGAATTACAGCAATAAGCAGGAGAGTAAGTCAGGAAGAAGAGAGACCTGCCTGGTGTGGAGCATTCATGATAGGAACTATGGGTAATTGAATGGGTCATGGGGGAGCACGTGTGTAGATTATGAATGCCTGTAACTGCTTAAATGGATTTGGATTTTATGTTTTTCTTCACTTCTGAGCATAACCAAATCAGGATAATCAGGGTTGTTGAAAATCTAATTTAGAGAAAGTTTGGAATAATTTGTCAGAAGAAGGTTCACTCCATAACATTTCTTTCCAACAAGGAGGGCTGGGTTTGGTGTGAGGGAATACATTGTCTCTCAAGAATTCTACCCTGAGCCCTAGAAGGGTCTGCTGAGAGTACTTCTGATGGGAGAGGATACGCGAGTCTGTGCTAGCCGAGTGTGAGACTCGGCCGTCCACATCATGTTTCTTTCCTGAACTCCAGAGTAACGGGTGAGCTGGGCTCTGGCTGCCTTAAGGTCACAATCTTCACTGGTATCCAGTTTAGGGTCATACTGAGAAAAAGGCCAGAAATTACTATGTCCATAATAAATCAGTATTATTGGTTTCATTGAAAGATGAATTCTGCACCTGGTTTTCTAGTGTGTAAACCTACCGGCACTTCAGCTTCCTCATCTGCAAAACAGATCATTTGTTCTTCCTAGGGTTGTTCTGAGGATAAAATGAGTTCCTACATTAAGTCCTGTGAAGGGTCTGGCATATAGTAAGCGCTCTATAAGGAATAACTATTTTTATTAGATTATTTCGTTACAGTTAAGTGTTTAGACAAATTGGAAGGCTAAGGTTATAAAGACAGACTGGAATAGCATCCAGTTTTATACAATTAAACCTGGAGCTTCCCCCCTAATTAATGAGACTTTATTGGTATTAAAATATTTTAAAGTACAAAAATTAACATTTATTTGGTGGGATGATTAATCACCCATCACCCAACAATTCCATAAACATTTACTGAGCACCCACTGTCAGCCAGGCCCTGTTCTAGACAATGGGTAGGGCAGAGAACAAACAAAAACTCCTGCCCTCATACAGGTTACATTTATTATATGTGCTGCCGGAGCGAGCACTAGGTTACATTTATTATGGAGGGAAATGATCTCTGCATCTTCAACTTTATCCAACATCCACTTGATTGGATATAAAGAATTACAGCTTTTCATTCTTACCATTTTCTTCAGTGTTATGTCTACCAGCTCTTTTACTCCTTCATCAGTCTCCTCCTTGGATGACAGTTGGTGTAGACTGTTCCTCAACAGGTCAAATATTTCCTCTCGAGAAATGTAGCCATCATCGCCATTCAAATAGTAAACTTCAAAACAGACTTTTCAAAGCATAAGAAATTTAAAGACTTGGGTAAGGATAGTTAAAATGTCATTAATCTTCTCCTTAGTTATTTCAACATATAATAAAAAATAAAAAATTATACAACCTACAATTATTGGCCTATATGGTGAGAGATTTTAAAATAAAGTACCCTTTATTATATTTCTTTCTACAAGATTAAATACCCCTTGGAATGTGAAAAGACTTATAACTTCAGGATTTTTAAATAGAGCTGCAATAAAGGGGGATACATATTTTTAAATCTTTGATCATACAATATACATATACATATGTGTGCGAAATCTCATTACTGATTCTCTTCTTACATAGAGTACAAAATAAGCACGTACTTTGCTATGTCACTGACAACATCAGCATCTTTGGGAAGTGAGTCTGTCCCCTCCTGGGGGCGACCCGTCTGTACTACCCGACATGTTCCATCTCTCCCGGGAGTGACTGGCATCTCACGAGGTAAGCGCTACCGCAGCTCATTCATTCATCCCCAGGGGCTTGCTCAGGCCCTAGGCATACAGCAGTGAAAGAGCTCTGGTGGTTTTGTAATCCAGTTAAATGTTTTGTCAAAAGCAATAGAACCACGTATAAAACTCCAGAGTGATCAGATCAGCTTTGTGTTTCTTTGAGTTTCTCCTAACCTGTTGTACACATGAGTTTGCAACACAACCTTACTAGAAGTGGTATTTTCCCCCAGATTGATATATCCTGAATCTATTGATATATTCCATATTCATGGAAGTGAGGTTAGAGGAGAAAAAATTTTTTGATAGTGAGATGCTATTCAATCATGTATGGCTACTTTCGATATCATAACCATTTTTACCAGGTATTAGAATTACCACAAGAATTTACATCCAAGAAACCTAGCTTTTCGGTTTTCAGTGAGATTTTTGTATAGGAATGTTGCAACAAGCTTAAATGGCAACTATATTTAAATGTTATCCTGTGAAAAATTAGACTGAAGAAAACAAAACTAGGAACAATAAAGTATAAATGTCAGAAAGTTGATGATTTTTTTAATGTTGCTATCACTGTATAAATGTGTTTAATTTAGGGATCTTCTTTTGAACATTCAAAATCCAAATCCAAGTGGAAGACTGAGAAGGAATAAAAATTTTGCTTACTTCCTCAGAACACCACAGCCTTAAGCAACTTGATGTGAAGCAATGTTTCCTTGAAAACCGGTATTTAAAATTGTTTAAAATTCTCTTTCTGGGGTTCCTCACCCCAAATTCTGGCTCCAGAGGTGTAAACCATAGGAAATACGCATCACTGCAGTGTTAAGGTGAGGTGAGGCCAGAGTTATTTCTAGGCAAAATTGTGAACTGGGAGATTTTTATTTTTTTTCTGTAAGAAGCTCTCTTTATAATCATCTCCCTTTGTCCTCAGGTGTTCCCCTCTTTACACTCATCTACACTAAGTAGAGCATCGGTGTCTGGGGTTTAACATGTACTTTACCTCATTTTGTGTCTATTCCTCACATTTTTTCAACGAGAAGACAAGCAATGGCCCTAACATGACTTGCGCACTGCCCCATTGGAAGGCCTGTTTGCTGCTGAGCCCAGAGGCAGCCTCAGAAGCCTCCGTCTTGCAAGTTGATTGGAGTTGGCATAAACCCCGGCCCTTAGTTTCAGTCACTAGGCCTAAGCCAAGGACCCATCCTGGTGAGCATTACAGAGCCAGTGATGAAAGTGTTTGGGGAACCTGGGACTAGGCACTCTCCTGTGAAACAGGCCACCCATTTCATCTGGTTTTTATTTTTAAAAGCTGCCATGCACTATTTTTGCAAGGTTGCTATAGAGAACACTAATTTTATGTTTTTTAAAAACTTGAAACATTCACTAAATACAAAATTGGCAGTATATATTAGTAAGCCAACAATCCCATATAGGATCCTTACATTTCAGCTTTTCTTCAAAAGTCCCTCGAAGAAACACTGATAATCCTGCAACCCACTCATTTACATTTATGCAGTTATCATTGTCTTTGTCAAACGCAAAAAATACTGAAAAAAAGAACACATACATGTATTATAACTTACAGCTATTTTATAATTCAAGAGTATGTATATTTGTAAGGATAGATTTTAAAAATTTTCCTCCCAAACTGAGAGGGGAAAAAGGGCTTTGCCACAATCTTTCTTGAGAGAGTCTAAATTACTCTGATATGTTTCCCCCAGATTTGCATAGGAAGAAAAGAGCCATTCTCCTCCATGATCATGATGAGCTTCATTTGTGATGTTTTATACAGTTACTATAAGCCAAGAAGTCCAATAATGGAGCCAATCAATGCGGTTATTTTTATTCTAAAAATGTGGCAAAATGCTGTTCTAAAGAGTTTGTACAATGCCTAAAGGTAAATTACTAAAATAATGCATTATTTTAAAATTACCAATGAAATCTTAGTTTACCCAAAGAAAATAAAATGTTATTGACTCTGGGGAGTGATGGATATGTTAATTATTTTGATTATGGTTATGGTTCCAAGGGTGTACATATATATGTCAAAACTTATCATACTAAATACTAAAAATCTGTTAGTGAAAATGGATCACTTTAAATAACTTCCTATTTTACAATAAATAAATAACCTTTGATTTTTTCAGTATAATGAGTATCAGTTTTGCACTGACACATTTTTCATTTTTATGAGGAAAAAGTTGCTTAAAAATGTACATGTCTGCAGCATATGAATCCACAGACATCACAATTAAAAGCCACATGCTTATCTTTGAAAAACAATGCTGCTATCTTATTTAGTCCATTCCTGGTTACCTCTCCAAGTGGTAGTCATGAGATAAATCCTGAGTGAGCTTACACTAAAAACCATCCTGGCAATAAAGTCAACTACTGACTTGTATTGTCAGCACTACCAGGATTGTCTTTTTAGTTTGGCATTAAAAAATTCAAAGTCTTTGACAAAAATTAAACATATACTTGCCATATATTAATCTACATAGATATATATGCCATATTGTTGGGGTCCGTCCTGCCTGGTCTCAGGAAGCTGTAACCCCCCGTAACTTGGGCTGAGTGAGAGACCTCCAGACTAGGAGCCACTTAGGAGACAAAACTTATTTTCCTGGCATGAACGCTGCCTGTTCTGTGCCTGGCCTCCTATGCTTGATCAGTTAGCCAATGACGGGTAAGGTTTCCCACAGAGGGAATCGCCTAAGACAGGCATGATCACAAGGAGGCCTCAGGGAAGAGACTTGGGGCTGTGGAAATGAAGGGGTGATGGACATCAACCCCTGCCCCCTCGGCTTTGTCAAAGCCTGAGTCCTTGTTCTTAGATGTGAGAAATCCAAGTCTCCTGGCTGCCTTTGTCTCCTCTGCCCGACTCAGGCCTGCGGAAATAGCAGTGGCGGTGCAGTCCAGACCAGAGTCGGCGGACCCCCGGGGTAATCAGGCCTGGGACATAGAATATGCAAGATCCTGTGAGATCTGTTTGCTGGAGGATGTTATTAAATTAGAATTTGAAGGCACAGACAGGAAACCAAAACTAGCCCTTTGAGCCCTGTAGTCCTTTCAAATGATAAAACTCCAAACTTTACCCAGAATCACAGCGGGAGTTCTGTCAGTCCCTTTGAAAATTTACCAATTCCTTTTGATCTTCCCTGCCAGACTGCGAATCCACAAACTGTGTCTGTTTTCTTAATAAAAACCTGCTTGGGCAAAAAAACGAAGTGTTCTCCCTTAGAGAGAGTAGCTGTTTCGTCCCTATTTTCCCACAGGACCCAGTTGTCTCTGTGTATGTTTTTCTCATGTTTCGACGAGCATCCGCAGCAGGGATGGATACTGCTGGCCGATATCCACCACACCATATATACATGTTTGCTGTTCAGCTTGGCCCGTTTCAGTCTCTCATGCCTTCTTACCCCTATTCATTAGCTTCTCGTCAGTCATTCCAAACAAGCTGTACAGGATTGTCCGGAAGGCATTACGATCTAGTCCAGCATTATCAAGTCGCACATCGCCTCTTCCCACCAAGCGCTGAAAAAGTATTATCAGACACTCTACTTCACTTTTTTTGACTGTAAAATGAAAATATAAATACATATGAGTTCATTGTTGAGTTCTCTAACCTAATTAAAAATATTTTACCAAAAAGCTGTTTTTCCTATGATGCTAGATGTCCTAGTGGTTTTTAAAATATGACATGGACTTGTTCCTTAAGAGCTTACCCTGTTAAGACGGGGCTCACTCAGAAAGAGGAGCTGGGCCATTTTCATGGGAGTGGGCTTTGAATTGGGCCTTGAAGGATGCACAGGATTTTTATAGGAAGGAATGAGTTGGGGTGGTGAAGAAGAAAATTCCAGGGAGAGGGAACAACATGAGTAAAGGAAAGAGGGAGAATGGGGGGAGCTGGAAAGAAGTGAAAAATAAGATTGAAGAGAATGGCCTGATGTTTGAGGGCCTTGAATGCCTGGCCAGAGGATTAACATTTATTTTACTGAAGTGTTTCCCATGGTATCATCTTTGGACCCTCTGTGTGAGAAGCAACCCCCTTGCCATTGCTTGTTCAACATGCAAATTCCCAGGCCTTGCCCTAGACCTCTCTCAGAATTGTTAACCGTGGGCCCAGGAGATGAGCTTTTAAACAAGAGCTAGGTTGACTCTTCCATGCCTTAAGAGTTGAGAAGTGGCAAGCTGTATTGAAGCGCAGAGGCCAGGCTTGGAGTGATGGGGCCAGAGGGGTGGACATGAGGTCAGAGTGGGGAGGGAGCCTGAGATACTGTAAAGAATCAGTAGAACTTGGTGACTGATTTTCAAACCGAAACTTTTTAATACTCATATATCTGGATCTTACTCCAGGCTTAGAAAACTAATGGTAGATTTAAGTGCACAGGTGTTTCTAATGCACCATCAGGACCGAGAACTCTGGGCTTAGACTTAGTGGGTTGGGGGTACTAGGCTTAAGCATTTGGGTTCTACTCCCATTTCTGAGAGACTAAATAGCTGAGAGACAGACAAGTCACAAAGCACCTTATGCTTTGGAGTCCTCACCACTACAAATTACGTGTTTGTCCAGATGATCTCTGAGAGTCCTCAAGTTTATAAAAGTCTAATTCTCTGAATCAAAGGTTGAGAGAACCAAAAGAGGGGGAAAGCTGGTTAATATTTTTCTTTTTCTCTTCCCTGTCCTCCCTCCCTTTTTCTTTTTTCTTTTCTTCTTTCTTTTTTTTTTTTTTTGAGGAAGGGTGGCAGGTGGGTAAGGTGGGGAGAAAAAAAAGGTTATTTTAGATGCTATCTTTGAGATGATTTCAGGTTACCCAGTAGAAATTAATGACAACATATAGCAAATATGCAGTTTACAATAGGGTTTCCACTGTGGTCAAAATAACTTGATTCTTAGGACAATGACTGACAAAATAAGAAGCAATTACAAAGTTACCTAAAAATACTATTCTATGAACTGCCAGGCTTCACACTGTAGCTATTAGCCCTAATATATGAAACCAAAGGTCTTTTTTTATCCATCCAATAAGCACTTATTAAGGGTCTTCCATGAACCAGGAAATGATTACTCCATGGCTCCTGCCCTCAAGATTGTTACACTTTGGTGGAGATAAGGAAGTGCAGTAAAGTAGAATAAGCACTGTGATTGATGGTGGTTGGGGGTGACCCAAAGGAAGGATTTGGGAAGAGAGATGGTAAGTAATTAAGAACAGCCCCAAAGAGGAGGTGCCACGAGCTAAGACCTGCCAAAGGAGTGAGCATTAGCCAGAGGAGAAAGCTTGAGTGCGTGGAGGCATGTTCTGAGAGCTGCAGATGGTCTGGTGTTGGCCCAGTGGCAGAACTGTTTGCAGACAATGGGGAGCTTACTGAGAAACTTTGGCACGGTAACAGGATCAGATTTGCATCTACGGAAGATCACTTGGGCATGTTCTTGAAACTACCTTATGGGGAATCCAGATGTGACAGGTTGCTACTTCCCCAAAGACCACTGAAACCATCTCCCCCGCCGCCCCCCCCCCCCGCCCACACACTCTTCTTACGATGTGATGTAGATATTTCACCCCCGGAGAGATGGGGACTGTCTCCCTCCCTTAAAATTAGGAGGACTTCTGTGCTGGTTTCCTTTCAACCAAGTAAGTGTACAATGGAACCAGGGAATGTGACTTTTCAAGGTTATGTGGCAGAAAGAGATTGCTGAGGACAAAACTTGGAGACATTTTTTTTTTGATGGAATATGAAGAAAAAGGGCACTCAGATGTAGACACTCTATCAAGTGCATAATAAGACATTTGTCATGCTCATTCTGGAGAATTATTACCCGAGTGGAAATGTTAGCACCAACGCTAGCATGAATTAAAAGGGTCCCTGGAGTGAGGGTTAAGCTGCTCTGAGTCAAAGCAATCTAGGATTGTAGACAGTCTCCGGTGGGTAACTTTTTCTGAGTTTACCCACGTGGCTTGCATTTCATTGTATCTACAGGCCTTATTACACACGTGGAGAAGGAACAATTGTGATATTTGAGAAGTCGTGGGTAGTTGAGAATGGTGTTGAGATGCCAGAGTTTGACTCATGTTATTAAACAACTTAGTTTACACTAATTTTATTATTTTTTAAAGATTTCATTTTTATTATTTATTTTTAGAAATAGGGGAAAGGAGGGAGAACGACAGGGAGAGAAACATCAGTGTGTGGTTGCCTCTCATGTGGCCCCCACCAGGGACCTGGCCCGCAACCCAGACATGTGCCCTGACTGGGAATTGAACCGGCAACTCCCTGGTTTGCAGCCCACGCTCTATCCACTGAGCCACACCTACCAGGGCAGTTTACAATAATTTTAGATTTCCAAGGGATGCAATGAGGAGTTCCCATGAACTCTTCAGTTTCTCCCTTTACATCTTACATAACCATGGCACATTTGGCAAAAGTAATACACGAACTCTGGCACATTGCCATCGGCTAAATTACACTTACCAGGTTTTCCACTAGTGTTCTGCTTTTTTATCCCGGGATTCATTTGGCTGTCATGTTTCCTCCAATCTGAGTTTTCAGTTTTCCTTGACCTTATTTTAAGAATGTGTCTTAATTTAGCTTTGTCTAACATTTTTCTCATAATTAGACCATTTGTGTTTTGTGGAAGACTACAAGATAAAGTGTGATCCTTGTCATCACACTTCAGCGGCACACATGTAGCCTTGATTACTTGGTTAAGCTAGCGAGTACACGTTTCTCTGCTGTAATCACCGTTTTCCTTCTCCACAATCTTCCTTACAGGCCAGTCTCTCAAAGAAGAGGGAGTCAGGTGCCACTACTTGGGAAGGGGTGTCTATACCATTATTCAGAATTCCTTTGTAAGAAGGATGTCTCTTTTCCTTTTATTTAGTTATGTCCCTATGAAATTACATATAATTTATACCAATATTGTTATTTCGTTCTCCAATTGCTCCCGCTTTGGCCATTGGGAGTTTTCAGGCTGGCTCCTGTGTTTCACATGTCCCCACCCTTCTGCTTTTCCACACTTGCTTTCTGGCACTACCTGCCAGCCTCGCCTCTATCCTCCCAGAGAGAGAACAAGAAAAGAAGATGCATTGGTCTCTGCCTCGTTCCTAGCACAGAGCTCCTACAACCTTGTGCTTTTCTAAGTGACACAAGCATGAGGAGCATCATTTTAGTCTTTGGCCCGAGTTCCAAACAAAGCTTGTAAATCCTAAATTTCTATGTCCTGGGTGACAGGAATGGCTTTTGTTCTCATGAGGTGACTGTTGGTGGCTCCTGGACACAGAAAGACCAAGCCAAGATTAAAAACTGGACCTTTCAGCCCCACCCACCAACCTTCAGGGAGGACCTAGAATTTCCTGATGATCTATCACATGCATGCGAAGGCTCCAGGAAACCCGCCACAATGCAAGGTTTGGGGATGTTCTGTGCTGCTGAACACAAAGGTGCTTAGAAGCAAGCATAGTTCTGCAATCCTCCCCACATACCCTGTTCTTTGCAGCTGGCTGTTCCTATCTTTTCATAATAAATTGCTCATCTAGTAAGTAAACTGTGTCCTAGGTTCTGTGAGCCACTCTAGCAAGTTAATTGAACCCCAGGAAAGGGTTGTTGGAACCTGAGACTCAGTCAATTGGTCAGAATCTGTGGCACAGATAACCACCTGGACTTGATTGGCATCTAAAGGGGGGGGGTGAGGACTGAACTCTTAACCTGTGGGATTTCATTCTATCTCCAGGTAGTGTTGGCAGAGTTAAATGTAGGACACCCAGCTGGTATCAGAGAACTGCTTCCAGGGAGAAACCTCCACAGGTGGTGGACATAAGTGACAGATGTATGAGTGTGGCAGTAGTGTTAGAGAAACGAATTAGTGCTGGCTTTCCCTCTACGCCGTTCAGCTTTGTCAAGGAATCCTGTTTGTGTGTGTGCGTGTTTTAAATTGGCGATTGCTACTTTGAAACCAAGGTTTAGGTACTTGGTATGCTGTGGCTACTGGGGTGTTAATACTTCTAAGCCCTCTCAGAAGACATAGCAAGGAAATAAGTATGTCTACGAGCCTACGTAGGCACACCCATTGTTATGCCTCACAAATAGAGCGAAAGCCAAGTACCGGACTAGTTGGCCTGTAGGTGGTCCTGGGCCAAGTGCCAGAAGAGACAATTTTATGAAAAACTCATGAACACCCAGGGGGGTGGGGGTAGGGGGCTCATGAATCCACAAGGGCAAGTCATACTACATTTAACTTATTTCTCCCTCAATAGGAGTGGATCAGAGAAATGCAGTCTAAAAAAGTATTCCAACTTTAACAGGCACGTGACAGTATCTCTCATCATTAAGATGTTAGGACCGATTCAGTACCATGTAGAGCCCACAGAGCACGATGGTAGGCTCTCAAATGTTCGCTAAGCAATCACCAAGCAGTTGTCACGTGGAGAGGTTAGTGAACATGCTGGATGACAGTAACATCTAAAGGCCAAAATGATCGGCTGAAGCAAACAACATGACATCATTAGACATTTTCTAATTCCTCACATAGGTTGAAAAAAAAAGTTCATTAATCTATTTAAGTGTAAAAATTATGGCAAAACAACAAAGCACGTGAAAGACTGGGTCAATTCCCAATCTATCAATTGAAACTGACATTAAACTGACCAATCTATCAATTGAAACTGGAAGAAAGAATTCTGGCCAGGAATCCTCAAACTTTATTGTCTACAATACATAGAACAATCCGGTGCCTGGCTCTGATTCAGAGATGTTTAAATATAGTTAGCGGTGCCCAGGAAGCAGCATTTTCTTTTTCCTTCTGTCTTTTTTTAGAGAGGAGAGGGGGGAGGGAAGAAGAGAGGGAGAGAACACTGACATGCCCTGACTGGGCACCCTGACCAGGCGCAGGGAGGTCCTTAGACAGGCGGGACCCATCCTAACCAGGCAGGACTCACGAGAGAAAGTGGAAGGGCCCAATAACAAGGCTGTGAAAGTGGCTGACATAAAACTAATTTTCTCAAATCCTGAAAACATTCTCAGAATTTTAAGTCAGGATTTGTGGTCGTGCCTGAGAAAAAACATTCACAAGATTACTTTTTAAGGTCAAGGCAAGGAATCCCCCCCAAATCTGTTATGCTAGACTAGTTTTAATAAACACTTGCCATGTTTAGAGCACCATGCTATTTCAACTTCTATAGTGTCTTATGTTACATATCTCTGCCAATCCCCTGAAGTAGAGCAATCTGCTTATATGGGTTTTGTGCCAGAGAACTCAAGGAAGTGTCAAAGTAAACCTTTGTACTTTGAAATCTTACTAAATTTCAGATTATAATAATCAGTCCTTGGTTGGCAGATAATCCTTTAGCACTTACGTCATGTAAATTCTCAAGCTTCTCTCCCACATACACAAATATATTTTAGGACACCTGATAATTATTTTCAGCATAAGTGCAGCGATGTAATTGTTCACTTGCTATCTTATTTTTTACAGTGACCAAGGTATTATATAGGAAAGAGAGGAACTCCATTTTGAAAGTTACAAAGCATTTGTTAACGTCCCACTAGTATATCTACTAAGTTTCTATTTGAATAAAGACGTTTAGGCAGTGCTGGATGTCTGGTCAGTACTTACAGCTCTTGACAGTTTTGCTGAGGGACTCTACCAGCTTCCTCAGCTGGTTCATGGTGAATGTGGCTTCGACACACTGCAGACTTGTCAGATAGCCTAGCTCCGAGCCTGGGCAGCCTGGGACCCCACCGATTCCACAGTTCACTACGCCACACCCGACACTGTCACCATGGCAACATTCCAGCAACCAAACACAGAAGGTTCTCAAGTCATTGGAAACACATGCGGTGACTGTTACCACTCAGTACTGACACGCGATTTCATTAATGTTAGCGTGATCTGAAAGACTACAGCAAGTTGAACATTGCTTTTCTTTGGGTCTAAACACCAGTTAAAGTGGTACTTAATGTTGTCATTTGTATTTCCTCAGCATAAATTCTATAGTTGAAAATATTTCCCTCCTATTTGAACACAAAACTAAATAAGATTATAAAGGCCTTAATCTTTTAGTTGAAATAAAATAATTTCCCAGACCATACAATTTCCTTCAAAGGCTATATGACCTCATTTGAAAGTTCAAACCAAGTACCTTCTCATGATATCCAAGCGGAGGCTTCAATCTGGGCGTCTCTAGAGAAATGCTAAATCCCACTTTCACTCCTCCAACTTGTATCTGACTAACAAGTGGGAAAACATGTAACTATGCCAAAGGTGGCCAAAAAACTACGGTTTTAAGTCCTGTCCATTTTCGAATCCCAGTAGAGAGAACAAGTAGTTTCTGGTGTGTCTGCTGGTCTTCACTGTGGTAAGGCAAAAATTATAATGTACTAACATAATTTTTAGGAATTAGGGCACTAAATTTTTAGTAAGTTTTTAATGAAATATAAAATTTTAAAATAAGGCAAATACAAATGGGGAACAAAAAGCTTTCTTAAGACTTTTTTATAGATTTTAAGTTCAAAACTGGTAACTTTTAAAAAGTGAAACCTGTCACCTAAGTCTGAAGAATAACTGTTCTTAGTCTCTCTGAGGTTAGTCTACTATTCTCCAGAGCAACAGGTTTTTAAAGCACAGCTTGACTAATAAAGTATGAACCCATAATCTTGATAAAATAAATTCAGAACACTCTTATGAATTTAAAACACCTAAATATATTAAGGACAACCAAATAAATCCAAAACAACCAGAAAGAGGTAGCATTGCTATAAATTCAATTTTTTTTATGTAGACATTCATCAGTTTTGTTGCAGTTACCCTGGCACAATTACCCAAATAACATGTCCTGTGTTGAAAAGGGGTGATCTGGTGGAGGGGGGAAGTCAGAGATGTGGACCTGCATATAACATCACCAGTCAAGTTTTCTTCCCACAACTTATTAGGAGAATGTTAAGGTTACCATAAGAGAAACAATGAAAAGGGTTATCTCCCAGACAGTCAATGGTCTGGAAACAGTATAATTTTCTTGCTAAATCTCTTTCTTCCCCAGTCTATAAAATAAGCAGTTGCTGTTAGTGGAACACAATCATCGTGTACTGGGCCAGTCTGCAAAGGTACACTTTTATGTTCACAGCAAAACTGATCAACAAATAAACTGATAAACTTCATCTTTTAGCATCTGCACGAACAATTCTGAGAAACTTCCTTCTGGATGCAAAATGTCCCTCAAACTTACTGTGTACTCAAGAACATATAGATGTCTTTTATTAGGTAAGAGTAGGAAGCTCTAAGCATAAAATTTAAGGAAACTAACCAAGAAATGTGTTATTTTTACAGCTAAAACTTGAAGACATGTCTTATCCTCCTACCACTTAACACCTAGTAGTGTTTCTTAATCATTGTAACTTTACTTGTGACTCAAAGGGAGTTGATAAGAACTTGGCTATTTTTAAGTAAAATAGCTATTTATTTAGCCTCTTGTCATGCCAAAATGTTTTGTGCATATAACACTATAATTATCACGCAGGCAAAATTATACATCAAATTATATTTTGTTACCTGATTATATAAAAATGTAAAGTGAAATTGAATTATCAATCCCTTTTAACTAGTAAACAATTCAGCAGGAGATATGAGGCACAAAATCTTAGTAAAATGACACAGAAAGAGCAATAATGTCATTCTCAATTAAGTTTAACTTGTCATAATTTTTTTATGAATATACAAAGACAAAACTTTTAAAATGTTATACTTACTAAGATTCTGGCAAGAGCTTTATGTAACAAGACACAGCATAACAGACTTGCCATTCAACTTGTATATGGTAAATCTCAGCTTCAATATGAAGCTGTTACAAACAAAACAAAACAAAACAAAACAAAAAACCTGCTTCTCACATGCTAAATATCTTGGCAAGAACGCCATTAAATGCAGTAAGGAATTTAAGATAGCAAGAATAAAAAGTTAATAAAAGCTAAACATTACAGCCTAAACAAAATTCATACAAAAAATAACTATCACTGGTTACATAAAATTTTCCTGACTGGTTAAAACTTAACAGTATAAAACATGCATCTTAGAATCTTTAGCTATCAAGTTCAAAAAGTACCAGTGTCTATTTGAAATGACTCCTCTCCAAAGCCAAAGTATAGTCAAAATTAATTCAAATGTTATAACACATTCTAATACTAACAATCATTCAGTATTATCGAAGTGGAGGTACATCCCAGAGCTTCCAGGGCTTTCTCGAGCTGCAAAAGGCCATTTCTCTGGATCACTCAAAGCAGCATACGGCAGAGTCCAAGGATGTTACTAACCTCAGTGAAGCGCAGGACTGCCATACCCAGCTCTGACCTCCCCATGAAGCATGGCTACTGTGTCCACAAAAATAGGATGTATGAGGATAAAAGGCACACTATTCTGCTAAAGAAAATAGCAAACCACCCCAACCCTTGAAAGTTCCTTCCCCAGGTAAATAATAAAAGTATACAAGGGGGAAAAAATTAAAATACACTTATCTACAGAGTAAGGATACTGAAATATCAATGCAATCCCTACTTCAAAAATGTTAGAGTCATCTGGTCATTTCTGTGTACATCTTAATGATGTATCCAGACTGAAATTCTGTCAATTTATCATTTGATGCCTCTAGTCAAAAATATTAACTTTATTCCCAAATAACAACCACTAGTATGACTGCAGTGTATTATCTCCCAAAGTTACTAAGCAGTGGAAGAGAAAAAGACAGATGTTCAGGCAGCAGGCAACTATTATGGCCCTTTCACACAGCGGCATTCTGAGTGGCTACTGAACAGTCCAGGAATAATGCTAGAAACAACAATATTCATGCACTTTAGTAAATATGTCATTATTTTCACAGTTGAGATCTCCTCAGACATTGCACTTTATAAGGGAATCCTGATTTTTTCTAATGTCATGGTGAGTCAGGACTCGAACTAGCAGCCTTCTTTTTCTTTTTCTTACTGTGTTTCTTATGCTTCTTTTTCTTTTTTGTTTTTTCCTGTAAAGATAGTCCCATGTTAGACATTTCTACATGAAAATATGCAAATTAGAAACAACCTGTTTACTAAGGTACTTCTGAGCTACTACATAGTCATTTCAAACAATCCACACAACCAAGTAAGCTACTCAAGACATTTCTTGAAAAGCATCAATAATCAGTATCATGAGGATGAACAGTGCTTATAAACTTTCAAAATAAGGAAAAGCTTTAAGTCATTATCATATTAACGTAGCTGTTAACTAAATTTCGTGTAGAAAATAAATTCAATTGAATCATGGTATCAATTCTTATTTTTCATTTATTTAATTTCCAAAGGTAAAATAGTTGTAGGTACTGCCAAGGAATCCCCATACCACAGCAAAACAGTGATTTATGCAAAGTGATGGTTTTCAGAGGACATATATGAAACCTGCTATTTTTAAGCAAACAGAAACACAGATATTATGTACTGCTTAGACTGGGAGCACTTAGGTTAACAACTGACTGGCACGAAATACTGATGTGTAGTTGGAAAGTCTTCTTTGGCTTATTAAGACAAACACTTGACTGTCAGAGGAAAATGCCACGGAAGCCTAATAAAAGTCGTCCAACTGTCACTGGGTAAGGGGAGCCAGAATCTTACTGATCTCTGAATTTTGGGAGTGTTTCAGACACAGAAAAGAAGACTGCACTTTTAGAACAGACACTTGGAAAGGTGGTATCAAATGATGTTGTTGATGTTCAGGAAAAGAAAATAAAAGGCAAGAAAAAAGACGTAAGGGTAGTAAAAGCAAAGTTTCCTACCCTTTTCTTTATCTATTAGAGCTTTCTACAGTCCTCCCTCCTCTCTCAAAGGTCTCTGCCACTCTGTGGCTCTCAGCGGTCATCATTCTTTTCACTACAAGCCCAGTCCAAACTCTTGTATTTGGGCGTTTAAAAGTAAGTTTTGCATTTAGATTACATTTCGAAGGACAGCTGACCACTCTCTAAAATACTTTTCTTTTTGGTTTCCATGATAACCTCACTCCACTGCTTTTCTTCTATCACAACGAGCTCTTCATTTCCTTCACTGGTTCTTCCTCTGCTCAACTTTTCAGGGCCTCCTTCCCTTCTCTTGCACATGATCTCCCAGTCACACACTTTAAATGCCACTTACAAACCAAATCTTTATATCCACTTCACTCTGAGCATAAGACTGCAAGTGCCTCATTATTGCCTCCACCTGGCTAATATGCACACCCCAAATTATCATAAAAATGTTTAATTTCTCTCTTCAAATCATCTTGTACCCATCTTAGTAAATGGCATCACTAATCTGTCATTTTACTTTAGCCAAAGAATCTAAGCTATCTTTGACTCTACCCTTTGCTTTAACTCTATTCTTCACATCCAAAGCACCAAGTAAGTCCTACCACTTAAGTCCAGAACACATCTCAAGCCCATCATGTCGATCCCTCTCCATGATTACCACTGTAATAACAACACAGTCCTCACCTCTGTCCATTCAGCTCCTCTGCCAAAGCAGTTTTTAAAAAAGTAAAGTTGAGCCCTGGCTCGTGTGGCTGAGTGGATTGAGCGCCGGCCTGCAAACCAAAAGGTCACCAGTGTGATTCCCAGTTAGGGCATGTGGCTGGTTCCAGGCCAGCTCCCCAGTAGGGGGCACACAAGAGGCAACCACACACTGATGTTTCTCTCCCTCTTTCTCCTTCCCTTATCCTCTCTCTAAAAATAAATAAATATTAAAAAAATAATAAATAAAATAAAAAAGTAAAGTTGATTCAGGTCACTTCTTTGCTCAAAACCCTCAAAACAGCATCCCATTACATTCTGATTAAAACCCAAACACTCTTGCGGGATATGAGCCCCGCTTACTTCCCAGCCTCACTGTGTACTGCTCCTCTTTGTCTACCAGGTAAAAGCCCAGCTTCACTTCTTCCAGGTCCTCAAACTCATTCCCGTATACGTCCTCAGCTCTTCTCTGCCTAGATATTTTTCCTTTGATCTTCACATGGCTGACCCTTTCTTGTAAATCAGATTTCAGGTTAATTTTACTTCCTCATAGAGGCTTTCCCTCACTGAAGTCACTGTCTCATGTATCACCCTCTTTTCTTGTACTCTATTATAAACAGCTGTTTCAACACCTGGCACAGTGCCTGCATAGAGCTTAATAAATGTATGCCAGCTAAATGCACAGAACAGGGAAGTATGCAAATACAAATCAGAATTACCCAAAGTGTTAACCTTTATCTTAATTAATTAATCAGTCTGAGCCAAAGACCAAAGCAGTCTTTGTCCAAATTATTTTTTCCATTCAAAAGTCTTTTAAGTGTCACCTTGGACTAGAAGGCATATAAAATGTTAATTCTGAATCAAATCATACATTACCAAGTGAACCTTCTTATCAGAGAAGGACCCTCATTTTAAGACCTAGGAAAATTATGGGAATTACCCTCAAATCTACAAATAATGTGGGTCTCATTTTTATTTTACCTCTCCCTAAGAAAATGACTTTAAAGGCCAAAGTCCATACTTATACTGAGTGCTCCTAAGTTACTTTGCTGATATGATCCACATTACTCTTTGATAATCTGTATTCATTTTCTCTAGGATGGTCTGCTTCTTATTTAAGTACCACTTCCATTTCCCTTTTCTTCCTCTTCCTTTGGTCTCCTTTCCCATTTCTCAATCTGCATAATAGCAGAGCTGGCTTTAGAAATGATCAAAAGAACAATCTTTATTAGTGAAATCATTTATGTTGTCACATTCTGGCTTACTATTGGCTTATTATTCTCTAAACACAAGAGTAAGGATTGTGTTTAGAGAGGCTTTTTCTGTTAATATCAGGTTTGGCTGATCTGGAAGTAACTACTATTGAAGACAGAGGGAATCATCATACTTTAATATCATCTTTCATATTATTACACCTTCAGAAAATCAAACAAAAGTTTGAGCTTATATTTCTGACAGTAAAATACTGAAATGGAAACAGACCATATTTGCAACCAGGGTATTCTTCCTTTTTCCTGAGCCAATTCAACTTTTTCCAACCCATTAAGTGAAGCTGCCAAACACCATAATTAAGTATTTACTTGGTCCTAGTAAATGCAATCATGCTTTCTTTACCCATGACTCATTTTATATTAAATAAAAACAGCTATACTGTTGTCATGTAAAAATGTAAGTGATACTTGCTGTTGCTTTGTCTCTGTCTTCACTGCTTTTCTTCTTTTTCGCTCGTACCTAAAAAAAAGTTTAAGTGTTTGTGGAGAATGGAAGACAAACATGTAACTTGTACTTAAGGCATTTCTTTTTCACTCCCTAACATACTTTGTATCTTTATAATTTATCTGTAAAAACATTTCGACAACCAAATAACATTTTAAATGCCTTATTTACCTTAAAGCTCTGTTATATCACAATGAGAATTAAATAAAATACATTTAAAGAGAGAGAAATTAATACTTTAAATCTCTAAAGGGCTCTTCTTATATTCCCTTTCAGCACCTAAGAAAGCAGTGAGGTACAATGGACAAAAAAACATGAGCTCTCAAACCAACCAACCAACCGTCCAAACAAGCTCTGAATCCTGCCTCTGCTACGTGTCACTCTCAGTTTCATCACCTGTAACATGGCAGGGGCAGTGCCTGGAATGGAGTGGGTCCTTCTCTAACTCTGTGGTGTTCAGTGAATAACAACTATACATACAGTGTACTCAGTATAATCCAACTGATTAAATCCAAAGTTGCTAAAGTTACTGTGTATTTAATGTTAACTCCAAATATAACATTATTATTTTTTGTTTTTCTTGTCATAGCAATGACTGGAGTGGGAGCAGCTGTGTTGCGCCCACACTTGGCCAGGCCAAGACAGAAGATGCTGCCACCCGCTGTCCAGGGCAGCCCTGACATGGCTTCTGAGCAGCCCGCCAGACAGTCACACCTATTTATAACAGAGAAGCTAAATTTACTGTACTATGAACACGAAGTCTTTTGTACAGGGTTTTAAGATACACTCTCAAGAAATTACATATTGAAATATAATTTAATAAAAATCATGCATTGTTATTTTTTTGGATTTTTTCTATTTCTGTTAGGGGATAGAAATATAAAAATGTATAAGCTAAATATATATAAAATATATATTTCTATAAAAACTACAAGTTCGTTTCAGGGGCATTACAAAATACTACTACAAAATGAGAGTAACAGGCCCTATTTTACAAACGAGGAAACCAATTCCAAGAAATACTTAAAAATGGTAACTTACAGACCCCAAACTAAGTAAAAATCGACTCTAATTCCAAGAGAGTACAAAATCTAAGACAGAGGTATCAGAGCTGAAAAGGACTCTATAGATGTCTCATCCTACTCCTTCACTGTACAGATAGAAAAAGTGAAATCACACCAGTATTCCTGCTCTTTCTCACCACCTCTCTACTCCCTAAAAAGCAGTTCCAAACAAAAACAAGGAAATGCTGGGTTTTAATACACAATACACAATACATCACACAGCATCTTTCATGTAGTCAAAATAGTAGTACAATAAAAAGAAAATATTCAAAGACTGCTGGGGGCTGGGCGGTCTAAGGGGACTGACTAGATGTAATGAAAAAAATCTAATAAAGGTAAAAAATTTTTAAGAAGGAAAGGTTAGAAGAGTAAAAATAATATACATATCTCAGATTGGAAAGGTATGTTGAGAATATGGCTAATTATCAAAATAATAGTAATATAATTGTGATAAAGACAAGACTTATTCTGAAATGGTACAACTTCTTTTTATTTTTCATAGTACATCATACTTCACAGTAAATCAAGTACATATAAAATATCTTTTTCAATTAATATTAATAAATCAAATAACTGAACATTTTAAAGAAAATAGATTTGACCATATACATACCTCCTCAATATAATCTGATTCTGATAAGGACTCAGATGATAAAGGTTTATCTTCAGGATACATCTTTCTCTTTTTGCCAAGTCCTTTAATGTCCTATTTAAAAAAAATACATGTATCATGACTCAAAAAGATACAGTACTATACCATGAAAATTTTGTTTCCACGTTCTAGCAACATTTACACTTTTTTAATTTGTTACCTAGTTTTAGAGAAAGGGGAAGGGAGAGAAAAAGGGGGAGAAACACTGACTGGCTGCTTCTCACACACCCCTAACCAGGGACCCGACCTGCAACCCAGGCATGTGCCCTGATTGGGAATTGAACTGATGACCTTTTGGTTTGTGGGTGGGCCCATGCCCAACCCACTGAGCCACACCAGTCAGGGCTTTATTAACAATTCTTAAAATTACCATAAAAATTATTCATTTTTTGCCCTGGCTGGTGTGGCTTGGTGGATTGAGTGTCGGCCTGTGAACCAAAGGGTCACCGGTTCAATTCCCAGTCAGGGCACATGCCTTGGTTTCAGGCCAGGTCCCCAGTACGGGGGCATTGTGAGAGGCAACCACACATTGATGTTTCTCTCCCTCTCTTTCTCCTTCCCTTCCCCTCTCTCTAAAAATAAATAAAATCTTTAAAAAATCAACGAGTTAAAAAACTGAGCAATGGAAAAAAATCTTGGTAGTTGTACTACATCAAATGGAGAGTACTTTGGAGGTGCCTGAAGTACTACACATGTAAGAATAAATACATGTTTTATATATAAATTCCAGATTTTGGGGGGTTCCCACCATACATGCTACAACTTGGATGAACCTTGAAAACATTACACTAAGTGGAAAAAAGCCAGACACAAAAGGTGACATACTGTAGAACTGCTTTTATATGATATATCCAGAATACGCAACTTCATAGAGATAGAAAGCAGATTAGAGGGTACCTGGGGATGGGCAGAAGGAAAAATGGGAACTGATTACTTAACAGGTTGTTTTCAAAGGGATGATGAAAAAGCTTTGGAACTAGAGCAAGGTGGTTGTTGTCAGCACTGTACATTCTTTTTTAATATATTTTACTGATTTTGCTATTACAGTTGTCCCATTTCCCCCTCTTCACTCCTCTCCACCCTGCACATCCTCCCCCACCCACATTCCCCCACTTTAGTTCATGTCCATGTGACATAAGTTCTTTAGCTTCTACATTTCCCATACTATTCTTGCCCTCCCCCTGTCTATTTTCTACCTACCTTCTATGCTACTTATTCTCCATACCTTTTCCCCCTCTCTGCTCCTCCCACTCCCCTGTTGCTAACCCTCCATGTGATCTTCACTTCTGTGGTTCTGTTCCTGTTCTAGTTGTTTGCTTAGTTTTTGTTTTAGGTGTGGTTGTTAATAATTGTGAATTTGCTGTCATTTTACTATCCATGTTATTTATCTTCTTTTTCTTAGGTAAGTCCCTTTAACATTTCATATAATAAAGGCTGGGTGATGATGAACTCCTTTAACCTGACCTTATCTGAGAAGCAATTTATCTGCCCTTCCATTCTAAATGACAGCTTTGCTGGACAGAGTAATCTTGGATGTAGGTCCTTGCCTTTCATGACTTGGAATACTTCTTTCCAGTCCCTTCTTGCCTGTAAGATCTCTTTTGAGAAATCAGCTGACAGGCTGATGGGAACTCCTTTGTAGGTGACTGTCTCCTTTTGTCTTGCTGCTTCTAGGATTCTCTCCTTCATTTTTATCTCTGCTAATATAATTATGATGTGCCTTGGTGTGTTCCTCCTTGGGTCCAACTTCTTTGGGACTCTGAGCTTCCTGGACTTCTTGGAAGTTTATTTCCTTTGCCAGATTGGGGACGTTCTCCTTCATTATTTGTTCAAATAACTTTTCCACTTGTTGCTCTTCCTCTTCCCCTTCTGGTACCCCTATAATTCGGATGTTGGAATGTTTAAAGATGTCCTGGAGGTTCCTAAGCCTCTCCTCATTTTTCTGAATTCTTGTTTCTTCATTCTTTTGTTTAGTTGTTTCTTCCTTCTGGTCCACACCATTGATTTGAGTGCCAGTTTTCTTGCCATCACTATTGGTTCCCTGTGCATTTTCCTTCATTTCAATTAGTGTAGTGTTCATTTTTTCATCTAATTTGTGACCAAATTCAACCAATTCTGTGAGCATCCTGATCACCAGTGTTTTGAACTGTGCATCTGATAGGTTAGCTATCTCTTCATCACTTAGTTGTATTTATTATGGAGCTTTGATCTGTTCTTCCATTTGGGCCATAGTTTTTTTTTTTTGTTTTTTTTTTTTTGTTTTGTCAAGCATCTGTTATGTATGAGGGGTGGAGCCTTAGGTGTTCACCAGGGCTGGTCATCCTGGTGGCTGGGTTGTGACGCAGTATGTGGGAGCGGGGTCCTAGAGGGAACAATGGCACTTGCGCCGCTCTGTCGGATTTCAGTCCCTTCCGCCGCTTCCCCCAAGTAAACGGGGCCCCTCTGGTGCTGATTCCTGGGTGGGTGGGCTTGTGCACGTTCTAGGACCCACGGGTCTCTCCAATGCACTCTCCTGTGAGGCTGGGAGTCTCTCCCTGAGCCTCAACCCCCACAGGTGTTTTCAATCAGTGTCCCGGGGCTTGATTTCCTGGTGCTGGGACCCTGGTTTGCATGGTCTATCCTGCTGCCCAGCCTCACCTGGTTTATCTGCTCGAGAATGTGGGACTGCGTGGTCACCCAGCCACCTTGCTTGCAGTGCCTCGCTTCACAATCACTGCCTCGCTGGGTCTTCCCGTTGCCACCCTGCACCCGGGATCTGCCAGCTGCCGCTTGTGTGCCCAAGGTCTGCCCACTGTGGTCTTGTGCCTGGGATGCCTTAGGCACCCAGTGCCACCCCTTTTTGTGCCAAGACCCCTCTCTGCCCGGCCTCCCGACTCCACCCCTCCTACTGGTTTGGATGAATGTGTATATTTTAACTCCTTGGCTGTCCGACTTCCATGCAGTTCAATTTTCTGTTAGTTCCGGTTGTTATCTTGTTTCCAAATTGTTGCTGACCTTATTTTGGTTGTGGGAGGAGGCACAGTGTGTCTGCCTACACCTCCATCTTGGCTGGAAGTCCGGATTATGTGAATTTCACCACCATTTTAAAAAATGATGTGAAAACGTAGTAAAATATAGTGACACTAGTTTGTAGTTTTCTTTTAGTAATAATTGCTTTATTTTTAATAATTAGAATAAGATTTTAAAATGTAAATCAGAGACATGGGTAGACATAAATTTAGCACTAATTATAGTTGAATCACAAGATAAAATATCTACTAACAGCAGTAAAAGTTTTTTTTTCAAAATGTATCTATGGTATATTCAATTTGAACCAGAAGACCATGTTCTTTAATTAAAAGTACTTCCTTTTAAAATAATTGGAGGAAACAAAGGAAATGTTTGATCTCCATTACCTTGGATTTTTAATCTGAGATAATCCATTAAACTACAAAAATTCAAACTTTCTGTAGAAATACTCTTTTGATCTTTTATCTTCAATAATGAATCCAATTATTTCCTTAAATCAATACAAAATGCTATAAAAGCAAATAAATAAATAAATAAATAATCTCAGCTAAAAAGGAGAATACATTATTGTTTTTTTAAAAATATTTTATTTATTTTTAGAGAGAGGAAAAGGGAGGAAGAAAGAGGGAAAGAAGTATCAGTGTATGGTTGCCTCCCACTGGAGACCTGGTCCACAACTAAGGAATGTGCCCTGACTGGGAATCGAACTGGTCACCCTTTGCTTCCCAGTCTGGTTCTCAATCTACTGAGCCACACCAGCCAGGGCACATTATTGTTTACTTCTTGAAGTAAATGAAGTATTGTATGACAGACTATCTTAAGGCAATATAAAATTATAATTACCTTTTCTTTCTCAGTTGCATCCTTTGACTTCTTTTTCTTTTTCAGACTATCCTAAACAGATATATACATGTATCAACTTTAAATATGAAAGATACAGCATAACAGTATAACAAAAATACCAAAAAGGTTATTTGCTCTATGACTGAGAAAAGTTTACTTCAATACTGGAATTTGATTTTAAAAATATAAAAGAAATGTATGTTGTGTGTGTGTGTGTATATATATATACACACACACACATATACATACACATACTTGTAAGAAATATAAGAATTTCTTACAAGTGTGCATATATATATATACACACACACATATATGTATGTATGTATGTGTGTGTGTGTGTGTGTGTGTGTATATATATATATATATATATATATATGCACACACACTTGTAAGAAAATGAGGTTACTTAGTTTATCTGGCTGTATGTCTAATCTGTGTGCACCTGAAATGATACTGTCTGTGATAACCACATGATCTATTTTAATGTGACTTTATGCCACTGCCTGTTTTTGCCTGTGGTAGTCATAAGTACTGGAGTTCAATTACCTCTGGGCCTAGACATCTACCAATGTGATTTCTCTACTCTCTTTTTAAGAATGGGAGGTAAGAATTTTTGCTTAGCTATTAAACATCCCTGCACCTTTCACATCCATAAAGTGTGGTAACAAGTATCTACTGCATAGGGTTGCCGAGAGAATTGAGTTAATATGTCAAGTACTTAGAACTGTGCATAACATGTAGTAGGCATTCAATAAATGTTAGCTATCAGAATCATTAGACTGGCTCTTCTGCTTTAAAAAACAATGAAAAAACTGAACATTTACTGACTACTTCCTAGACACCAGGCATTCTGTCAGAAGAAATCTCACTAGGGGAGTAGATATCTGCCCCAAAACAATAAAGTTGCTTTGTTCTCCTGAGACCCTAAGACATTTGTTTGTTCAACTGTGGTCCATGGACACCCCTGTGTAAGAATCACTGAGGACATGTGTTAAGAATGTAGACTCTTGAGCCTAATCACTTACTAAATCAGATTCTGAAAATGAGGCCCAAGAACCTTCACTTTTATTGTAACATGCATGTATTTCTTCTGATCACTTATGTTTGAGAGTGAATTGTGTCAGACAATTCTAGGTAGTACAGAACAGACTCAGGTATAGTAGAAAAGACACTGGACCAGCTAGTAAAAGACAGATTCAACCTCAAATTCTAATAACAGCTATATAAATTCAAGTAAGACTTTTTTCTCTGAACTATGACTTCTTTATGAAAATAGGAAACAAAAATGCCTGCCAGACTCATCATAAGGCTGTTATGGAAATGCTGAGAGAGAGAGATGCGTGGAAGTATCTGGAGAACAATTAAATGTCACATGTAAAGCATTAAGTGGCACAAAACAACATAGTGTATAAAAAACAGTATCTTATTTTTAAACAGAGAGCAATTTTAAGATGGCGAAACTAAAAGAAAAACCTCATTACATGTTTTTGCTCTCCAAAATGTTGCTAATTCAAAAATTTTTACCTTACTGTCTGACTCGGTCTCTGACATGGAGCTTTCAGAAGATTTATGTGAACGGTTCTTCTTTTTCTTTTTCCTTTTCCCTTGTTTCTTATCCTACATAAAACATTTTTAGAAACATTTGCTTTCTTTTTAAAAAATTAATCACTACATTTTTAAAATATATCTTTATCAATAAAGTTAACGAAAGAACCAGCTCATAAACATGATTCACTTCATATTTTAAATGTAACATACCACTTTTCTGGTTTATTTAAAGAAAAAAAGCCATGTGATTTGAGTCACACAACATTCTTAGCATCTAGTCAAAGTGAATTTTAGATTATTCAAATCCAATTCTTCTGATATTTTAAAAATGAACATGACAAATTCTGAAATCTAAAAAATATATACACCAATACTTAACTATCTAGGTGTTTATTTGTGTCAGTGCTCTCAGTTATAGAAAACTAATAAAAACCTAGAAGTAAACATTTTTAACTGGTATTTCATAAAGAAATTACACATATTTCATGAGTCATTATAGGCAAACCTTACCTCATCTTCAGAATCTGAAGAACTGCTGGAAGAATCAGAGCTTGATGAAGAAGAGGATGAATACTTGACCAAGCACAAAACAATTAAAGCTTGTGAGATGCAGGAATTTTTTTTCTTTTACTAGGTATCTCAAATACTTAACAAAATCAAGCTAGTATCCTGAAACAAGTGCCATCTTCGCAAAACTTAAGTATTAAAAGTCAACTGTCACATTTCCTCACCACCCCCGCCTAAAATAAAAGGAAAAACAAAAGGCTCAACGAAGTAATGGCAATTCCCTCTCTAACAGCAATGCGGCAGTACCAGGTTGTAAAAGCAGGCTGGCACCCATCTCTTATGTCAGCAATAGAACGTAAGCACCCAGTAGCTACTAAAGGACCTCCAGGCTCTCTGACCCATCTAGGGTTAGCATACAAGCCATACAAATGATTCTTACTTTTTTGGTAGGCTCTTAATTTTAATATTTAGAAAAATGGAAAAGTTTTGCTCACCCTACCAGATTTCTTCTTTTCTTTTTTCTTTCTCTAAAAGCAAACAAACAGAAACAGGTACAAATCTAAGAAAGCTGATGTGAAATTTGAAATGTATACTAATAATAGCATAAAGCAGTATTATGAAAGCCAACTGTGAGATTCAGGAGAGTAATAAAGTACAAATAGTATTACCTGTCTTTTTTTAGATGAGCTTTCACTTCCACTTAATAATTTCTCCCTGTGTTTTTCTAATTCTTTCTTCCAGTTCTGCAAAAGGGTTATAAACACCATCAGAGGACATCTATCCCCTTCTAATACACCTAATATACAAGTGTAAGAGAGCCACTGTTTCCTTTCCTCCAGCCTCTCACCCATCCCAGCCTCTAAATACAGAAGTTATTCCAAGTGCCAGAATCCTTTCCTCTCCACAAAGAGAACCTCTACCAGCTCTTCTCAGGATAATAAGGGATGGGAATTCTCCACTGTATATCCTGTACATTGAGAGTAGGTATTATCATCAAAACTACAATGAAAATTTAGAACCGCCATCACTTAGACCCATTGGAAATTGAGTTCATTCAACTCCAACAAGTTTATTCAAGTCTGACAACTACAGAATTAAAGAAACCACATCCATCCAGACTGGTAGGAGGGATGGAGAGGCAGAATGGGCCAGTCCCACACACACGTGTGATGGGTAAAAATTTGAGAGAGGTATCTCGGGAGCGAGGAGTCTTGGCCCCACAGCAGGCCCCCCCATCCCAGGGTTCCAGTGCCAGGAAAATAAGTCCCCATAATTTCCAGCTGCAAAAACCAGTGGGGACTGAGTCAATGGAAGGAACTTCTGGAGTCCCAAGCAGTTCTCCTTAAAGAAGTCACACATGAACTTACTCAGACTCATACCTCTGAGCTCCAGCACTGAGCTTCAGACCACCAGTGGCATACAGGGAGAAAGTGAAGTGTCTGGCATCAAGGCAAGAGCTGGGTGACGGCTTTCTCCCAGACAGAAAGTCAGGCAGAGGCCATTGTCCCTTCTCTGAACTGTCCCCACACAGAGCCGGCAGGCTAGTGCCATATCTGACTCCATCAACTTGGCTAACACTGTTTGTCCAGCCCTGGAGACCCCCTAAGACTCTATCCCACCCAATTTACAGGTCGATCCAAGATATGAATGACTGGTCTTGGCTCATGCTTCACAACTTTCTAAATCCTATCAAACAAGCAACAGTTGGCCTCACTAAACTCCCAGCCCCCATACTTCTTGCTAAGGGGTCCTCAGTCTGGCACTAGCAGCAGCCAGCCTAGATTCATAGCTTGGCTTCACCTGGAATCTTCAGGTCCAACACAAGAAGCAGTCATCTCAGATTGCTTAATAGCTCATGCAGGGTGGCCCTGGGCAGAACACAGGTGTGGGCTTCCCTTGCCCTGCACCACCCAGGAAACTCCAAAGCCTGTGTACCCCGTGGGCAACTACAGACCATGTCAGACTACCATGACCCTACCCCTGCACAGCTGATCCTCCACGGAGGGCGGAGGCTGGTGGTAAGTTCTCACAGCCAGTCCTTGTAACTGACTGGCCTGGATAAATCTCTCCCATTGACCTGCCAACAGCAATTAAAGCTCAACTACAAGAGGAGGGTGTACTCAGCCCACACAAAGGGCGCCCTCAAGTACCGAGCTTGGATGATAGGTGAGGCTGTGCCAGTGGACCCTACAGGACACCTACTACATTAGGCCACACTATCAAGACAGGGAGCCATAGCAGCTCTATCTAATATATAGAAACAGCCACAGGGAGGCTGCCAAAATGAAGAGACAAACATGGCCCACATGAAAAAATAGATCAGAACTCCAGAAAAAGAACTAAACAAAACGGAGACAGGCAATCTATCAGATACAGAGTTCAAAACACTAGTTATAAGGATGCTCAAGGAACTTAGTGAGGACCTCAACAGCATAAAAAAGATTTAATTAGAAACAAAAGATAAGCTAACTGAAATAAAGAACAATTTACAGGCATACAACAGAAGAATGGATGAAGCTGAGAAACAAATCAATGATTTAGAACATAAGGAAACAAAAAACAACCAATCAGAACAACAAGAAGAAAAAAGAATCCACCAAAATGAGGATAGTGTAAGCAGCTTCTGGAACAACTTCAAATGTTCCAACATTTGTATCATAGGGGTGCCAGAAGGAGATGAGGAAGAGCAAAATATTGGAAATTTATTTGAAAAAATCAATGAAAGAAAACTTCCCTAATTTGGTGAAGGGAATAGACATGCAAGTCCAGGAAGCACAGACACTCCCAAACAGGATGGACGCAAAGAGGCCCACTCCAAGATACATCATAAATTATAATGCCAAAGGTTAAAGATAAAAGAGAATCTTAAAAGCAGCAAGAAAAAAGCAGTTAGTTACCTATAGGGGAAATCCCATAGACTGTCAGCTGATTTCTCAAAACAGACTGCAGGCCTGAAGGGATTGCCAAGAAATATTCAAGGTCGTGAAAAGCAGGGACCTACAGCCAAGACTGCTCTGTCCAGCAAAGATATCATTTAGAATCAAAGGGCAGATAAAGAGCTTCCCAGACAAGGAAAAACTAAAGGAGTTCATCACCACCAAACCATTATTATATGAAATGTTAAAAGGACTTATTTAAGAAACAGAAGATCAAAACTATTAATAATAAAATCACAAAAAATACATTATCAACAATTGAATCTAAAAAAACCAAGTAAGTAAACAAGAACACAGACAGAATCATGGATATGGAGAGCATTTTGATGGCTGCCAGAAGGGAGGAGTGTGTGGGGGAATATGTGAGGAGGTGAGGGGATTAAGAAGTACAAATAGGTAGTTACAGAACTGCCATGGGGATATAAAGTACAGTACAGGAAATGGAGTAGCCAAAGAACTTACACGTATGACCCACAGACACAAACAATGGTGAGGGGATTGCCTGAGGTAGTGCAGAGTGCTGGGTAGAGGGGAGCAAAGGGGGAAAGCTGGGACAACTGTAATAGCATAATCAATAAAATATAATTTTTTAAAAGATTTTATTTATTTTTAGAGAGGGGAAGGGAGAGAAAAAGTGAGGGAGAGAAACATCAATGTGTGGTTGCCTCTGGAGAGTCCCCTACTGAGGACCTGGCCTACACCCCAGGTGTGTGCCCTGTCTGGGAATTGAACCTGTGGCCCTATGGTTCACAGGCTGGTGTTCAATCCATTGAGCCACAGTAGCCAGGGCCAAAATACAATTTTTGTAAAAAGAGAGTAGGTATAGTGTCCCAGGTTCGATTCCCAGTCAGGGTACATTCCTGGGTTGCAGGCCATGGCCCCCAGCAACCGCACATTGATCTCTCTCTCTCTCTCTCTCTCTCTCTCTCTCTCCCCCTTCCCTCTCTAAAAAAAAAATAAATAAAATCTTAAAAAAAAAAAGAGAGAGTAGGTATTATTACTGAGGCTGAGGAATTTTTTCTAACAAAGATGGTTAGATTCCTCTTCCAAACAGTGTAAGTTAAATTAATCTATATTGTGGCTGAAATATTACATATATGTTCATAATCAAAAACAAGCAAATATCACCATGGACATCTCAGGGTAAAATGGCGGCATGGTGATGAGGGAGAGAAGGTAAAGAACCTAACATTTAGAAAACTTCCAGATGATTCAAATTATTGTGAGATGATTTTTCTCTATTAAAAAAATCATATATTTACATACAAACCTGTACTCAATAAAACAAAAACACCTATAATATATGGAGCCCCTTCAACCTGAAAAGCTAGACTCAAACCTTGGTTTACTAAACAGTTATTTAATTCTTCTTATAATAAATATTAGTCTATATTTTCAAAAAGGTACTATTTACAAACCTCATTCATTTTTTCTTCAAATTCAGCCAACGCCTTGGAGCCTTTCTTTTTCTTTTCCAGTTGTTCTTTCACTTCTTCCCTTAAAAAGTAAAATGTAAAAAATATGTTTTCAAGCAATTCAAATTAGAGATGGATGCTTACAAAAAATACAATAAAATTTCATAAACAAACTGTTCTCAATATTTTAGTAAACCTCCATTCCAGTGTTGATGTATTTCAAATTTGTGTCTGTATCTTTGTGAATCAATTATCACAGTAAAGCCTACCAGATAACACCAATCACTCCTTTTCTACACGTGGATTATAAAAGGTAATACAGGAAACATTTGAGCACTTATATGCTATATGCACTGTTTTAAATACATCTTCCTTTAACCCTCACCACAATCCTTTGAGAAAAAGTATTATTATTTTATAGATAAAAGCTACAATTTGGGGAAAGTAAGAAATCTGCCTAATATCACAAAGGTTTAGTAACAAAAGTGTATTTGCTTGAACTACTGTATTCTATTACTAAATTACCCATCTTGTAATGTATCTCACCCATGTGCAAAAAGAGAACACAGCACACTTGACTGCTTATTCTTAGGAAGGACTACCTACAAGATTAGCCCTGGCTGTTTCAGGGAACTTGGAGTTTAGGAGAGTCTTTACCAATCTCTGATAAGAGTGGTTCACTGTGCCTGTTGATACAAACATATTTTAGGTCGAACATTTACATTCCTTCTGAGAGTCTGGAATTTTGGCACCTAATAGGCAGAGGCTGGTCAGTACCAAGTGAAAACCCTGGGCACAGACTCTCTATGAATTCCCCTGGTTGGCAACATCTTACATATGTTATCACAACTCATGCTAAGGGAATTAAATGTGTCCTGTGTGACTTCACAGGAGAGGAGGCCTTGGAAGCCTGCACCCAGTCTCCCTGAGACTTCATCCATGCACATTTTCCCTCTGTTGACTGTGGCTGGTGTCCTGTCACCGTAATAAATCTCACTCTTGAGTACAACTATCTATGAGACCTAGCAAGTTACTTAACCTGAGAGTTTTCTTGAGGACCGCTGACACACATGTAATATACTTACTTGAGCTCATCCCCTTTAAAGTTCATTCCTTCTCCTCAATTTTAAAGACAAAATATACTTTGTTTTGGAATAACTTATTTTATGGTATTATGCTGCAATAGTTAACAACAGCACTCATGAATGGTGTCAGAGGTGGACATGCTTACTTCCTATTTAAGTCAAAGGACTGTGTTATATGTAAGCACAACTTTCAACTGGAGTTGTCCAGCTTTCCGAGGCACTTAGAAGGAGTCTGAAACTCAACTCTGAAGCTTGTTATACGTTACGTTGGAGCATGATATTTAATAGTAAGAAAGAGAGTAAGGTCAGTGCTATGACAGCACCACTCAACAACGGCCAAAAACATCAATTTAAAGCAAAAATCTAACAATAGGAAATTCTAACATTGAAAGCCAGCAGATAAAGCAAGATACAAGACCTAACATTATCCTTCCTAACACCTAGTTACACCTCAACAAAGGATGTGATTACTCAAATCTACCCTTTTAAAATAGAACACTGCAAGGCTAAGTTCATTTTTAGGGGATAAAGAAGAGATTGGTATGAAAGGATATCTGGTAGTGTGTTAGCTATCTTGGGTGTTGGGTTCTCAAATGTTTGCTTTACACCCATGCATGTGTTTCATGCATTCAAAAAAAGCACCTATCAAATATTACTTCAAAAATTACATATCTAGCATATGCCTGGCAATCAATAAAAGTTGCAATAGTAACCTTTTAAATATTTCTAAAAACTTTATAAATAGGTAAATTCTTTCACAAATACCAGGTAGGCCTTGGTCGATTCAGATAATCTTGGATCGTTGGCCCTGAAGACTGGACTGGACCCCTTGATCTGGCCATTGCTATTGGGTTCATATACGCCTTTAGGAAAGAACAGAAATGTACTCCATTAAAATAACCACTAGAAAGGCAAAAGCTCACTTACTTATCAAACAATTTTAATTAAGTAAGTGCATATTGTCTCCACATAAGCATGAACAATCTGGCTAACCAAATTTCCATTAGAAAAAAATAAATTTAATGTTCATTTAAAAAAAAGATTTTTATTCATTTATTTATTTTAGACAGAGGGGAAGGAAGGGAGAGAGGGAAACATCAGTGTGTGGTTGCCTCTCGTGTGCCCCCTATTGGGGACCTGACCTAGTTCACAACCCAGCCACGTGCCCTGACTGGGAATCACACCGGTGACCCTTTGGTTTTCAGGCTGGCGCTCAATCCACTGAGCCATACCAGCCAGGGTTCATTACTAAGCCTCACAAGTCTGGAAGATGAGTAATATCATGCTTTCATGAAATATGTGCTTTTACAAGAGATTTGATGAAAATAATAATGACACCTTTTTCTTACTACAAGAGGGCTTTATATTGCCATCTAAATGCCAATAACCCTGTGAGTATGATGACACTGCTCTCCAGCAAATGAAACTCAGTTCCAAAGAAGGTTAAGTGGATCTAACTCCAAATCCATTGCTTATTCTACTATATATTCTATCTCAGGAAGTACTGTGCCATATGAAATACAATTTTATTCATTAACTGTTAACATCAAAATTACATTATGTACAGGAAGCAAAGGAAAAAAAATAGGATGTCTTCAAAACTGATGCACACATCAATGTGCACTGAAGTGAAAACACTATGCACACAATGGGAGGAATATTAACATATATCTGATAAGAGACTAATATCCCAAATGAATAAAGAAATCTTACAACTCAATAACAAAAAACCCAAACAATTCAATTCAAAAACACACAAAAGACTTGAACAGACATTTCTCCAAAGAAGATACACAAATGTCCAAGAAACACATGAAAAGATGTTCAACATCACTAGTCATTAGGGAAATATAAATCAAAACTACAGTATGTTACTTCACACCCATTAGGGTGGCTATTATCAAAAAAGCAGAAAATGACAAGCATTGTCAAGGATATATAGAAAAATGGAACCCTTTCAAATTGCTGGTGGGAATATAAAATGGCACAGCTGTTGTGGAAAAGTTTGGTGGTTCCTCAGAAATTAAACACAGAATTACCACACGGCCCAGAAACTTCACCTCTAAATGGAACTGAAAAAGAATTGAAAGGGGCACAAACATACTTGTAAACCATATGCATGGCAGCATTATTCACAATAGCCAAAAGGCAGAAACAACTCAAATGTCCATCTACAGAGGAATGGATAAATAACATGTGGTATATACGAGAGTACATACAATGGGATATTATCCAGCCTTACATAGGAATGTAATTGCTATACACTACAGCACAGATAAACCCTAACAACATGCTAAGTGAAATGAGGCAGACACAAAAGGACAAATTATTGCATGATTCCACTCATATGAAATACCTAGAATAAGAAAAATCAGAGAGCCCTGGCTGGTGTAGCTCAGTGGATTGAGCGCGGGCTGGGAACCAAAGTGTCCCAGGTTCGATTCCCAGCCAGGGTACATTCCTGGGTTGCAGGCCATAACCCCCAGCAACCACACATTGATGTTTTTCTCTCTCTTTCTCTCTCTCTCCCTCCCTCCCTCCCTTCCCTCCCTAAAAATAAATAAATAAAATCTTAAAAAAAAAAAGAAAAATCAGAGAGACAGAAAGTAAATAGACATTACCATGAATTGGGGCAGTGAGGTGATTAGGAGTTATTGTTTAAAAAGTACAAGGCTTCTTGTTTGGGATGATGAAAAAGTTCTGAAAATAGCCCTGGCTGGGTGGCTCAATTGGTTGGAGTGTCACCCCTGCCCACTAAAAGGATGTGGTCAGATTCCCAGTCAAGGCACACGTCTAGCTTGAGGGTTTGATCCCCAGTTGTGGCGCGTACAGGAGGCAACAGATCAATGTTTCTCTCTCTCTCCCGTCCTCTCTCTCTAAAATCAATAAACATATCCTTGGGTGAGGATGAAAAAAAAATTCTGGAAATGGATATTGGTGATAGGTGTACAACACTGTGAAAGTACTTAGTGCTGTTGAACTATACACCTAAAAATGTTGAAAACAGTGAACTTTATTTTATTTGTATTTTAGATCAATAAAAAATCTACAAAAAAAATAAATTATGCTCTGTATATTGCACTCACTATTGCAGAACACATTTTTAGACACATTTTTCACAGACATTGAGATAATATAAGGCAAGTTTGCTAATTACACTGTTTAGCAAAGAGATGTTTTATTAAAATTGACTTTGTTCCAGATATAAAACCTGTTATTAATTTGGTCTCAACCTCTTGGTTCTTATATTCAGTTTTCCAAATTTAATTCAAGTCAACAAAACTCTTCTATTTTTAAATAAAAAGAATTGTGGTTGAAAATGACTATTTTCAAGGTTGATTTTAAGGCCTTAAGCCTAAGACTTACCATCCCAAAAGAAGCTAAAGGAGAAAACATATTTGTTGCATTTACTTCACAAAATTTGTAAAAATGAGTAACATTTTCCACCTTCATAACAAATATTAGTTATGTATTTCTAGGTTTCTCTGCCAGAGTAAACAGCATAAAACCACTATAAACAACACACTAGGAACTGTTTTCATTCGACTGGACTCCACCTGATTACTTGGATGAAAAAGTTAAGCCTTCAACATAACGTCCTTATGGGCAGAAATGAACACTCCTATTGTCAGAGATGTTACAGAGTAAGGGCTAAATGTGGATTATCAAATATAACATTAAAGACAATGACATAATATTTTTGATATCAACTGTTATGCCCTCAAATATTTCATTCAACTGCCTTTGCTGAGAATTTCAGTTTGTGTGGAAATATGACAACCGACAGGCCTCAGCAGAGGAACTGACGGCCCTGCTAATGATAATGACAACCCTAACCAGAAGCAAGGACAAGGTGCAAGCTAAGATCTTCATTTTAAAACAGGAGTGCCATGTCATAATTTTAGCAGTACTCAATGGTAAAATATTTTGAGTTTAAAATTGTAAAAACTGTTTAGTTCCAAAGAATGCAAACATATATACAAGGATGTTCAAAACTAAATTATTAAAATAGGGAGAAATGAAAATACCAAACTAGCCACCAAAATGAGATTCACTAAGTATATTAAAGTATACCCCAAAATAAAATATAATGTAGCCATTAAAAAGAATGTGATAGATCTATAGTAACTGATATAGAAAGATGTCTAACATTTCTCAAGTGAAAAGCAAAAAAAAGCAAGTTGCCCAAAAATAAGACACCATATTAATAAACACACTGTATTTTTTGGACCATAAGATGCATCTAGGTTTTAGAGGAGGAAAATAGGAAAAAAAAATTGAAGCAAAAAATGTGGTAAAATATTTAATAACATAAATATTTCACCAATGTAAATGTAAACATAACTCAACAGCAGCATTAACAACCATTATCCCCCCCCAAATTGGGGTGCGTGTGTCTTATAGTCTGAAAAATACCGTAGCTATCAAAATTTTTTTTGCCTTTCTAGTGTTTTTTTAAAATGTATTTTATTGATTATGCTATTACAGTGTCCCAGTTTCCCCCCTTTATTCCCCTCTACCCTGTACACACCCTACCATCCACATTCCCCCCCTTTAGTTCATGTCCATGGGTCGTACACATAAATTCTTTGGCTTCTACATTTCCTATACTGTTCTTATCCTCCCCCTATTTTCTACCTACCATTTATACTACTTGTTCTCTGTACCTTTTACCCCTCTCTCCTCTTCCTACTCCCCCATCCATAACCCTCCATATGATCTCCACTTCTGTGGTTCTGTTCCTGCTCTAGTTGTTTGATTAGTTTTGGGGGTTTTTTTTTCCAGGTTTGGTTGTTAATAGCTGTGAGTTTGCTGTCATTTTACTGTTCATATTCTTGATCTTTTTCTCAGATAAGTCCCTTTAACATTTCATATAATAAAGGCTGGGTGATGATGAACTCCTTTAACCTGACCTTATCTGAGAAGCACTTTATCTGCCCTTCCATTCTAAATGAAAGCTTTGCTGGATAGAGCAATCTTGGATGTAGGTCCTTGCCTTTCATGACTTGGAATACTTCTTTCCAGCCCCTTCTTGCCTGCAAGATTTCTTTTGAGAAATCAGCTGACAGTCTGATGGGGACTCTTTTGTAGGTGACTGTCTCCTTTTGTCTTGCTGCTTCTAGGATTCTCTCCTTATCTTTAATGTTGGCTAATGTAATTATGATGTGCCTTGGTGTGTTCCTCCTTGGGTCCAACTTCTTTGGGACTCTCTGAGCTTCCTGGACTTCCTGGAAATCTATTTCCTTTGCCCAATTGGGGAAATTCTCTTTAATTATTTGTTCAAGTAAGTTTTCAAATTCTTGGTCTTCCTCTTCTCCTTCTGGCATCCCTATAATTCGGATGTTGGAACATTTAAAGATGTCCTGGAGGTTCCTAAGCCTCTCCTCATTTGTTTGAATTCTTGTTTCTTCATTCTGTTCTGGTTGAATGTTCATCTCTTCTTTCTGCTCCAAACCGTTGATTTGAGTCCTGGTTTCCTTCCCGTCACTGTTGGTTCCCTGTAGATTTTTCTTTATTTCACATCATGCAACCTTCATTGCTGCCTGGGTCTTTTACCCAGTGAGTTTCTGGAGCATCCTGATAACCAGGGTTTTGAATTCTGAATCTGATAGGTTGGCTATCTCTTTCTTGCTTAGTTGCATTTTGGTGGAGCTTTGATCTGTTCTTTCATTTGGGTCTTTTTTTCCCCTTTACGAGCCTGTTAGGTAGTGAGGGGCGGAGCCTTAGGTGTTCACCAGGGCAGGGCAACCCACGGCGCTGGGTTGTGAAGTTGTATGTGGGGAGGGGTCTGAGAAGAAACAATGGTGCTTGCTCTGCTCTCTGCTGGTTTTCAGTCACTTCCCCAGCTACCCACAATCAAAATGGGTCCTTCTGGTGCTGATTCCCATGTGAGTGGGCTTGTGTGTGTTCTAGGACCCTGTGGGTCTCTCCAATGAACTCTCCTGTGAGGCTGGGAGTTTCTCCTGCTGCCTCAACCCCCACAGGTATTTTCAGTCAGAGGCTTTGAGACTTTTTTTCTCAGTGCTGGAACCCTGGGTTGTGCGGTGTGTTTTGCTCCCCAGTTATTCCTCCCAGTTTATCTGCACATGAATGTGGGACTACCAGCCACTTCCTTGCCTGCCCCAGTCCTTCAGCCGCTGCCTGGCTGCCTGGCCACGAGTCTTCTCTGCAGGAGGGTAAGACCAGTAGGAGGGGCTGCCCATCTCCACCTCTCCTACCGGTCTGGTGAATGTTCCTTCTTTAACTCTTTGGTTGTCAGACTTCCATATGGTTTGGTTTTCTGTCAGTTGTGGTTGTTTTTGTTTTTAAATTTGTTGCTGTCCTTCTTTTGGCTGTGCAAGGAGGCACAGTGTGTGTGCCTACACCTCCATCTTGGCTGGAAGTCTGAACTCCTTTTCAGCTATCAAATTTTTAAAACGTACACACATATGAACCAGAATGTAAAGGGAGATACCCACTTTCCACTTTTCATCACTTCATACACTGGAGATTTTTTTAAATAACTCATTACCCTTACAAAAGAAAAACAAAACTAAACAATCTGCACACAAACATTATCATAATATTAGTGTAAACAAATGGGAACAATTCAATCATAATATTGCTACTGCAATTCAGAAAGCTAAATTGTCTTCAAGTAAAAATTCACAAATAATGCAATGGTAATTGGTTATTCTAAAATTAATGAATTGTAACACAACATTTACCATGTTTTAGTCTTCAATTTACCTTAAAAGTACATTAGCATTTTTATGTCTTAATATCTACTGTGAAAATGGTTTCCCAAAGTACATACCAACTTACTTTGCTGTTTATTTTTCAGATGAAAATAAAACAGTAGCATAGTATATTTATATGCTAGGACTATTACTTATAAACAATTTATAGGTAAATTACATCAGATTATCATTGAGTACTCAATAGACTTAACTTTCAAGCTTCTGAGCATAAACACTACCCTCAGTGTGCTTAAGTATACTCCAATATCTCCATTACTTATTTGTTATTTATTAGTGCATCTAAAATGCGAGGCTCCTTGCACACCACCTGATAGTTTGTCCTCGTAATTGTTAAGCAACAATGCTTTTACTATGCACAACAGAAAGGTAAAAAAAAAAGGAACTATCTAACAAAGGTAAAGCGTTTTCACTTATTAGCATCAGTGTGAAAAACAATACATTAAGGGAGTGGTTAGGCATCAGTTAAAGAAACTGCAATTTCTTGAAACCATCTATCACTTAATCACTTCAAATATTGTCAAATGCTCCTATTCATATATAGCTAGAATTGTCTGTGGCTTCAAACTGCTGCATGAGTTTGCATAACAGAAAATCTGTTTTTGAACCTCAGGGTAGCAAACTGGGCTCAAAGGAATGTAAGTGGGCAGGGTGAAAAGAACAAAGCAGTAAAACTGCTAAGGACAAAATGTGCAGAACTTCATTTGTTACATTGATTACCTATTTTTATCCAGACTCTAGTTTACATCTATTTAGAAAGCACAAAGTAACAGAAAAAAACACAAAGGAAACTTTTGGAAAACAATGGGCACAAAGGGTGACCATCATGAACTTAAGGGCCCTTGACAAATCTTGAGATTTAAAATGTCAAATTAAAAACAAACAAACAAATAATCCTATTCAAGAATGCTCAATACCAAAGTGAACCCTAATGAAACCACTGACTTCGGGTGAAAAGGGTATGTCAATGCGGGCCCACCAATTGTAACAGATGTCCCGCTCTACAGCAGGATGCTAATAATGGGGAGGCTGTGTATGTGTGGGGGCAGGGAGTACCTGGGAACTCTACTTTTTGCTCATTCTGGCTGTGTACTTAAAACTGCTCTAAAATAGTCTATTTAAAAGAAAAAAAAACATTTCTGAAACTTAATGGTTTTTTAAAAAATTATCATCTTTAAAACTGTAATTTTATCAATGTAAGAACAAAATGCTAATATTTGCATTTTGTTATTTACAATGAAGAATTATGAGGTATTGAACTAAGTGCAGATAACCCAAATCTGGGCCCCAGTTTTAACCATTCCATCTCCTCACCTGTACAGTAGGGAAACTGCATTTGACAACCTGTATCTTCTACCTCTTAATTTCATGTTTTCATTCCCACAACCTTTTTAGTACAAACAAAACGTCACCAGAACACTGTGCCAAGACACCATACCGAATAGTAAATAGAGCCCTGGGTACCAAAATGCTCTGGGGCAAAAGAAGCTTGCTTTAAAAGGTTTTTGAATGCTTGAAGGGGATCAATACTTTTCCCCAATGAAACAAAATATCTTAGGCCTCTGTATGAAATTGCACCCAAGGCCTGGTAATATCTAAACATTTAAGGCCCAATCACATTAAAGAGCCAAAACCCTCTGAACACTTCAAACCTAAGAATGTCCCAACAGAATACTCTTTCAACTCTGTGAAAATCAGGATACCACAACAAGCTCTGACGTGCAGCCAGGGAAGCAGGAGAAAAGAATATTCCTTAATCTTACAATCAATGTTCATTACAGTTGTTCCTAGACAGCCTTGATTTATGAAGACTACACAAAATTAAAACAAATGTTTTGAAGATAGACAATGTCATCATTTCATAAAAGCAAAGATCATTTAGCACTCTCCCACCCCCCAAAATGCACAAAGGAAATAATAGCTAAGAAAAAGCTAGTTCAATTGCATTTATTTTTCATTTTGCTGCTCAGTGGTCAAAATTCACAGGCAAGCCCACGAGCTGTGAGGCTGCCACCTAAGTTTAAGTTTATGGCACATCCAATCTGATGTATAACCTGGGTTTTCCAAACCAACCAACCGAGTAGCCATCTAGAATACCTTCTTCTCATCTCCATTTGTCAAAAGTACCTTCTTTTTCGAACGCCCTCAGAACCACAAATCTCTATCAGGTACCATTTCTTACTCCATTATTTATGTATTTCCTTTATCTCATTTACTAGAATAGTAACAACTTTCATGCCAAGCACTGGCCCAGACATCTTTCTGTGGTCTCAACTAGGTTGAGGATAACACTGATCTTTTACAGAAGAAACTGACGCTCGGGAAAAAGCAACTTGTCCTAAGTCATGCAACTCCCGAGGGACCAAAACTGACATTCCAAATAGTCAATACTCCATGTTGACTCCAAAGTCAACTATTTTCACGCCATTCATTCCTTCGCGGGGTCTTCTAACTGCCAGGCAGTGCTGGGTGCTGCAGACAACAGGCCAAATACTTCCATCCCGGTTCTCAAACGGGAGTGCGTCTGTGTTTGATCTGTGGGCGCCACAGGCCCCCGGGATCAGGGGCCCCGTTGGACGCCTCCACCCCTAGTTGCGCACGAGAGGGGAGCAGAGGTAGGCTGCGAGACCCCGAGAAGGGGGCGAGTCCCAGTGCCTCCACGGGCCTCAGACTTTCGACTAACATATTGGAGAGGTCAGGTCTCCCTGAGCTCTTGCAGTTCTTTAATTAAAAAAAAAAAAAGGCACGGCTAACCCTAGAACGGCAATGGAGAGCCTGGAGCTCCCAAAAGGTGCGGCGAGGTTGCGGGTAATCGAAGAAAGAGGGGGACAAGAACGAGCGCAGAGTGTGGGGCCCATCCAAAGGCGCCAACAGAGCGCGCAGCACACGCACGTCTGGAACAGGCGTGGGGCCAGGGGGACTGCTGGGGCTCGAGGCTCCTGGTCCCTCAGGCCAGCAACCGACCCTCAGGCCCGGTCGGGAAGAGAGACGGGTCTCGCTCTTTTGCTGCGGGCCCCAGGTCGTCCCATTGTTTTCTCGCCCCAAGTACTCACCACCCGGTTGTCTCTCTTCCCCATGATGCTGGACTGCGCAAACCGTCACACACCGAGGAAGATCAGGCCACCGGAGGGGCCGAAGCAGGTCAGCACAGGTCCTTCCGTCGACTCCTCCACCCTGCTCAGAGAGCGGCGCTGCGCGGACGGGGCGGCTGTGTCTCGGCACAGCGCCACCTATCGCCGTGGAGGAGAGGCCGGGGAGGCCGGCGCCGGCGATCACGCGGTTCCCAGGAGTCGCGCGGGCGACTCCAGTTCCCTACCACCTACCAGAGGCAGGCGAGCACTGAGCTTCTGTACACGGGCCCTCATTACGGCAGCTCACCTCCGTTTAGCTCTCTTCCATTTCAGATGCACTGAAATACGCATTCTTGGAGATTCAAAAATTATTCCAAGGCTTATTGTGTGCTTTGGCAAAGCGCAAGTGCTGGGGATAAAGTGGTGAGGACAGACGTGGTCCTTCGTGGAGTCCATCAGGTGGTGAGGGAGAAGACAGCCGTGTCGTATATGTTGCTAACAAAATCGCCCTTTAAGTTCAGTTCCATTAATCCATCACCCACACATTCATTTCACACTGATTTTGAACTTTGCAATTCACTAATTAGATGATGGGAAGCTGGACCCCGGGCAAGACAGAAAGATTATTAAGACACAATCCCTGCCTTCAAGGGGTCTGTATATAACCTGGTAGGGAAGATACGACTTCACAGGGCCAACTTTACTGCGTGGCCGGTAACACTGTCAGTACAGAGCGGAAACTGCAAGGGAGGGGATAGGGGCTCCACAGTACTTATAGACCTGGGTAAAGGTGAGCCTTCTGTGCCCATCTCAGCAGTGTCATTAGAAAGTAACTGACAGTTAATACGGACATTTTCTGGACTCTTGGAAAATGGCAAAATGGGTTTATACTCATTACATACAAGAAAAATCCTTAAAATCGTCTTTCCTGGTTTGTCTCCCTCCCTCCCTTTCTCATGCTGCATTGCACATGAGATGCTCCCAACTCCCATTTTCTCTTTCAATATTTTCCCAAACTCTCTCAAATGCAGCTGTTAGTTGTTCTACTCCCCACTAAGCATTCATTCTCCTGAGTAACCCACTTTGCTTTTAAATGTTAATTAGACCTTCCCAGTCCTTCGTTTCTCCTCTTCCATAACTTGAGCTGGGGAGCTCTCTGACCAGACAGGCTTCTCTGTATGCACAAGAAGAGAAGAATCTGTGACAAGTTTTTTTTTTCATGGCTCAGTTACAGTTTTCTTTTTAATATTCCAGGCACTTTACAAATATTATTTCTAACACTTCAACATGAGCTTGATAATACCTGTGGGAGAATATAGTGTTTTCCCTCTTGTTCACCTTTCACTTCCTTTGGCTGATTATACAGAAATTTTAAAAAATATACTAATGCTATAAATCTACAAAAGGGTTTGTGTTTTCTGTAGATGTCTCCCCCCTCTGGCAATGTACATGTCCTCCCAGATGGAGCAGGGATCCCAGGTGAGGACAAAGAAATAGGAAAATGACTGAGGAACATGTAGAAACAATGAAGAATGCTAAAGCCATTGGGAGCTTATCTGAGTGGACTTCATAAAGACTGGATCAGTTCTAGCCTTCTCAAGATACAACTCAGAGTGGCTCAATCAGAAGAATAAAGAAATGCTTTAAGCATGCTCTATACATGTGTGAACACGTTTTCCTTCTAGCTATGGACGTACCCGTCCTCCCAAATGTGCTAGGCATAACCAAGTGATTATATTCCAATTTTCAGATGAGAAAAACTGAGGCTAGGAGAAACCAAGTAATTTGCCCTAGTTCCCATAACTAGAGAGTGGAGAAGCTGGGGATTCAAACACAGGAATGACAAACTTGAAAGCACGTTTTCCCTTATAACATCATGCTGACTTTGGAGGGGTGAAGGAAAACTGGCATGAGAAGTGGCATTACAGGTGAACTATGAAGGTGGGCAGAATCCCCACTGAGGAGCTGAGGGGGGAGGACATTCCAAGCAGAGGGAGCAGCTTCAGTAAAAGGAAAGGTGAGGGAGTGAGATGTGGCAGCATGGACCAGGTGTGGTAGAGGGGACACAATGCTGGACAGGTACATTAGAGCTGGAGGCTGAGGGCCTTGAATGTCAAGTTTCATTTATTCGGTAGGCAAAACTTTTTGAAGAAGGGAGTAATATGAGCATTGATAAAAGAAAAACTTTAAACAGTGACAGTAATAATAATAATAACTGGGGAAGGGATTTTCAACTGGAAGAGCATTCAAGGATTTTAACTTAGTTGGCATCTTTCACATTAAAGATGAACTTGGGTCTGTATCCAAATTTAATAATATGTTGATTGAATTTCACATAGTTTTCATTGTTGTTGTGAGGGTATTTAAAAATTTTAACAGGAGAGACACAGAAACCCAACCCACAAACCCAAGTGTCTATTCTTTGGGTAGGCACATCCCTAAACTGGAGATGGTAGCATAGCGCTTTCACGTTCAAAGACAATAGCCATTTTCATCATTCAACTATATTAACCAAGAGAACAAAAGACAGGAAACAAGTTCAATATCCACCACAAGGGAACGGGTTAGATAAAGTGTGGTACAACCGTGCAATGACAAACTGTCCAGACATTTAGAAAGTTATGTATGTGTTGATATGGAAAAATGGCCACTTTACATTATCAAGAGAGAATTACAGAACACTGTACAGAGTGAGAGCATGCACATTAATAGTAGGATATATTGGTTGAACTATATGAAATTATTGATAAGCAGCAATCTCTAACCTATAATAGCAGTTTCATGTGGTTCAAATTATTACATATATATGCTTGAATATGTCCAGAAAATGTTCTGAAACATTTACTCAATAAAACCTTAGTGTTGATTACTTCATCATAGTACTAGTGGGTTGAGAGGGTTGGGCATAGGAATTTTTATTTTTCACGGTATTCCCTTCTTTTCTGACTTATATTATTTTGTGATAGATTGCTCAGGTAGTCAACTCCCCTTTCTCTAACTCCACACTCAACATGTAACTTCTGGAAGTAATTTTGCCTACATAGAGAGAAAACAATGACCAGTAAACCTGATTAGCTAGTGCTTTAGACAGGTATATCTCTCACTGTAGAAGACATAATGAGGATTTGTTAGAAACAGAGTTTGAATTATGAAAACCAAGTAGTGATTCACTGTAATAAACCCCTGGTTCAGTACTATTAATGGACGAAGGCAGTGGAAGTTACCAAGTAAAATGACTCAGAAAGGAAAATTCTTGATATTCATGAGAGATTCACTGAATCAGCACGTAATGGTTTCACTGTAATTCTCCCCTTGTTGTGTCTCTACCGAGGTGACTCACAAACTGTAAAAGTTTTTGACCAGTTATTTCAGGTTGGCTTTTGTTAGCATTGAAAGAGAATGCATTTAATTAAAAAAACCACAGCTCTACTTAAGTATAGTTTACATATAATAAAATTTACCAGTTTAAAATGTATAGTTTGATGAGTTTTGACAAATGTATTCAGTCATGCAACCATCACTACAATCAAGATATAGAACATTTTCAGTTTTCTAAAAAATTCCCTCTTGCCTCTTTGAAGTTAATCCCCTTCCTTGTGTTCTGGTCCCTGGAAACTACTGATCTGTTTTTTGTCACTACAGTTTTGATTTTTCTAGACTTTCATATAAATGGACTCAGACAGAAGACAGCCTTTTGTGTCTGACATGTTTTACTTACAATAGTTTTGAGGTTCACCCATGTTGTGTATACCAACAGTTGTCCCCTTTTATTGCTTGGTGTATTCCATTGTATTTCTACATAATGACTTGTTTATTCATTGACCTTTTGATGGATATTTGGATTGTTTCCAGTTTTTTGCTTATTATGAACAAAACTAGTATGAATATTCATATATGGGTTCCTATGTACATGTTACCATTTCTTCCAAGTTAAATAGTTAGAATATATTTACATTGAATTTTAAATACATTAAATTATAGACACATTGAATTGAGTTATACATATATGTTTAACTTATATGTTTAAGCATATATGTTTATGTTAAACATATATGTTTAACTCCCCAATTCTCTGTAAAGTGGTTACATCATTTTGCACTACTGAGATCAATGGGGAGAGTTTCAGTTCCACATGTTCCCCAGTACTTGGTGTTGTCAATTTAAGAATTTTAGTCATTCTGGAAGGTGTGTAGTGAAATCTCCTTGTGGTTTCCATTTGCTTTTCCCTAATGACTAGCGCTGCTGTTCATGCATTCAGGTTCTTGTTTCCTTCTATCTACCTCCTTTGGTGAAGTGTCGTTTCAAATCTTTTTCCCATTTTAAAAAATGGACTGATTATTTGTCTGAATACCAATCTTTTGCCAGAGTATATTTTGCAATCTTTTTCTTTCAATCTGTGGTTTGCCTTTTTATTTTCTTAAGAATGTCTTTCAAAGAGCCAAAATTTTACATTTTGATGAAGTACCATTTACCAATATTTTCTATTTGTGTCTTCTCTAAGAATTTTTTGCCTAATCCAAAGTCACAAGGATTTCCTCTTAGTTTTCTTCTTATGATGGGAGATAAGGATCAAGTCTCATTTTTCCTCCCATTGATATCCAGTTTCTCCAGAACCATTTGTTGGAAAGATTGTTCTTTCCCCATTAAATTACTGTATTATTTTGGTTGGGCTGCCACACACTGGGTGGCTTAAGCAACAGAAATTTATTTTCTCACAGTTCTGGAGGCTAGAAGTTCTAAGATCAAGGTGTCTGCATGGCCATGATCCCCTTGAAGGCTCTAGGAAAGAATTTCTCCTTGTTTCTTTTGGCTCTCTCTGGCCCCAGGCATTCTTTGACTGGAGGTTGAGTAAGTTTCCAGTGACTAGACGACTTCAATCAAACTGCCGGCACAGGCAAACAGATGCATGCACGGTACTGCTTATGGAAGCACAGTTTCGTATAGTGACAATTGGGAGTGGGGTGAGGAGAGATACCTACTAACAGAGGATTGGCTATGTAAATTATAGTACATTTATACAATGGCCCTCTATGTAAAGTCACAAACAATCCTCAAAGCACAATGTATTGAATGGGGTATACAGGCCATTGCCAAGGGTAAAATTA